ACCCCGCTGTGCCCCACAGACGTTTCGGTGCCGCTGCCGGATTCCTACAGCCCCACATCACCCCATAACCCCCCATAACCCCATCACCCCCCATCTCCCCATCACCCCATAACCCCACATCTCCCCATAGCCCCCATAACCCCATAGCACCCCATAACCCCATCACTCCCCATCTCCCCATCACCCCACAACCCCACATCTCCCCATAACCCCATAACACCCCATAACCCCATCATCCCCCATCTCCCCATAACCCCCCATCTCCCCATAACCCCCCATTGCCCCATCACCCCACATCTCCCCATCTCCCCATAACCCCCCATAACCCTACAACCCCATCACCCCACATCTCCCCATAACTCCCATAACCCCATAACCCCCATCACCCCATAACCCCCTACAGCCCCCCATCACCCCCCATCTCCCCGCCACCCCACATCTCCCCATCACCCCACAGCCCCCCCCCACCCCACATCTCCCCATAACCCCACATCTCCCCCCCACCCCACATCTCCCCATAACCCCCCACCACCCCCCAGCCCCACAAGTGACCCCACGCCCCGCTGTGCCCCACAGACGTTTCGGTGCCGCTGCCGGATTCCCACAGCCCCACATCACCCCACATCTCCCCATAGCCCCCATAACCCCATAGCACCCCATAACCCCATAGCACCCCATAACCCCATCACTCCCCATCTCCCCATCACCCCACAACCCCACATCTCCCCATAACCCCATAACACCCCATAACCCCATCATCCCCCATCTCCCCATCACCCCACATCTCCCCATAACCCCCCATTGCCCCATAACCCCACATCTCCCCATCTCCCCATAACCCCCCATAACCCTACAACCCCATCACCCCACATCTCCCCATAACTCCCATAACCCCATAACCCCATCACCCCACATCTCCCCATCACCCCACAACCCCATAGCACCCCATAGCACCCCTTAACCCCCCATAGCACCCCATAACCCCCATCATCCCATAACCCCCTACAGCCCCCCATCACCCCCCATCTCCCCCCCACCCCACATCTCCCCATCACCCCACAGCCCCCCCCCACCCCACATCTCTCCATCACCCCATAACCCCCCATCTCCCCCCCACCCCACATCTCCCCATAAGCCCCCATGACCCCACATCTCTCCATAACCCCCCATCACCCCATAACCCCCCCATGACCCCATAACCCCCCCCAAACCCCATAACCTCCCCCCATGACCCCATAACCCCACAAATCCCCCATAACCCCCCATGACCACATAAGGCCCCATAACCCCAGTTTGGGGGGGGTTATGGGGTCATGGGGGGGGTTATGGGGTTTGGGGGGGGTTATGGGGTTTTGGGGGGGTTAAGGGGTTTTGGGGGGTATGAGGTTATGGGGGATTTGTGGGGTTATGGGGTAGGAGGCAGTTTGTGGGGTCTATGGGGTTATAGGGGATTTATGGGTTATGGGGCAGGGGTGATTTGTGGGGTCTGTGGGGTTATGGGGCTTTTGTGGGGATATGGGGCAGGGGGGGGTCTGTGAGGTTATGGGGGATTTATGGGGTTATGGGGCTGGGGGGGGCTTGGGGTTATGGGGGATTTGTGGGGTTATGGGGTGCAGATCTGTGGGGTTTGTGGGGCTCTGTGGGGCGCTCTGGGGTGGCGGGGTGGGGATGTGGGGCAGGAATGGGCGAATATCAGCAGCCCCCCCCCAGCCCCTCAGCACCCCATAGCACCCCATAGCACCCCATAGCCACCCCATAGCACCCCATAGCACCCCATAGCACCCCATAGCACCCCATAGCCACCCCATAGCCACCCCATAGCCACCCCATAGCACCCCATCACCCCCATCACCCCATAACCCCCTACAGCCCCCCATCACCCCCCATCTCTCCATAACCCCACAGCCCCACATCTCCCCATAACGCCCCATAGCCCCACAGCCTCCATCACCCCCCATCTCCCCATAACCCCCCAAAGCCCCATAACCCCACAAGCCCATCACCCCACATCTCCCCATAACCCCACAGCCCCCCATCACCCCACATCTCCCCATAACCCCCACAGCCCCATAACCCCACAACCCCATCACCCCCCATCTCCCCATCACCCCCCATCACCCCATAACTCCCCACAACCCCATCAACCCACAACCCCACATCACCCCATAACCCCCCATCTCCCCACATCACCCCATAACCCCCATAACCCCACAGCCCCCCATCACCCCACATCTCCCCATCACCCCATAACACCCCATAACCCCATAACCCCCCATCACCCCACAACCCCATAGCACCCCATAGCACCCCATAGCACCCCATAACCCCCTACAGCCCCCCATCACCCCCCATCTCCCCATCACCCCACAGCCCCACATCTCCCCACATCTCCCCATCACCCCACAACCCCCCATAACCCCACAACCCCACCACCCCATATCACCCCATAACCCCCCTTCACCCCCCATCTCCCCATAACCCCATAACCCCCCACCACCCCCCAGCCCCACAAGTGACCCCACACCCCGCTGTGCCCCACAGACGTTTCGGTGCCGCTGCCGGATTCCTACAGCCCCACATCACCCCATAACCCCCCATAACCCCACAACCCCATAACCCCCCATCTCCCCCCCACCCCACATCACCCCATAACCCCCCATCACCCCACATCTCCCCATAACCCCCCATCACCCCATAACTCCCCACAACCCCATCACCCCATAACCCCCCATTGCCCCATAACCCCACATCTCCCCATCACCCCATCACCCCCCATAACCCTACAACCCCATCACCCCACATCTCCCCATCACCCCACAGCCCCACATCTCCCCATAACCCCCCATCACCCCACAGCCCCCCATCACCCCACATCTCCCCACAGCCCCCCATAACCCCACATCTCCCCATAACCCCACATCTCCCCCCCACCCCCCATCACCCCATCACCCCCCATCTCGCCCCCACCCCACATCTCCCCATAACCCCATCACCCCACATCTCCCCATAACCCCACAGCCCCCCATCACCCCACATCTCCCCATAACCCCATAACCCCCCACCACCCCGCAGCCCCACAAGTGACCCCACGCCCCGCTGTGCCCCACAGACGTTTCGGTGCCGCTGCCGGATTCCTACAGCCCCACATCACCCCACATCTCCCCATAACCCCCCATAACCCCACAACCCCACAACCCCATCACCCCCCATCACCCCACAGCCCCACATCTCCCCACATTTCCCCATCACCCCATAACACCCCATAACCCCACAACCCCATCACCCCACATCTCCCCATAACCCCATCACCTCCCACCACCCCACAGCCCCCCATCACCCCATAACCCCACAGCCCCACAACTCCATCTCCCCATAACTCCCCATCACCCCACATCTCCCCATCGCCCCATAACCCCACAGCCCCACATCACCCCACATCTCCCCATCGCCCCATAACCCCACAGCCCCACATCACCCCACATCTCCCCATCACCCCCCATCACCCCCATCTCCCCATCACCCCCCATCACCCCATAACTCCCCACAACCCCATCAACCCACAACCCCACATCACCCCATAACCCCCCATCTCCCCACATCACCCCATAACCCCCATAACCCCACAGCCCCCCATCACCCCACATCTCCCCATAACCCCCCATAGCCCCCCATCTCCCCATCACCCCACAGCCCCCCATCACCCCACATCTCCCCATAACCCCCCATCACCCCAACTCCATCACCCCCCATCTCCCCCCCACCCCACATCTCCCCATAACCCCACAGCCCCACATCTCCCCTCATCACCCCATAACGCCCCATAACCCCACAACCCCATCACCCCCCCATCTCTCCACAGCCCCCCATCACCCCATAACTCCCCACAACCCCATCACCCCCCATCTCCCCCCCACCCCACATCTCCCCATAACCCCCCATCACCCCACAGCCCCACATCTCCCCACATCTCCCCATCACCCCATAACCCCCCTTCACCCCCCATCTCCCCATAACCCCACAGCCCCCCTCCACCCCACATCTCCCCATAACCCCCCACCACCCCCCAGCCCCACAAGTGACCCCACACCCCGCTGTGCCCCACAGACGTTTCGGTGCCGCTGCCGGATTCCTACAGCCCCACATCACCCCATAACCCCCCATAACCCCACAACCCCATCATCCCCCATCTCCCCATCACCCCACATCTCCCCATAACCCCCCATCACCCCATAACCCCCCATTGCCCCATCACCCCACATCTCCCCCCCACCCCACATCTCCCCATCACCCCACAGCCCCCCCCCACCCCACATCTCCCCATAACCCCACATCTCCCCCCCAACCCCATCACCCCATAACCCCCCATCTGCCCCCCACCCCACATCTCCCCATAACCCCCCCCCACCCCACATCTCCCCATAACCCCATAACCCCCCACCACCCCCAGCCCCACAAGTGACCCCACACCCCGCTGTGCCCCACAGACGTTTCGGTGCCGCTGCCGGATTCCTACAGCCCCACGTCACCCCATAAGCCCCCATACCCCCCGGAACCCCACATCTCCCCATAACCCCCCATCACCCCACAACCCCCCACAGCCCCATAACCCCACAGCCCCACATCTCCCCACATCTCCCCATAACGCCCCATAACCCCACAACCCCATCACCCCCCATCTCCCCACAGCCCCCCATCACCCCATAACTCCCCACAACCTCATCACCCTCCATCTCCCCCCCACCCCACATCTCCCCATCACCCCATAACCCCCCATCTGCCCCCCATCTCCCCATCACCCCACAGCCCCACATCTCCCCATAACCCCCCATCACCCCACAGCCCCCCATCACCCCACATCTCCCCACAGCCCCCCATAACCCCACATCTCCCCATAACCCCACATCTCCCCCCCACCCCCCATCTCCCCATCACCCCACAGCCCCCCACCACCCCACATCTCCCCATAACCCCCCACCACCCCCCAGCCCCACAAGTGACCCCACGCCCCGCTGTGCCCCACAGACGTTTCGGTGCCGCTGCCGGATTCCTACAGCCCGCGTTACGTGGAGGCGGCCTGGTACAGCTGGTGGGAGAAGGAGGGATTCTTCAAGCCGGAGTATGGGGTCAGCGCCTGCCCCACGGCTGCCCCATACATGACCTATAGCTGCCCCATACATGACCCATAGCTGCCCCATAGCTGCCCCATACAGGACCCATAGCTGCCCCATAGCTGTCCCATAGATGACCCATAGCTGCCCCATTGAAACCCCACGGCTGCCCCATAGAAACCCCACGGCTGCCCCATACATGACCCATAGCTGCCCCATAGATGACCCATAGCTGCCCCATAGAAACCCCACGGCTGCCCCATAGAAACCCCATAGCTGCCCCATAGATGACCCATAGCTGCCCCATAGAAACCCCATAGCTGCCCCATAGAAACCCCACGGCTGCCCCACAGATGACCCATAGCTGCCCCATAGAAACCCTACGGCTGCCCCATAGAGACCCTATGGCTGCCCCATAGAAACCCCATAGAAACCCCATAGAAACCCTATGGCTGCCCCATAGATGCCCCATAGAAACCCCATGGCTGCCCCATAGAAACCCCACAGCTGCCCCATAGGAACCCCATAGCTGCCCCATAGAGGCCCTATGGCTGCCCCATAGAAACCCCACGGCTGCCCCACAGATGACCCATAGCTGCCCCATAGATGACCCATAGCTGCCCCATAGAAACCCTACGGCTGCCCCATAGAGACCCTATGGCTGCCCCATAGATGACCCATAGCTGCCCCATAGATGACCCATAGCTGCCCCATAGAAACCCTACGGCTGCCCCATAGAAACCCCACGGCTGCCCCATAGATGACCCATAGCTGCCCCATAGAAACCCCATAGCTGCCCCATAGAGACCCTATGGCTGCCCCATAGAAACCCCATAGCTGCCCCATAGATGACCCATAGCTGCCCCATAGAAACCCCATAGCTGCCCCATAGATGACCCATAGCTGCCACATAGATGACCCATAGCTGCCCCATAGATGACCCATAGCTGCCCCATAGAAACCCCATAGCTGCCCCATAGATGACCCATAGCAGCCCCATAGAAACCCCACGGCTGCCCCATAGATGACCCATAGCTGCCCCATAGAAACCCCATGGCTGCCCCATAGATGACCCATAGCTGCCACATAGATGACCCATAGCTGCCCCATAGAAACCCCACGGCTGCCCCATACATGACCCATAGCTGCCCCATAGCTGCCCCATAGAAACCCCATAGCTGCCCCATAGAAACCCCACGGCTGCCCCATAGATGACCCATAGCTGCCCCATAGATGACCCATAGCAGCCCCATAGCTGCCCCATAGAAACCCCATAGCTGCCCCATAGATGACCCATAGCTGCCCCATAGAAACCCCACGGCTGCCCCATAGATGACCCATAGCTGCCCCATAGAAACCCCATAGCTGCCCCATAGATGACCCATAGCTGCCCCATAGATGACCCATAGCAGCCCCATAGCTGTCCCATAGATGACCCATAGCTGCCCCATTGAAACCCCACGGCTGCCCCATAGAAACCCCACGGCTGCCCCATACATGACCCATAGCTGCCCCATAGAAACCCCATAGCTGCCCCATAGAAACCCCACGGCTGCCCCATAGATGACCCATAGCTGCCCCATAGATGACCCATAGCACCCCATAGCCACCCCACAGCCACCCCACAGCCACCCCATAGCACCCTATAACCACCCCATAGCCACCCCATAGCCATCCCACAGCACCCCATAGCACCCCATAGCACCCCATAGCCACCCCCTAGCACCCCATAGCACCTCATAGCCACCCCATAGCCACCCCACACCCCCCCCATTTCCCCCCCCGCTCAGCCCCATTTCTCTCCCTCTGCCCCACAGCGCAGTGGCATCTCGGAGCCGAACCCCCACGGCCCCATAGCACCCCATAGCACCCCATAGCACCCCAAAGCATCCCATAGCCTCCCCATAGCATCCCATAGCATCCTATAGCCACCCCCCTGTGCCCCATAGCCACCCCATAGCACCCCATAACCACCCCATAGCAACCCCATAGCACCCCATAGCACCCCATAGCACCCCATAACCACCCCCCTGTGCCCCATATCACCCCATATCACCCCATAGCACCCCATAGCACCCCATAGCCTCCCCATAGCCACCCCACAGCCACCCCATAGCCACCCCATAGCCACCCCACAGCCACCTCACAGCCACCCCATAGCCACCCCACACCCCCCCCCCGTTTTCCCCCCCTGCTCAGCCCCATATTTCGCCCTCTGCCCCACAGCGCAGCGCCATCTCGGAGCCGAACCCCCACGGCCCCATAGCACCCCATAGCCACCCCATAGCCACCCCATAGCCACCCCATAACCACCCCATAGCACCCCATATCACCCCATACCCACCCCATAGCACCCCATAGCCACCCCACAGCCACCCCATAGCCACCCCGTAGCACCCCATAGCCACTCCATAGCACCCCATAGCACCCCACAGCCACCCCATAGCACCCCACAGCCACCCCATAGCCACCCCATAGCACCCCATATCACCCCATAGCACCTCATAGCCACCCCGTAGCACCCCATAGCACCCCATAGCCGCCCCATAGCACCCCATAGCACCCCATAGCCACCCCATAGCCACCCCGTAGCACCCCATAGCCACTCCATAGCACCCCATAGCACCCCACAGCCACCCCATAGCACCCCATAGCCACCCCCTAGCACCCCATAGCACCCCATAACCACCCCCCTGTGCCCCATATCACCCCATAGCACCCCATAGCGCCCCATAGCCTCCCCATAGCACCCCAAAGCATCCCATAGCCTCCCCATAGCATCCCATAGCATCCTATAGCCACCCCCCTGTGCCCCATAGCCACCCCATAGCACCCCATAACCACCCCATAGCCACCCCACAGCCACCCCACATCCCCCCCGTTTTCCCCCCCGCTCAGCCCCATATTTCGCCCTCTGCCCCACAGCGCAGCGCCATCTCGGAGCCGAACCCCCACGGCCCCATAGCACCCCATAGCACCCCATAGCCTCCCCATAGCACCCCATAGCCACCCCATAGCACCCCATAGCACCCCATAGCCACCCCATAGCACCACATAGCCACCCCACAGCCACCCCACCCCCCCACCATTTCCCCCCCCCCCGCTCAGCCCCATATTTCGCCCTCTGCCCCACAGCGCAGCGCCATCTCGGAGCCGAACCCCCACGGCCCCATAGCACCCCATAGCACCCCATAGCACCCCATAGCCTCCCCATAGCACCCCAAAGCACCCCATAGCCTCCCCATAGCACCCCATAGCCACCCCATAGCCACCCCACAGCCACCCCACCCCCCCCACCTTTTCCCCCCCCCCGCTCAGCCCCATATTTCGCCCTCTGCCCCACAGCGCAGTGCCATCTCGAAGTTGAACCCCCACAGCCCCATAGCACCCCATAGCACCCCATAGCACCCCATAACCACCCCCCTGTGCCCCATAGCACCCCATAGCACCCCCTAGCACCCCATAGCGCCCCATAGCCACCCTATAGCACCCCATAGCACCCCATAACCACCTCCCCGTGCCCTATAGCCACCCCATAGCCACCCCACACCCCCCTCCATTTCCCCCCCCACACTCAGCCCCATATTTCGCCCTCTGCCCCACAGCGCAGCGCCATCTCGGGGCCAAACCCCCACAGCCCCATAGCACCCCATAGCCACCCCATAGCACCCCATAACCACCCCATAGCCACCCCATAGCACCTCATAGCACCCCATAGCCACCCCATAGCACCACATAGCCACCCCATAGCCACCCCCACACCCCCCTCCATTTCCCCCCCCCCCCTCAGCCCCATATTTCTCCCTCTGCCCCACAGCGCAGCGCCATCTCGAAGTTGAACCCCCACAGCCCCATAGCACCCCATAGCCACCCCATAGCACCCCATAGCACCCCATAGCACCCCATAGCACCCCATAACCACCCCCCTGTGCCCCATATCACCCCATAGCACCCCCTAGCACCCCATAGCGCCCCATAGCCCCCCCATAGCCACCCCATAGCCACCCCATAGCACCCCATAGCACCTCATAGCCACCCCATAGCACCCCATAGCACCCCCCTATGCCCCATAGCGCCCCATAGCCACCCCATAGCACCCCATAGCCTCCCCATAGCCACCCCACAGCCACCCCATAGCCACCCCATAGCCTCCCCATAGCCACCCCATAGCACCACATAGCACCCCATTGCCACCCCACAGCCACCCCCCCCCCCCCCCCCTTTTTCCCCCTCCTGCTCAGCCCCATATTTCGCCCTCTGCCCCACAGCGCAGCGCCATCTCGGAGCCGAACCCCCACGGCCCCATAGCACCCCATAGCACCCCATAGCCACCCCATAGCCACCCCATAGCACCCCATAGCCACCCCATAGCACCCCATAGCACCCCATAACCACCCCCCTGTGCCCCATATCACCCCATAGCACCCCATAGCGCCCCATAGCCTCCCCATAGCACCCCATAGCCTCCCCATAGCATCCCATAGCATCCTATAGCCACCCCCCTGTGCCCCATAGCCACCCCGTATCACCCCATAGCGCCCCATAGCCTCCCCATAGCACCCCAAAGCATCCCATAGCCTCCCCATAGCATCCCATAGCATCCTATAGCCACCCCCCTGTGCCCCATAGCCACCCCATAGCACCCCATAACTACCCCATAACCACCCCACAGCCACCCCACATCCCCCCCGTTTTCCCCCCCGCTCAGCCCCATATTTCGCCCTCTGCCCCACAGCGCAGCGCCATCTCGGAGCCGAGCCCCCACAGCCCCATAGCACCCCATAGCCACCCCATAGCACCCCAAAGCACCCCATAGCCTCCCCATAGCACCCCATAGCCACCCCATAGCACCCCATAGCACCCCATAGCCACCCCATAGCCACCCCACAGCCACCCCACCCCCCCCACCTTTTCCCCCCCCCGCTCAGCCCCATATTTCGCCCTCTGCCCCACAGCGCAGTGCCATCTCGAAGTTGAACCCCCACAGCCCCATAGCACCCCATAGCACCCCATAGCACCCCATAACCACCCCCCTGTGCCCCATAGCACCCCATAGCACCCCCTAGCACCCCATAGCGCCCCATAGCCACCCTATAGCACCCCATAGCACCCCATAACCACCTCCCCGTGCCCTATAGCCACCCCACAGCCACCCCACACCCCCCCCCGTTTTTCCCCCCCCCCCTCAGCCCCATATTTCGCCCTCTGCCCCACAGCGCAGCGCCATCTCGGAGCCGAACCCTCTGGGGGTGTTCATGATGTGCGTCCCCCCCCCCAACGTCACCGGGACGCTGCACCTCGGCCACGCGCTCACCAGCGCCATCCAGGACGCCCTGACCCGATGGTGAGCCCACGGCTGCCCCATAGCTGCCCCATAGCTGCCCTATAGCTGCCCTATGGCTGCCCTATAACTGCCCTATGGATGCCCTATAGCTGCCCTATGATTGCCCTATACTTGCTTTATGGATGCCCTATGATTGCCCTATGGATGCCCTATAGCTGCCCTATAAGTGCCCTATAGCTGCCACATAGCTGCCCCATAGCTGCCCTATAGCTGCCCTATAACTGCCCTATAGGTGCCCCATAGCTGCCCCATAGCTGCCCTATAGCTGCCCTATAACTGCCCTATTACTGCCCTATGATTGCCCTATAGCTGCCCCACATCTGCCCCATAGCTGCCCTATGGCTGCCCTATAGCTGCCCTATAATTGCCCTTCAACTGCCCTATAGCTGCCCTAAGATTGCCCTATACTTGCCCTATAGCTGCCCTATAGCTGCCCCATAGCTGCCCTATAGCTGCCCTATGGATGCCCTATAACTGCCCTATGGATGCCCTATGGCTGCCCTATAGCTGCCCTATAGCTGCCCTATGGCTGCCCTATAGCTGCCCTATGGATGCCCTATAGCTGCCCTATGATTGCCCTATAGCTGCCCTATAGCTGCCCCATAGCTGCCCTATAACTGCCCTATGGATGCTTTATAGCTGCCCTATGATTGCCCTATACTTGCCCTATGGATGCCCTATAGCTGCCCTATAGCTGCCCTATGGATGCCCTATAACTGCCCTATGGATGCCCTATAGCTGCCCTATGATTGCCCTATACTTGCTTTATGGATGCCCTATGATTGCCCTATGGATGCCCTATAGCTGCCCTATAACTGCCCTATAGCTGCCCCATAGCTGCCCCATAGCTGCCCTAAGATTGCCCTATAACTGCCCTATTACTGCCCTATGATTGCCCTATAGCTGCCCCACATCTGCCCCATAGCTGCCCTATGGCTGCCCTATAGCTGCCCTATAATTGCCCTTCAACTGCCCTATAGCTGCCCTAAGATTGCCCTATACTTGCCCTATGGCTGCCCTATAGCTGCCCCATAGCTGCCCTATAGCTGCCCTATGGATGCCCTATAACTGCCCTATGGATGCCCTATGGCTGCCCTATAATTGCCCTTCAACTGCCCTATAGCTGCCCTAAGATTGCCCTATAGCTGCCCTATGGCTGCCCTATAGCTGCCCTATGATTGCCCTATAGCTGCCCATAGCTGCCCTATAACTGCCCTATGATTGCCCTATAGGTGCCCTATGATTGCCCTATAATTGCCCTATGGCTGCTCTATAGCTGCCCCATAGCTGCCCTATGGCTGCCCCATAGCTGCCCCATAGCTGCCCTATAGCTGCCCTATGGATGCCCTATGGATGCCCTATAGCTGCCCTATGATTGCCCTATAGCTGCCCTATAGCTGCCCTATGGATGCCCTATAACTGCCCTATGGATGCCCTATAGCTGCCCTATAGCTGCCCTATAGCTGCCCTATGATTGCCCTATAGCTGCCCTATGATTGCCCTATACTTGCCCTATAGCTGCCCTATAACTGCCCTATGGATGCCCTATAGCTGCCTTATGATTGCCCTATACTTGCCCTATGGCTGCCCTATAGCTGCCCTATAGCTGCCCTATAACTGCCCTATAGCTGCCCTATGGATGCCCTATAACTGCCCTATAGCTGCCCTATGGCTGCCCTATGATTGCCCTATACTTGCCCTATAATTGCCCTATGGCTGCCTGATAGCTGCCCTATAGCTGCCCCATAGCTGCCCTATGGCTGCCCTATAGCTGCCCCATAACTGCCCTATATCCCACCCCATAACTGCCCCATATCCCACCCCATAGCGCCCCATATCCAACCCCATAACTGCCCCATATCCCACCCCATAACTGCCCCATATCCCACCCCATAGTGCGCCATATCCCACCCCAAATCCCACCCCATATCCACCCCATATCCCACCCCATAACTGCCCCATATCCCACCCCATAGTGCCCCATATCCCACCCCATATCCCACCCCATAGCGCCCCATATCCCACCCCATAGTGCCCCATATCCCACCCATAGTGCCCCATATCCCACCCCATAACTGCCCCATATCCCACCCCATAGTGCCCCATATCCCACCCCATAACTGCCCCATATCCCACCCCATAACTGCCCCACATCCTCTCCATAGCGCCCCATATCCCACCCCAAATCCCACCCCATATCCACCCCATATCTGCCCCATATCCCACCCCATATCCACCCCATATCCACCCCATATCCCACCCCATAGTGCCCCATATCCCACCCCAAATCCCACCCCATATCCACCCCATATCCCACCCCATAGTGCCCCAAATCCCACCCCATAACTGCCCCATATCCCACACCAAATCCCACCCCATATCCACCCCATATCCCACCCCATATCCCACCCCATATCCACCCCATATCCCACCCCATGACTGCCCCATATCCCACCCCATAGCACCCCATATCCCACCCCATAACTGCCCCATATCCCACCCCATATCCCACCCATAGCGCCCCATATCCCGCCCCATAACTGCCCCATATCCCACCCCATGACTGCCCCATATCCCACCCCATAGTGCCCCATATCCCACCCCATAACTACCCCCATATCCCACCCCATAGCGCCCCATATCCCACCACATAACTACCCCATATCCCACCCCATAGTGCCCCATATCCCACCCCATAACTGCCCCATATCCTACCCCATAGCGCCCCATATCCCACCCCATAGCGCCCCATATCCCGCCCCATAACTACTCCATATCCCACCCCATAGTGCCCCATATCCCACCCCATAAATACCCCATATCCCACCCCATAGTGCCCCATATCCCACCCCATATCCCACCCCATAGCGCCCCATATCCCACCCCATAGTGCTCCATATCCCGCCCCAAATCCCACCCCATATCTACCCCATAGCACCCCATATCCCACCCCATAAATACCCCATATCCCACCCCATAGTGCCCCATATCCCACCCCATATCCCACCCCATAGCGCCCCATATCCCACCCCATAGTGCGCCATATCCCACCCCAAATCCCACCCCATATCCACCCCATATCCCACCCCATAACTGCCCCATATCCCACCCCATAGTGCCCCATATCCCACCCCATATCCCACCCCATAGCGCCCCATATCCCACCCCATAGTGCCCCATATCCCACCCCATAGTGCCCCATATCCCACCCCATAACTGCCCCATATCCCACCCCATAGTGCCCCATATCCCACCCCATAACTACCCCATATCCCACCCCATAACTGCCCCATATCCCACCCCATAGCGCCCCATATCCCACCCTATGTTGCCCCACACCCTGCCCCACATCTCGCCCCCCAGGCACCGGATGTGCGGGCAGACGACGCTGTGGAACCCCATAGTGCCCCATAGTGCCCCATATCCCACCCGAAATCCCACCCCATATCCCACCCCATAACTGCCCCATATCCCACCCCATGGCACCCCATATCCCACCCCATAACTGCTCCATATCCCACCCCATAGTGCCCCATATCCCACCCCATATCCCACCCCATAACTGCCCCATATCCCACCCCATAGCACCCCATATCCCACCCTATGTTGCCCCCACACCCTGCCCCACATCTCGCCCCCCAGGCACCGGATGTGCGGGCAGACGACGCTGTGGAACCCCATAGTGCCCCATAACTGCCCCATATCCCACCCCATAGTGCCCCATATCCCACCCCATATCCCACCCCATAACTGCCCCATATCCCACCCCATAGCTGCCCCATATCCCACCCCAAATCCCACCCCATAACTGCCCCATATCCCACCCCATAGCACCCCATGTCCCACCCTATGATGCCCCACACCCTGCCCCACATCTCGCCCCCCAGGCACCGGATGTGCGGGCAGACGACGCTGTGGAACCCCATAGTGCCCCATAACTGCCCCATATCCCACCCCATAACTGCCCCATATCCCACCCCATAGTGCGCCATATCCCACCCCAAATCCCACCCCATATCCACCCCATATCCCACCCCATAACTGCCCCATATCCCACCCCATAGTGCCCCATATCCCACCCCATAACTGCCCCATATCCCACCCCATAACTGCCCCACATCCTCTCCATAGCGCCCCATATCCCACCCCAAATCCCACCCCATATCCACCCCATATCTGCCCCATATCCCACCCCATATCCACCCCATATCCACCCCATATCCCACCCCATAGTGCCCCATATCCCACCCCAAATCCCACCCCATATCCACCGCATATCCCACCCCAAATCCCACCCCATATCCACCCCATATCCCACCCCATAGTGCCCCAAATCCCACCCCATAACTGCCCCATATCCACACCAAATCCCACCCCATATCCACCCCATATCCCACCCCATATCCACCCCATATCCCACCCCATGACTGCCCCATATCCCACCCCATAGCACCCCATATCCCACCCCATAACTGCCCCATATCCCACCCCATATCCCACCCCATAGCGCCCCATATCCCGCCCCATAACTGCCCCATATCCCACCCCATAGTGCCCCATATCCCACCCCATATCCCACCCCATAGCGCCCCATATCCCACCCCATAGCGCCCCATATCCCACCCCATAACTGCCCCATATCCCACCCCATAGCGCCCCATATCCCACCCCATATCCCCCCCCACACCCCCACCCCATATCCCACCCCAAATCCCACCCCATATCCACCCCATATCGCACCCCATATCCCACCCCATAGCACCCCGTATCCCACCCTATGTTGCCCCACACCCTGCCCCACATCTCGCCCCCCAGGCACCGGATGTGCGGGCAGACGACGCTGTGGAACCCCATAGTGCCCCCATATCCACCCCAAATCCCACCCATAGCACCCCATATCCCACCCTATGTTGCCCCACACCCTGCCCCACATCTCGCCCCCCAGGCACCGGATGTGCGGGCAGACGACGCTGTGGAACCCCATAGTGCCCCATAACTGCCCCATATCCCACCCCATAGTGCCCCATATCCCACCCCATATCCCACCCCATAACTGCCCCATATCCCACCCCATAGCTGCCCCATATCCCACCCCAAATCCCACCCCATAACTGCCCCATATCCCACCCCATAGCACCCCATGTCCCACCCTATGATGCCCCACACCCTGCCCCACATCTCGCCCCCCAGGCACCGGATGTGCGGGCAGACGACGCTGTGGAACCCCATAGTGCCCCATAACTGCCCCATATCCCACCCCATAACTGCCCCATATCCCAACCCATAGTGCGCCATATCCCACCCCAAATCCCACCCCATATCCACCCCATATCCCACCCCATAACTGCCCCATATCCCACCCCATAGTGCCCCATATCCCACCCCAAATCCGACCCCATATCCACCCCATATCCCACCCTATGGTGCCCCATATCCCACCCCAAATCCCACCCCATATCCCAACCCATAGTGCCCCATATCCCGCCCCAAATCCCACCCCATATCTACCCCATATCCCACCCCATAACTGCCCCATATCCCACCCCATGGCACCCCATATCCCACCCCATATCCACCCCATATCCCACCTCATGACTGCCCCATATCCCACCCCATAGCACCCCATATCCCACCCCATAACTGCCCCATATCCCACCCCATAGCGCCCCATATCCCACCCCATAACTACCCCATATCCCACCCCATAGTGCCCCATATCCACCCCATAACTGCCCCATATCCCACCCCATAGCGCCCCATATCCCACCCCATATCCCCCCCACACCCCACCCCATATCCCACCCCATAACTACCCCATAGCACCCCATATCCCACCCTATGGTGCCCCACACCCTGCCCCACATCTCGCCCCCCAGGCACCGGATGTGCGGGCAGACGACGCTGTGGAACCCGGGCTGCGACCACGCTGGCATCGCCACGCAGGTGGTGGTGGAGCGGAAGCTGCAGAGGGAGCGAGGAGTGGGGAGGCTGCAGATGGGCAGGGAGCGATTCCTGCACGAGGTCTGGAGATGGAAGGAGGAGTGAGTGACCCATAGAGACCCATAGATACCCCATAGAGACCCATAGGGACCCATAGATACCCCATAGATACCCCATAGGGACACATAGGGACACATAGGGACCCATAGGGACCCCACAGAGCAGTTCCTGCACGAGGTCTGGAGGTGGAAGGAGGAGTGAGTGACCCATAGCGACCCATAGATACCCCATAGATACCCCATAGATACCCCATAGATACCCCATAGGGACACATACATCCCATGGAGATCCATATGGACCCATAGATACCCCATAGAGACCCATAGGGACCCATAGGGACCCCACAGAGCAGTTCCTGCACGAGGTCTGGAGCTGGAAGGAGGAGTGAGTGACCCATAGCGACCCATAGCGACCCATAGAGACCCATAGGGACACATAGGTACACATAGGGACCCATAGGGACCCATAGGGACCCCACAGAGCAGTTCCTGCACGAGGTCTGGAGATGGAAAGAGGAGTGAGTGACCCACAAGTACCCCATAGGGACCCATAGGGACCCATAGAGACCCATAGGGACCCATAGGGACCCATAGGGACCCATAGATACCCCATAGGGACCCATAGGGACCCCACAGAGCAGTTCCTGCACGAGGTCTGGAGCTGGAAGGAGGAGTGAGTGACCCATAGCGACCCATAGAGACCCATAGGGACCCATAGGGACACATAGTGACCCATAGGGACACATAGGGACACATAGGGACCCATAGGGACCCATAGGGACCCCACAGAGCAGTTCCTGCACGAGGTCTGGAGGTGGAAAGAGGAGTGAGTGACCCATAGCGACCCATAGATACCCCATAGGGACCCATAGCGACCCATAGCGACCCATAGAGACCCATAGGGACCCATAGGGACCCATAGAGACCCATAGGGACCCCACAGAGCAGTTCCTGCACGAGGTCTGGAGCTGGAAGGAGGAGTGAGTGACCCATAGCGACCCATAGAGACCCATAGGGACCCATAGGGACCCATAGAGACCCTTAGAGACACATAGGGACCCATAGGGACACATAGGGACCCATAGGGACCCCATAGGGACCCCACAGAGCAGTTCCTGCATGAGGTCTGGAGCTGGAAGGAGGAGTGAGTGACCCATAGATACCCCATAGAGACCCATAGGGACCCCATAGAGACCCATAGATACCCCATAGAGACCCATAGGGACCCATAGAGACCCATAGGGACCCATAGGGACCCCACAGAGCAGTTCCTGCACGAGGTCTGGAGCTGGAAGGAGGAGTGAGTGACCCACAAGTACCCCATAGGGACACATAGGGACCCCATAAGTACCCCATAGGGACACATAGATACCCCATAAGTACCCCATAGGGACCCACAGAGACCCATAGGGACACATAGGGACCCATAGAGACCCATTGGAACCCCATAGGAGCCCACAGAGACCCATAGGGACACATAGGGATACATAGGGGCACATCATGACTATAGGGATCCATAGGGACCCATAGGGATCCATTGGGACCATAGAGACCCATAGAGACCCATAGCGACCCATAGGGACCCATAGAGACCATAGAGACCCATTGGAACCCCATAGGGACCCACAGAGACCCATAGGGACCCATAGGGACCCATAGGGACCCATAGGGACCCCATAGTGACCATAGAGACACACAGGAACCCCATAGACACACATAGGAACCCCATAGGGACCCCATAGATACCCCATAGGGACCTATTGCGACCCATAGAGACCCATGGGGACCCATAGGGACCCATAGGGACACATAGGGACCCCATAGTGACCCATAGGGACCCATAGGGACACATAGCGACCCATAGGGGACCCCCACAGAGCTGTTCCTGCACAAGGTCTGGAGGTGGAAGGAGGAGTGAGTGACCCATAGATACCCCATAAGTACCCCATAGGGACCCCATAGTGTTTCACAGTGCCCCATAGACACCTATAGTGCCCCATAGACATCCCATAGCGCCCCACATTGCCCCATAGACACCCTATGGTGCTCCATAGGTACCCATGGTATCCCATAGGTACCCCCACTCTGTTGCACCCTATAGAAACCCCATAACGCCCCCACAGTGCCCCATAGACACACAAGAGTGCCCCATAGGTGCCCCACAACGGCTCCCCCAGCTGCCCCCACATCTCCCCACAGGAAGGGCGACCGCATCTACCAGCAGCTGCGCCGCCTGGGAGCCTCCATGGACTGGGACCGAGCCTGCTTCACCATGGACCCGGTGTGTGGGGCGCTATGGGGTGCTATGGGGTGGCTGTGGGGCTGTAAGGGGTGCTATGGGGTGGGTATGGGGCAGCTATGGGGTGCTATGGGGTGGCTGTGGGGCTGTAGGGGGTGCTATGGGGTGGCTATGGGGCAGCTATGGGGTGCTATGGGGTGGCTGTGGGGGCTGTAGGGGGTGCTATGGGGTGGCTATGGGGTGCTATGGGGTGGCTGTGGGGCTGTATGGGCATTATGAGGTGCTGTGGGGTGGCTATGGGGCACTATGGGGTGCTATGGGGTGGCTATGGGGTGCTCTGGGGTGGCTGTGGGGCTGTATGGGCATTATGGGGTGCTGTGGGGCAGCTATGAGGCTGTATGGGGTGCTATGGGGTGGCTGTAGGGCAGTATGGGGCTCTATGGGGTGCTATGGGGTGGCTGTGGGGTTGTATGGGGCATAATGGGACACTATGGGGTGGTTTGTGGGGCAGCTATGGGGTGCTATGGGGTGGCTGTGGGGCTGTATGGACATTATGGGGTGCTGTGTGGTGGCTATGAGGCTGTAGGGGGTGCTATGGGGTGCTGTGGGGCTGTATGGGGCAGCTATGGGGTGCTATGGGGTGGGCTGTGGGGCACTATGGGGTGCTATGGGGTGGCTGTGGGGCTGTAGGGGGTGCTATGGGGTGGGTATGGGGCAGCTATGGGGTGCTATGGGGTGGCTGTGGGGCTGTATGGGCATTATGGGGTGCTGTGGGGTGGATATGAGGCTGTAGGGGGTGCTATGGGGTGCTGTGGGGCTGTATGGGGCAGCTATGGGGTGCTATGGGCTGGCTGTGGGGCAGCTATGGGGTGCTATGGGGTGGCTATGGGGCTGTATGGACATTATGGGGTGCTGTGGGGCGGCTATGAGGCTGTATGGGGCACTATGGGGTGGCTATGGGGCTGTACGGGGCAGCTATGGGGTGCTATGGGGTGGCTGTGGGGCTGAATGGGCATTATGGGGTGCTGTGGGGCGGCTATGAGGCTGTATGGGGCACTATGGGTGGCTGTAGGGCTGTATGGGGCATCTATGGGGTGCTATGGGGGTGGCTATGGGGCACTATGGGGTGCTATGGGGTGGCTGTGGGGTTGTATGGGGCACTATGGGGTGCTATGGGGTGACTGTGGGGCACTATGGGGTGCTATGGGGTGGCTGTAGGGCGGGTATGGGGCACTATGGGGTGCTATGGGGTGGCTATGGGGCACTATGGGGTGCTATGGGGTGGCTGTGGGGGCACTATGGGGTGCTATGGGGTGGCTGTGGGGCTGTAGGGGGTGCTATGGGGTGGGTATGGGGCAGCTATGGGGTGCTATGGGGTGGCTGTGGGGCTGTATGGGCATTATGGGTGCTGTGGGGTGGATATGAGGCTGTAGGGGGTGCTATGGGGTGCTGTGGGGCTGTATGGGGCAGCTATGGGGGTGCTATGGGCTGGCTGTGGGGCAGCTATGGGGTGCTATGGGGTGGCTATGGGGCTGTATGGACATTATGGGGTGCTGTGTGGGGCGGCTATGAGGCTGTATGGGGCACTATGGGGTGGCTATGGGGCTGTACGGGGCAGCTATGGGGTGCTATGGGGTGGCTGTGGGGCTGAATGGGCATTATGGGGTGCTGTGGGGCGGCTATGAGGCTGTATGGGGCACTATGGGGTGGCTGTAGGGCTGTATGGGGCATCTATGGGGTGCTATGGGGTGGCTATGGGGCACTATGGGGTGCTATGGGGTGGCTGTGGGGTTGTATGGGGCACTATGGGGTGCTATGGGGTGACTGTGGGGCACTATGGGGTGCTATGGGGTGGCTGTAGGGCGGTATGGGGCACTATGGGGTGCTATGGGGTGGCTATGGGGCACTATGGGGTGCTATGGGGTGGCTGTGGGGTTGTATGGGGCATTATGGGACGCTATGGGGTGGCTGTGGGGCTGTATGGGGCGCTATGGGGTGGCTATGGGGCACTATGGGGCACTATGGGGTGGCTGTGGGGCTGTATGGGGCGCTGTGGGGCAGCTATGGGGTGTCTGTGGGGCTGTATGGGTTTCTATGGGTCCCTGTGGGTCCCTGTGGGGGTCCCTATGGGTCTCTGTGGGTTCCTATGGGGACCCTAAGGGTCCCTATGGGTCCCTATTGGTCTTTAAGGGTCCCTATGGGGTCACTTGGGTCCCCTATGTGTCCCTGTAGGTCCCTATGGGGTCCCTATTGGTCTCTTGGGTCCCTATGGGGTCCCTATGGGTCCCTATGGGGTCCCTATTGGTCTCTAAGGGTCCCGGTGGGTCCCTATGGGTCCCTATGGGTCCTTGTGGGTCTCTATGGGGTCCCTATTGGTCTTCAAGGGTCCCTATGGGGTCTCTTGGGTCTTTATGGGTCTCTGTAGGGCTCTGTGGGTCCCTATGAGTCCCTATGGCTTTCTGAGGGTCCCTGTGGGTCCCTATTGGTATCTAAGGGTCCCTATGGGTCTCTATGGGGTCTCTTGGGTTCCTATGTGTCCCTGTAGGTCCCTATGGGGTCCCTATTGGTCTCTAAGGGTCTCTGTGGGTCCCTGTGGGTCCCTATGGGTCTCTGTGGGGGTCTCTGTGTGTCCCTATAGGGTCCCTATTGGTCTCTGTGGGTCCCTATGGGGTCTCTGTGGGTCCCTATGGGTCTCTGTAGGTCTCTGTGGGTCCCTATGGCTCTCTAGGGACCCCGATGGCTTTCTTGGGGTCCCTATGCGTCTCTGTGGGTCCCTATGGGGTCCCTATGTGTCTCTGTGGGTCCCTATGGGTCCCTATTGGTCTTTAAGGCTCCCTATGGGGTCTCTTGGGTCCCTATGTGTACCTGCAGGTCCCTATGGGGTCTCTAAGGGTCCCTATGGGTCTCTGTAGGCCTCTGTGGGTCCCTATGAGTCCCTATGGCTCTCTGGGGATCCCTATGGCTTTCTATGGGTCTCTATGGGTCCCTGTGGGTCCCTATAGGGTCCCTATTGGTCTTTAAGGGTCCCTATGGGGTCTCTTGGGTTCCTATGTGTCCCTGTAGTCCCTATGGGTCCCTATTGGTGTCTAAGGGTCTCTGTGGGTCCCTGTGGGGTCCCTATGGGGTCCCTGTGGGTCCCTATGGGTCTCTATGGGGTCTCTGTGTGTCCCTATAGGGTCTCTATTGGTCTCTAAGGGTCCCTATGGGTCTCTGTAGGGCTCTGTGGGTCCCTATGGCTCTCTAGGGACCCCTATGGCTTTCTTGGGGTCCTTATGGGTCTCTACGGGTGCCTATGGGTCCCTATTGGTCTCTAAGGGTCCCAGTGGGTCCTATGGGTCCCTATGGGTCCTTGTGGGTCTCTATGGGGTCCCTATTGGTCTTCAAGGGTCCCTATGGGGTCTCTTGGGTCTTTATGGGTCTCTGTAGGGCTCTGTGGGTCCCTATGAGTCCCTATGGCTTTCTGGGGGTCCCTATGGGTCCCTATTGGTATCTAAGGGTCCCTATGGGTCTCTATGGGGTCTCTTGGGTTCCTATGTGTCTCTGTTGGTCCCTATGGGGTCCCTATTGGTCTCTGTGGGTCTTTGTGGGTCCTTTTGGGTCCCTGTGGGTCTCTGTGGGGTCTCTGTGTGTCCCTATGGGGTCCCTATTGGTCTTGAAGTGTCCCTATGGGTCTCTAGGGATCCCTATGGCTTTCTAGGGTCCCTATGGGGTCTCTGTGTGTCCCTATGGGTCCCTATGGGGTCCCTATTGGTCTTTAAGGGTCCCTATGGGTCTCTGTAGGTCCCTGTGGGTCCCTATGGCTCTCTAGGGATCCCTATGGCTTTCTATGGGTCCCTATGGGTCCCTATTGGTATCTAAAGGTCCCTGTGGGTCCCTATGGGGTCCCTATGGGTCCCTATGGGTCCCTGTGGCTTTCTAGAGGTCTCTATGGGTCCCTGTGGGTCTCTGTAGGTCCCTATGGGGTCACTTGGGTCCCTATGTGTCCCTGTGGGTCCCTATGTGTCCCTATTGGTCTCTAAGGGTCCCTATGGGTCTCTGTAGGTCTCTGTGGGTCCCTATGGGTCTCTATGGTTCTCTAGGGATCCCTATGGCTTTCTAGGGGTCCCTATGGGTCCCTATGGGGTCCCTATTGGTCTCTGTGGCTCCCTATGGATCCCTATGGCTTTCTAGGGGTCTCTATGGGGTCTCTGTGTGTCCCTATGGGTCCCTATGGGTCCCTATGGGGTCCCTATGGGGTTCGTGTGGGTCTGAGCCCCCTGTGTGCCGGCAGAAAATGTGCCGCGCCGTGACGGAGGCGTTTGTGCGGCTCCACGAGATGGGGCAGCTGTGGGGCACTATGGGTCGCTGTGGGTCTCTGTGGGTCCCTGTGGGGTCCCTGTGGGTCCCTATGGGTCTCTATGGGGTCTCTTGAGTTCCTATGTGTCCCTGTAGGTCCCTATGGGGTCCCTATTGGTCTCTAAGGGTCTCTGTGGGTCCCTGTGGGGTCCCTATGGGGTTCCTGTGGGTCCCTATGGGTCTCTATTGGTCTCTAAGGCTCCCTATAGGGTCTCTTGGGTCCCTATGTGTCCCTGTAGGTCCCTATGGGGTCTCTAAGGGTCCTTATGGGTCTCTGTAGGGCTCTGTGGGTCCCTATGAGTCCCTATGGCTTTCTAGGGGTCCCTATGGGTCCCTATGGGGTCCCTATTGGTCTTTAAGGGTCCCTATGGGTCTCTGTAGGTCCCTGTGGGTCCCTGTGGCTCTCTAGGGATCCCTATGGCTTTCTATGGGTCCCTATGGGTCCCTATTGGTATCTAAAGGTCCCTGTGGGTCCCTATGGGGTCCCTATGGGTCCCTATGGGTCCCTGTGGCTTTCTAGAGGTCTCTATGGGTCCCTGTGGGTCTCTGTAGGTCCCTATGGGGTCACTTGGGTCCCTATGTGTCCCTGTGGGTCCCTATGTGTCCCTATTGGTCTCTAAGGGTCCCTATGGGTCTCTGTAGGTCTCTGTGGGTCCCTGTGAGTCCCTATGGCTTTCTACGGGTCTCTATGGTTCCCTATTGGTCACTAAGGGTCTCTGTGGGTCCCTATGGGTCCCTATGGGTCCCTATGGGGTCCCTATTGGTCCCTATGGGGTTCGTGTGGGTCTGAGCCCCCCGTGTGCCGGCAGAAAATGTGTCGCGCCGTGACGGAGGCGTTTGTGCGGCTCCACGAGATGGGGCAGCTGTGGGGCACTATGGGTCGCTGTGGGTCTCTGTGGGTCCCTGTGGGGTCCCTGTGGGTCCCTATGGGTCTCTATGGGGTCTCTTGGGTTCCTATGTGTCCCTGTAGGTCCCTATGGGGTCCCTATTGGTCTCTAAGGGTCTCTGTGGGTCCCTGTGGGGTCCCTATGGGGTTCCTGTGGGTCCCTATGGGTCTCTATTGGTCTCTAAGGCTCCCTATAGGGTCTCTTGGGTCCCTATGTGTCCCTGTAGGTCCCTATGGGGTCTCTAAGGGTCCTTATGGGTCTCTGTAGGGCTCTGTGGGTCCCTATGAGTCCCTATGGCTTTCTAGGGGTCCCTATGGGTCCCTGTGGGTCCCTATTGGTCTCTAAGGGTCCCTGTGGTTCCCTATGGAGTCTCTGTGGGTCCCTATGGGTCCCTATGGGGTCCCTATTGATTTTTAAGGGTCCCTATGGGGTCTCTTGGGTCCCTATGGGTCCCTGTAGGTCCCTATGGGGTCTGTGTGGGTCCCTATGGGTCTCTGTATCTGTGGGTCCCTATGGGGTCCTTATGGGTCTTTTTGGGTCCCTGTCGGTCCCCTATGGGGTCTCTAAGGGTCCCTATAGGTCTCTATGGGTCCCTATGAGTCCCTATGGCTTTCTGGGGGTCCCTGTGGGTACCTATTGGTATCTAAGGGTCTCTGTGGGTCCCTATGGGGTCCCTATTGGTCTCTGTGGGTCCCTATTGGTCTCTAAGGGTCCCAATGGGTCCCTGTAGGTCCCTATGGGGTCTCTAAGGGTCCCTATGGGTCTCTGTAGGGCTCTGTGGGTCCCTATGAGTCCCTATGGCTTTCTAGGGGTCCCTATGGGTCCCTATGGGGTCCCTATTGGTCTTTAAGGGTCCCTATGGGTCTCTGTAGGTCCCTGTGGGTCCCTATGGCTCTCTAGGGATCCCTATGGCTTTCTATGGGTCCCTATGGGTCCCTATTGGTATCTAAAGGTCCCTGTGGGTCCCTATGGGGTCCCTATGGGTCCCTATGGGTCCCTGTGGCTTTCTAGAGGTCTCTATGGGTCCCTGTGGGTCTCTGTAGGTCCCTATGGGGTCACTTGGGTCCCTATGTGTCCCTGTGGGTCCCTATGTGTCCCTATTGGTCTCTAAGGGTCCCTATGGGTCTCTGTAGGTCTCTGTGGGTCCCTGTGAGTCCCTATGGCTTTCTACGGGTCTCTATGGTTCCCTATTGGTCACTAAGGGTCTCTGTGGGTCCCTATGGGTCCCTATGGGTCCCTATGAGGTCCCTATGGGGTCCCTATGGGGTTCGTGTGGGTCTGAGCCCCCTGTGTGCCGGCAGAAAATGTGCCGCGCCGTGACGGAGGCGTTTGTGCGGCTCCACGAGATGGGGCTCATCTACCGCAGCACCAGGCTGGTGAACTGGTCCTGCGCTCTGAGATCCGCCATCTCCGACATCGAGGTGAGAGGAGGGGGGATTGGGGGGGGTTATGAGGGGATAAGGGGAGATATGGGTGAGATATGGGGAGATATGGGGGGATATGGGGTGGTTTTGGGGGGATATGGGGGGATATGGGGTGGTTTTGGGGGGATATGGGGTGGTTATGGGGGGTTATGGGGTGGTTTTGGGGGTATATGGAGGGATATGGGGTGGTTTTGGGGGGATATGGGGGGATATGGGGTGGTTATGGGGGGATATGGGGTGGTTTTGGGGGGATATGGGGGGATATGGGGTGGTTATGGGGGGATATGGGGGGGTATGGAGGGGTTAGGGGGGGATATGGGGAGATATGGGGTGGTTATGGGGGGATGTGGGGGGATATAGGGTGGTTATGGGGGGATATGGGGTAGTTATGGGGGGATATGGGGTAGTTATGGGGGGATATGGGGAGATATGGGGGGGATATGGGGGGATATGGGGGGGATATGAGGGAATATAGGGGGGTTATGGGGTGGGTATGGGGGGTTATGGGGGGATATGGAGTGGTTTTGGGGGGATATGGGGTGGTTATGGGGGGATATGGGGTGGTTTTGGGGGGATATGGGGTGGTTGTGGGGGGATATGGGGGGATATGGGGGGATATGGGGTGGTTATGGGGGGATATGGGGGGGATATGGGGGGATATGGGGTGGTTATGGGGGGATATGGGGGGATATGGGGGGGATATGGGGGGATATGGGGGGATATGGGTGGTTATGGGGGGATATGGGGTGATTATGGGGAGATATGGGGGGGTATGGAGGGGTTAGGGGGGGATATGGGGAGATATGGGGTGGTTATGGGGGGATATGGGGAGATATGGTGGGGATGTGGGGGGATATGGGGTGGTTATGGGGGGATGTGGGGGGATATGGGTGGTTATGGGGGGATATGGGGTGGGTATGGGGGGGTATGGGGGGATATGGGGTGGTTGTGGGGGGATATGGGGGGGATATGGGGGGATATGGGGTGGTTTTGGGGGGATATGGGGTGGTTTTGGGGGTATATGGGGGGATATGGGGTGGATTTGGGGGCTATGGGGGAATATGGGGTGGTTGTGGGGGGATATGGGGGGATATGGGGGGATATGGAGTGGGTATGGGGGGATATGGAGTGGTTTTGGGGGTATATGGGGGGATATGGGGAGTTATGGGGTGATATGGGGGATATGGGGTGGTTATGGGGGGGTATGGGGGGATATGGGGTGGTTGTGGGGGGATATGGGGGGGATATGGGGGGATATGGGGTGGTTTTGGGGGGATATGGGGTGGTTTTGGGGGTATATGGGGGGATATGGGGAGTTATGGGGTGATATGGGGGATATGGGGTGGTTATGGGGGGATATGGGGGGATATGGGGTGGTTATGGGGGGATATGGGGTGGTTATGGGGGGATATGAGGGGGATATGGGGTGGTTGTGGGGGGATATGGGGGGATATGGGGTGGTTTTGGGGGGATATGGGGTGGTTATGGGGGGTTATGGGGTGGTTTTGGGAGGATATGGGGTGGTTATAGGGGCATTTGGGGGGATATGGGGGGGATATCAGGGAATATAGGGGGGTTATGGGGTGGGTATGGGGGGTTATGGGGGGATATGGTGGGGATGTGGGGGGTTAGGGGGGGATATGGGGTGGTTATGGGGGGATATGGGGTGGTTATGGGGGGATATGGGGTGGTTGTGGGGGGATATGGGGGGGTATGGAGGGGTTAGGGGGGGATATGGGAAGATATGGGGTGGTTATGGGGTGATATGGGGGGGATATGGCTGTGATATGGGGAGATATGGGGGGATATGGGGGGATATGGTGGGGATGTGGGGGATTAGGGGGGGATATGGGGTGGTTATGGGGGGATATGGGGGGATATGGGGTGGTTATGGGGAATATGGGGGGATATGGCGTGGTTGTGGGTGGTTGTGGGGGGATATGGGGGGGATATGGGGTGGTTATGGGGGTATATGGGGGGATATGGGGTGGTTATGGGGGGATATGGGGTGGTTATGGGGGGATATGGGGGGATATGGGGTGGTTATGGGGGGATATGGGGTGGTTATGGGGGGATATGGGGGGGATATGGGGTGGTTATGGGGGGATATGGGGGGATATGGGGGGGATATGGGGGGATATGGGGTGGTTGTGGGGGGATATGGGGGGATATGGGTGGTTATGGGGGGATATGGGGTGATTATGGGGGGATATGGGGGGGTATGGAGGGGTTAGGGGGGGATATGGGGAGATATGGGGTGGTTATGGGGGGATGTGGGGGGATATAGGGTGGTTATGGGGGGATATGGGGTGGTTATGGGGGGATATGGGGGGATATGGGGTGGTTATGGGGGGATATGGGGGGATATGGGGGGGATATGGGGGGATATGGGGTGGTTGTGGGGGGATATGGGGGGATATGGGTGGTTTTGGGGGGATATGGGGTGGTTATGGGGGGATATGGGGGGATATGGGGTGGTTATGGGGGGATATGGGGGGGTATGGAGGGGTTAGGGGGGGATATGGGGAGATATGGGGTTGTTATGGGGTGATATGGGGGGGATATGGGTGTGATATGGGGAGATATGGGGGGATATGGGGGGATATGGTGGGGATGTGGGGGATTAGGGGGGGATATGGGGTGGTTATGGGGGGATATGGGGTGGTTATGGGGGGGATATGGGGGGATATGGGGTGGTTTTGGGGGGGTATGGGGTGGTTTTGGGGGGATATGGGGGGATATGGGGTGGTTATGGGGGGATATGGGGGGATATGGGGTGGTTATGGGGGGATATGGGGTGGTTTTGGGGGGATATGGGGTGGTTATGGGGGGATATGGGGTGGTTATGGGGGGATATGGGGTAGTTATGGGGGGATATGGGGAGATATGGGGGGATATGGGGGGATATGAGGGAATACAGGGGGGTTATGGGGTGGGTATGGGGGGTTATGGGGGGATATGGGGTGGTTATGGGGGGATATGGGGTGGTTGTGGGTGGTTTTGGGGGTATATGGGGGGATATGGGGTGGTTTTGGGGGGATATGGGGTGATATGGGGGATATTGGGTGGTTTTGGGGGTATATGGAGGGATATGGGGTGGTTTTGGGGGGATATGGGTGGTTTTGGGGGGATATGGGGTGGTTTTGGGGGGATGTGGGGTGGTTATGGGGGGATATGGGGAGATATGGGGGGGGTGGGGGGTTAGGGGGGGATATGGGGGGGATATGAGGGAATACAGGGGGGTTATGGGGTGGGTATGGGGGGGATATTGGGGGATATGGGGTGGTTATGGGGGATATGGGGGGATATGGGGGGGATATGGGGGGATATGCGGTGGTTATGGGGGGATATGGGGAGATATGGGGTGGTTATGGGGGGATATGGGGTGGTTATGGGGGGATACGGGGTGGGTATGGGGGGATATGGGGGGGATATGGGGGGATATGGGGTGGTTATGGGGGGATACGGGGTGGGTATGGGGTGATATGGGGTGGGTATGAGGGGATATGGGGGGATATTGGTCTCCATGTATTCTGTGGGTCCCTATGGGTCTCCATGTGTCCCTATGGGTCCCTATGGGTCTCCATGTGTCCCTATGGGTCGCTATGGGTCTCCATGTGTCCCTATGGGTCTCCATGGGTCCTTGTGGGTCCCTGTGGGTCTCCATGTGTCCCTATGTGTGCCTATGGGTCCCTATGGGTCCTTATGGGTCGATGTGGGTCCCTATGGGTCCCTGTGTGTCCCTATGGGTCCCTATGGGGCTCTATGGGTCCCTATGGGTCTCCATGGGTCCCTATGGGTCCCTATGGCTCCCTGTGGGTCGCTGTGGGTCTCCACGTGTCCCTATGCGTCCCTATGGGTCCCTATGGGTCGCTATGGGTCGCTGTGGGTTTCAATGGGTCCCTGTGGGTCTCCATGTGTCCCTATGGGTCCCTATGGGTCTCCATGTGTCCCTATGGGTCCCTATGGGTCCCTATGGGTCTCCATGTGTCCCTATGGCTCCCTATGGCTCCCTATGGCTCCCTGTGGGTCGCTGTGGGTCTCCATGTGTTCCTATGGGTCCCTATGGGGCTCTATGGGTCCCTATGGGTCCCTATGGGTCTCCATGTGTCCCTATGGCTCCCTATGGCTCCCTATGGCTCCCTATGGCTCCCTGTGGGTCGCTGTGGGTCTCCATGTGTCCCAGTGGCTCCCTATGGGTCGCTATGGGTCTCCATGTGTCCCTATGTGTCCCTATGGGTCGCAGTGGGTCGCTATGGGTCGCTGTGGGTCGCAGGTGGAGAAGCGGGAGCTGCGGGGCCGGACGCTGCTGCGGGTGCCGGGCTACGAGCAGCCCGTGGAGTTTGGGGTCCTGGTGGCCTTCGCGTATCCACTGGAGGGGGCCGGTATGTGGGGGGGGGTGGGGGGCAGGGGTGGGGGGCTGGGGGGTGGGGGGTGTGGGATGGGGGGCAAGGAGGGGTGTGGGGCTGGGGGGGAGTGGGGGATGGGGGGTTGGGGTTGTGGGTTGTGGGGCTGGGGGTGTGTGGGGCTGGGGAGGTGTGGGGTTGGGGGGGTGTGGGGCTGGGGCAGCTGGGGCTGGGGGGGCTGGGGGTGGGGTGTGAGTTGTGGGGCTGGGGGGGGTGTGAGGCTGAAGGATGTGGGGTGTGTGGGGTGGGATGTGGGGCTGGGGGGGGTGGGGTTGGGGGACTGGGAGGATGGGGGGCTGGGGGGGTTGGGGGGTGTGGGATGTGGGGCAAGGGGGGGTGTGGGGCTGGGGGTCTGGAAGTGGGGGGTGTGGGGCTGGGGGGGGCTGGGGGACTGGGGGGGTGTGGGGCTGGGGGAGGTTGTGGGGCTGGGGGGGGTGTGGGGCTGAGGGATGTGGGGTGTGCGGGGTGGGATGTGGGGCTGGGGGGGGTGTGGGGCTGGGGGGGGCTGGGGGACTGGGGGGGTGTGGGGCTGAGGGATGTTGTGGGGCTGGGGGCGGTGTGGGGCTGAGGGATGTGGGGTGTGCGGGGTGGGATGTGGGGCTGGGGGGGGTGTGGGGCTGGGGGTCTGGGGGTAGGGGGTGTGGGGCTGGGGGGGGACTGGGGGGCTGGGGGGGTGTGGGGCTGGGGGAGGTTGTGGGGCTGGGGGGGGTGTGGGGCTGAGGGATGTGGGGTGCGCAGGGTGGGATGTGGGGCTGGGGGGGGTGTGGGGCTGGGGGCGCTGGGGGGTGGGGGGTGTTGGTCTGGGGGGGGCTGGGGGACTGGGGGTGTGGGGCTGGGGGAGGTTGTGGGGCTGGGGGGGTGTGGGGCTGAGGGATGTGGGGTGTGCGGGGTGGGATGTGGGGCTGGGGGGGTGTGGGGCTGGGGGTCTGGGGGTGGGGGGTGTGGGGCTGGGGGGGGCTGGGGGACTGGGGGGGTGTGGGGCTGGGGGAGGTTGTGGGGCTGGGGGTCTGGGGGGTGGGGGGGTGTGGGGCTGGGGGGGACAGGGGGGGTGGGGGGGTGTGGGGCTGGGGGAGGTTGTGGGGCTGGGGGTCTGGGGGGTGGAGGGTGTGGGGCTGGGGGGGCTGGGGGGCAAGGGGGGGGGTGGGGGGCTGGGGGGGTGGGGGTGTGGGATGTGGGGCAAGGGGGGGTGTGGGGTGGGGGGTGTGGGGCTGGGGGTCTGGGCGGTGGGGGGTGTTGGTCTGGGGGACGCTGGGGGCTGGGTGGGGGGTGGGAGGAGTGGGGGGCTGGGGGTGATGGAGTGTGGGGCTGCAGGTTATGGGGTGTGGGGCTGCAGGTTATGGGGTGTGGGGCTGGAGGTTGTGGGGCTGCAGGTTATGGGGTGTGGGGCTGGAGGTTATGGGGTGTGGGGCTGCAGGTTGTGGGGTGTGGGGCTGGAGGTTGTGGGGTGTGGGGCTGCAGGTTGTGGGGTGTGGGGCTGCAGGTTGTGGGGTGTGGGGCTGCAGGTTATGGGGTGTGGGGCTGCAGGTTATGGGGTGTGGGGCTGCAGGTTGTGGGGTGTGGGGCTGCAGGTTATGGGGTGTGGGGCTGCAGGTTGTGGGGTGTGGGGCTGGAGGTTATGGGGTGTGGGGCTGGAGGTTGTGGGGTGTGGGGCTGGAGGTTATGGGGTGTGGGGCTGGAGGTTATGGGGTGTGGGGCTGCAGGTTGTGGGGTGTGGGGCTGCAGGTTATGGGGTGTGGGGCTGGAGGTTATGGGGTGTGGGGCTGCAGGTTGTGGGGTGTGGGGCTGCAGGTTGTGGGGTGTGGGGCTGCAGGTTGTGGGGTGTGGGGCTGCAGGTTGTGGGGCTGGAGGTTATGGGGTGTGGGGCTGCAGGTTGTGGGGTGTGGGGCTGCAGGTTGTGGGGTGTGGGGCTGCAGGTTGTGGGGCTGCAGGTTATGGGGTGTGGGGCTGGAGGTTATGGGGTGTGGGGCTGCAGGTTGTGGGGCTGCAGGTTGTGGGGTGTGGGGCTGCAGGTTGTGGGGTGTGGGGCTGCAGGTTGTGGGGCTGCAGGTTGTGGGGTGTGGGGCTGGAGGTTGTGGGGTGTGGGGCTGGAGGTTGTGGGGCTGCAGGTTGTGGGGTGTGGGGCTGGAGGTTATGGGTTGTGGGGCTGGAGGTTGTGGGGTGTGGGGCTGGAGGTTGTGGGGCTGGAGGTTGTGGGGTGTGGGGCTGCAGGTTATGGGGTGTGGGGCTGCAGGTTGTGGGGTGTGGGGCTGCAGGTTATGGGGTGTGGGGCTGCAGGTTGTGGGGCTGCAGGTTATGGGGTGTGGGGCTGGAGGTTGTGGGGTGTGGGGCTGCAGGTTGTGGGGTGTGGGGCTGCAGGTTGTGGGGTGTGGGGCTGCAGGTTATGGGGTGTGGGGCTGCAGGTTGTGGGGCTGCAGGTTGTGGGGTGTGGGGCTGGAGGTTATGGGGTGTGGGGCTGCAGGTTGTGGGGTGTGGGGCTGCAGGTTGTGGGGCTGCAGGTTATGGGGTGTGGGGCTGCAGGTTGTGGGGTGTGGGGCTGCAGGTTGTGGGGTGTGGGGCTGCAGGTTGTGGGGTGTGGGGCTGGAGGTTATGGGGTGTGGGGCTGCAGGTTGTGGGGCTGCAGGTTGTGGGGTGTGGGGCTGGAGGTTGTGGGGTGTGGGGCTGCAGGTTGTGGGGCTGGAGGTTGTGGGGTGTGGGGCTGCAGGTTATGGGGTGTGGGGCTGCAGGTTGTGGGGCTGCAGGTTGTGGGGTGTGGGGCTGGAGGTTGTGGGGTGTGGGGCTGGAGGTTGTGAGGTGTGGGGCTGGAGGTTGTGGGGTGTGGGGCTGCAGGTTGTGGGGTTTGGGGCTGCAGGTTGTGGGGCTGCAGGTTGTGGGGTGTGGGGCTGGAGGTTGTGGGGTGTGGGGCTGCAGGTTATGGGGTGTGGGGCTGCAGGTTGTGGGGTGTGGGGCTGGAGGTTGTGGGGTGTGGGGCTGCAGGTTGTGGGGTGTGGGGCTGGAGGTTGTGGGGTGTGGGGCTGCAGGTTGTGGGGTGTGGGGCTGCAGGTTGTGGGGCTGCAGGTTGTGGGGTGTGGGGCTGCAGGTTGTGGGGTGTGGGGCTGCAGGTTGTGGGGTGTGGGGCTGCAGGTTATGGGGTGTGGGGCTGGAGGTTGTGGGGTGTGGGGCTGGAGGTTATGGGGTGTGGGGCTGCAGGTTGTGGGGCTGCAGGTTGTGGGGTGTGGGGCTGGAGGTTGTGGGGTGTGGGGCTGCAGGTTGTGGGGCTGGAGGTTATGGGGTGTGGGGCTGCAGGTTGTGGGGCTGGAGGTTGTGGGGTGTGGGGCTGCAGGTTGTGGGGCTGGAGGTTGTGGGGTGTGGGGCTGCAGGTTGTGGGGTGTGGGGCTGCAGGTTGTGGGGCTGCAGGTTATGGGGTGTGGGGCTGCAGGTTGTGGGGTGTGGGGCTGCAGGTTGTGGGGTGTGGGGCTGCAGGTTGTGGGGCTGGAGGTTATGGGGTGTGGGGCTGCAGGTTGTGGGGTGTGGGGCTGCAGGTTGTGGGGCTGCAGGTTATGGGGTGTGGGGCTGCAGGTTGTGGGGTGTGGGGCTGGAGGTTGTGGGGTGTGGGGCTGCAGGTTGTGGGGCTGCAGGTTGTGGGGTGTGGGGCTGGAGGTTGTGGGGTGTGGGGCTGGAGGTTGTGGGGTGTGGGGCTGCAGGTTGTGGGGCTGGAGGTTATGGGGTGTGGGGCTGCAGGTTGTGGGGTGTGGGGCTGGAGGTTATGGGGTGTGGGGCTGCAGGTTGTGGGGCTGCAGGTTATGGGGTGTGGGGCTGCAGGTTGTGGGGCTGGAGGTTATGGGGTGTGGGGCTGCAGGTTGTGGGGTGTGGGGCTGCAGGTTATGGGGTGTGGGGCTGGAAGTTGTGGGGTGTGGGGCTGCAGGTTGTGGGGTGTGGGGCTGCAGGTTATGGGGTGTGGGGCTGCAGGTTGTGGGGTGTGGGGCTGGAGGTTGTGGGGTGTGGGGCTGCAGGTTATGGGGTGTGGGGCTGGAGGTTGTGGGGTGTGGGGCTGCAGGTTATGGGGTGTGGGGCTGCAGGTTATGGGGTGTGGGGCTGGAGGTGTGGGGTGTGGGGCTGCAGGTTGTGGGGGCTGCAGGTTATGGGGTGTGGGGCTGGAGGTTGTGGGGTGTGGGGCTGCAGGTTGTGGGGCTGGAGGTTATGGGGTGTGGGGCTGGAGGTTATGGGGTGTGGGGCTGCAGGTTGTGGGGTGTGGGGCTGCAGGTTGTGGGGCTGGAGGTTGTGGGGTGTGGGGCTGGAGGTTGTGGGGTGTGGGGCTGCAGGTTGTGGGGTGTGGGGCTGCAGGTTGTGGGGCTGGAGGTTGTGGGGTGTGGGGCTGCAGGTTATGGGGTGTGGGGCTGCAGGTTGTGGGGCTGGAGGTTGTGGGGTGTGGGGCTGCAGGTTGTGGGGTGTGGGGCTGCAGGTTGTGGGGTGTGGGGCTGCAGGTTGTGGGGTGTGGGGCTGCAGGTTGTGGGGTGTGGGGCTGGAGGTTGTGGGGCTGCAGGTTGTGGGGTGTGGGGCTGCAGGTTATGGGGTGTGGGGCTGCAGGTTGTGGGGCTGCAGGTTATGGGGTGTGGGGCTGCAGGTTGTGGGGTGTGGGGCTGCAGGTTATGGGGTGTGGGGCTGGAGGTTGTGGGGTGTGGGGCTGCAGGTTGTGGGGTGTGGGGCTGCAGGTTGTGGGGTGTGGGGCTGCAGGTTATGGGGTGTGGGGCTGCAGGTTATGGGGTGTGGGGCTGCAGGTTGTGGGGCTGCAGGTTGTGGGGTGTGGGGCTGCAGGTTATGGGGTGTGGGGCTGGAGGTTGTGGGGTGTGGGGCTGGAGGTTGTGGGGTGTGGGGCTGCAGGTTGTGGGGTGTGGGGCTGCAGGTTGTGGGGCTGGAGGTTGTGAGGTGTGGGGCTGGAGGTTATGGGGTGTGGGGCTGCAGGTTGTGGGGTGTGGGGCTGCGAGGTTGTGGGGCTGGAGGTTGTGGGGTGTGGGGCTGGAGGTTGTGGGGTGTGGGGCTGCAGGTTATGGGGTGTGGGGCTGCAGGTTGTGGGGCTGCAGGTTATGGGGTGTGGGGCTGCAGGTTGTGGGGCTGGAGGTTGTGGGGTGTGGGGCTGGAGGTTGTGAGGTGTGGGGCTGCAGGTTGTGGGGTGTGGGGCTGCAGGTTGTGGGGCTGCAGGTTATGGGGCGATGTGGGGCAGAGAGATGGACGCTATGGGGCAGAAATAGGGTCACAGTGTGGTGCTATGGGGCAGCACAGAGGCGCTGTGGGGCGGCACAGAGTCAGTATGGGGTGACACAGAGGCGCTATGGGGCAGCACAGAGGCGCTATGGGGCAGCACAGAGGCGCTGTGGGGTAGCACAGAGGCGCTATGGGGCGCTATGGGGTGACACAGAACGCTATGGGGCAGCACAGAGGCGCTATGGGGCGCTATGGGGCAGCACAGAGGCGCTATGGGGCGGCACAGAGGCGCTATGGGGCGCTATGGGGCAGCACAGAGGCGCTATGGGGCAGCACAGAGGCACTATGGGGCGCTATGCGGCGGCATAGAGGCGCTATGGGGCGGCACAGAGGCGCTATGGGGCGGCACAGAGGCGCTGTGGGGCGCTATGGGGCGGCACAGAGGCACTATGGGGAGCTATGGGGCAGCACAGAGGCGCTCTGGGGCAGCACAGAGGCTCTATGGGGCGCTGTGGGGCGGCACAGAGGCGGTATGGGGCAGCACAGAGGCACTATGGGGCGCTATGGGGCAGCACAGAGGCGCTATGGGGCAGCACGGAGGCGCTGTGGGGCGCTATGGGGTGGCACAGAGGCGCTATGGGGCAGCACGGTGGCGCTGTGGGGCGCTATGGGGCAGCACGGAGGCACTGTGGGGCGCTGTGGGGCGCTATGGGGCAGCACGGTGGCGCTGTGGGGCGCTATGGGGCAGCACAGAGGCGCTGTGGGGCGCTATGGGGCGGCACAGAGGCGCTATGGGGCAGCACGGTGGCGCTGTGGGGCGCTATGGGGCAGCACGGAGGCGCTGTGGGGCGCTATGGGACAGCACGGAGGCGCTGTGGGGCAGCACGGTGGCGCTATGGGGCGCTATGGGGCAGCACAGAGGCGCTGTGGGGCGCTATGGGGCGGCACAGAGGCGCTATGGGGCGCTATGGGGCAGCACGGAGGCGCTGTGGGCAGCAAGGCGCTGTGGGGCGCTATGGGGCGCTATGGGCCAGCACGGTGGCGCTATGGGGCGGCACAGAGGCACTGTGGGGCGCTATGGGGCAGCACAGAGGCACTATGGGGCAGCACGGAGGCGCTGTGGGGCGCTGTGGGGCGCTATGGGGCAGCACGGAGGCACTGTGGGGCGCTATGGGGCAGCACGGAGGCACTGTGGGGCGCTGTGGGGCGCTATGGGTCAGCACGGTGGCGCTATGGGGCGGCACAGAGGCACTATGGGGCGCTATGGGGCGGCACAGAGGCGCTATGGGGTGGCACGGAGGCGCTATGGGGCGTCACAGAGGTGCTATGGGGCAGCACAGAGGCACTATGGGGCGCTATGGGGCAGCACAGAGGCACTATGGGGCGCTATGGGGCAGCACGGAGGCACTGTGGGGCGCTATGGGGCAGCACAGTGGCGCTATGGGGCAGCACAGAGGCGCTGTGGGGCGCTATGGGGCAGCACGGAGGCACTGTGGGGCGCTGTGGGGCGCTATGGGGCAGCACGGAGGCACTGTGGGGCGCTATGGGGCAGCACGGAGGCGCTGTGGGGCGCTATGGGGCAGCACGGTGGCGCTGTGGGGCGCTATGGGGCAGCACGGTGGCGCTATGGGGCGCCGTGCATGCAGGCCGTGCCCCACACAGGGCCCGGCTCGGAGGTGGTGGTGGCCACGACGCGGCCGGAAACCATGCTGGGGGACGCCGCCGTCGCCGTGCATCCCGACGACCCCCGCTACCAGGTGGGCGGGACTTCCGGGAGGGGGGTGGGACTTCCGGTGGCGGGGAGGGGCGGGACTTCCGGGTGGGGCGGGGTTTTGGGTGGGCTGAAGGGGGATGGGGGGGTGATGCTTCTGTGGGTGGGAGCCATGGATCCCATAGAGATCCATAGATCCCATAGGGACCCATAGATCCCATAGGGACCCATAGATCCCATAGGGACCCATAGATCCCATAGGGACCCATAGATCCTGTAGGGACCTATAGATCCCATAGGGGCTCGTAGGGGACCCATCGATCCCATAGGGACCCACAGAGGTTCCCATAGATCCCATACAGACCCATAGATCTCATAAGGACTCATAGGGGTCCTATAGATCCCATAAGGACCCATAGATCCCATAGGGACTCATTGAGGGACCCATAGATCCCATACAGACCCACAGAGGGACCCATAGATTCAATAGGGATCCACAGAGGGACCCATAGATGCCATAGGGACCCATAGATTCCGTAAGGACCCATAGATCCCATAGGGACTCATAGATCCCATAAGGACCCATAGATCCCATAAGGACTCATTGAGGGACCCATAGATCCCATACAGACCCACAGAGGGACCCATAGATCCCATACGGACCCATAGATCCCATAAGGACTCGTAGGGGTCCTATAGATCCCATAAGGACCCATAGATCCCATAGGGACCCATAGATTCCGTAAGGACCCATAGATCCCATAGGGACTCGTAGGGAGACCCATAGATCCCATAGGGACTTATAGATCCCATAAGGACTCATTGAGGGACCCATAGATCCCATACAGACCCACAGAGGGACCCATAGATCCCATACGGACCCATAGATCTCATAAGGACTCGTAGGGGTCCTATAGATCCCATAAGGACCCATAGATCCCATAGGGACCCATAGATCCCATAGGGACTCGTAGGGGGACCCATAGATCCCATAGGGACTTACAGATCCCTTGAGGACCCATAGATCCCATAGAGATCTATAGATCCCATAGAGCCCCTTGGAGCCCAATGGAGTCCCATAGATCTCAAATCCAATAGAGACCCATAGCAACCCATAGATCCCACAGAGCCCCACTGAGTCCCACAGAGACCCATAGATCCCATAGCGACCCATAGATCCCATAGTGACTGATAGATCCCATAGGGCCCCTTGGAGCCCAATAGAGTCCCATAGATCCCATAAATCCCGTAGAGACCCATAGCAACCCATAGATCCCATAGAGATTTATAGATCCCATACAGACCCATAGATCCCCTAGAGCCCCTTGGAGCCCAATAGAGTCCCATAGATCCCATAAATCCCATAGATCCCATAGAGCCCCATAGATCCCATAAATCCCATAGATTCTGTAGCGACCCATAGATCCCATAGAGCCCCTAGATCCCATAGGGACCCATAGATCCCATAGAGCTCCATAGATCCTATAGCTACCCATAGATCCCATAGGGCCCCATAGATCCTATAGCGACCCATAGATCCCATAGAGCTCCATACATCCTATAGCGACCCATAGGTCCCATAGAGCCCCATAGATTCCATAGAGCTCCATAGGTCACATAGAGCCCCATAGATCCCATAGCGACCCATAGATCCCATAGAGCTCCATAGATCCCATAGAGCCCCATAGATCTCATAGATCCCATTGAGGCCCATAAAGGGACCCTTGGATCACATACAGACCCATAGAAGGACCCATAGAAACCATAGAGTCCCATTGAGACCCATAGATCCCATAGAGCTCCATAGATCCCATAGAGCCCCATAGATCCTGTAGCGACCCATAGATCCCACAGAGCCCCATAGATCCCATAGAGACCCATCGATCCCATAGAGCCCCATAGATCCTATCGCGACCTATAGATCCCATAGAGCTCCATAGATCCCATAGGGCCCCATAGATCCTATGGTGACCCATAGATTCCGTAGAGCCCCATAGAGCCCCATAGATTCTATAGTGACCCATAGATCCCATAGAGCCCCCTAGATCCCATAGAGAGCCCCATAGATCCTATGGTGACCTATAGATCCCATAGAGCCCCATAGATCCTATGGCGACCCATAGATCCCATAGAGCCCCATAGATCCCCATAGATCCTATGGCAACCTATAGATCCCATAGAGCCCCATAGATCCTATAGCGACCCATAGATCCCATAGAGCTCCATAGATCCTATAGAGCCCCATAGATCCTATAGCAACCCATAGATCCTATAGAGCCCAATAGATCCCATCAAGCCCCATAGGGCCCCATAGATCCTATAGCGACCCATAGATCCCATAGAGCTCCATAGATTCTATAGAGCCCCATAGATCCTATAGCGACCCATAGATCCCATAGAGCTCCATAGATTCTATAGAGCCCCATAGATCCTATAGCGACCCATAGATCCCATAGAGCCCAATAGATCCCATAGAGCCCAATAGATCCCATAGAGCCCCATAGGGCCCCATAGATCCTATAGCGACCCATAGATCCCGTAGAGCTCCATAGATCCTATAGAGCCCCATAGATCCTATAGCAACCCATAGAGCCCATAGAGCCCAATAGATCCCATAGAGCCCCATAGGGCCCCATAGATCCTATAGCGACCCATAGATCCCATAGAGCTCCATAGATCCTATAGAGCCCCATAGATCCTATAGCAACCCATAGAGCCCATAGAGCCCAATAGATCCCATAGAGCCCCATAGAGCCCCATAGATCCTATAGCAATCCATAGATCCCATAGAGCCCCATAGATCCCATAGAGCCCCATAGATCCTATAGCGACCCATAGATCCCATAGAGCCCCACAGGTCCTATAGAGCCCCATAGATCCTATAGCAACCCATAGATCCCATAGAGCCCCATAGATCCCATAGAGCCCCATAGGGCCCCATAGATCCTATAGCGACCCATAGATCCCATATAGCTCCATAGATCCTATAGAGCCCCATAGATCCTATAGCAACCCATAGATCCCATAGAGCCCCATAGATCCCATAGAGCCCCATAGGGCCCCATAGATCCTATAGCAACCCATAGATCCTATAGCAACCCATAGATCCCATAGAGCCCCCTAGATCCCATAGAGCCCCATAGATCCTATAGCGACCCATAGAGCCCCACAGGTCCCATAGAGCTCCATAGAGCCCCATAGATCCTATAGCAACCCATAGATCCCATAGAGCCCCATAGATCCCATCAAGCCCCATAGGGCCCCATAGATCCTATAGCGACCCATAGATCCCATAGAGCTCCATAGATCCTATAGAGCCCCATAGATCCTATAGCAACCCATAGATCCTATAGAGCCCAATAGATCCCATCAAGCCCCATAGGGCCCCATAGATCCTATAGCGACCCATAGATCCCATAGAGCCCCACAGGTCCTATAGAGCCCCATAGAGCCCCATAGATCCTATAGCAATCCATAGATCCCATAGAGCCCCATAGATCCCATAGAGCCCCATAGATCCTATAGCGACCCATAGATCCCATAGAGCCCCACAGGTCCCATAGAGCCCCATAGAGCCCCATAGATCCTATAGCGACCCATAGATCCCATAGAGCCCCACAGGTCCCATAGAGCCCCATAGATCCCATAGAGCCCCATGGCTTCTTGGTGACTCTCTGTAGGGCAGACCCACAGATCCCCGTTAATTGCCACCATTAATTGCCCCACTCATTACCCTAATGAGGTAAGGGATGGGGGGGGGGGGGCGAGTGCAGGAGCGATGGGCGGGACTTCCGGGTGCGGGATGAGGGCGTGGCCAATGGCTGACAGCCTTGCCCCGCTCCCAGCACCTGATTGGTCGGCGCGTGGTGCACCCGTTCACCGGGCAGAGCCTGCCAATCATCATGGACGCCTTCGTCGACCCCCAGTTTGGAACCGGTGAGGGGGCGGGGCTTGGGGAAAGGGGCGGGGCTTAAACGGAGCAGGGCTAGGGGAAGGGGCGGGGCTTGGAGAGGGGCGGAGCCATGTGTGGATGGGGGGGTTTGAAATGGGAGGGGTTTGAAGTGGGGCGGGGCTTGGAAAAGGGGCGGGGCTTGGAGAGGGGCGGAGCCATGTGTGGATGGGGGGGTTTGAAATGGGCGGGGTTTGAAGTGGGGGAGGGGCTTGGAAACGGGGCGGGGCTTGGAGAGGGGCGGAGCCATGTGTGGATGGGGGTTGAAATGGGCAGGGTTTGAAGTGGGGGCGGGGCTTGGAAAAGGGGCGGGGCTTGGAGAGGGGCGGAGCCATGTGTGGATGGGGGGGTTGAAATGGGCGGGGTTTGAAGTGGGGGCGGGGCTTGGAAAAGGGGCGGAGCTTGGAGAGGGGCGGAGCCATGTGTGGATGGGGGGGTTTGAAATGGGAGGGGTTTGAAGTGGGGGAGGGGCTTGGAAACGGGGCGGGGCTTGGAGAGGGGCGGAGCCATGTGTGGATGGGGGGGTTTGAAATGGGCGGGGTTTGAAGTGGGGGCGGGGCTTGGAAAAGGGGCGGGGCTTGGAGAGGGTGGGAGGGAAAGGGGGCGTGGCTAGAAGTGGGAGGAGCTTAAATTGGTGGTAGCAAAAGTGGGCGTGGCTTAAATGGAGGGTGAGGCCTGGAGTGAAGGAGGCGTGGAAAGGGGCGGAGCTTAAAGAGGAGGTGGGGTTTTAAAATGGGCGGAGCCAGAGGTGGGAGGAGCTTTGAATCGGCTGGAAGCAAAAGCAGGGTTTATAAAGGGGCGGGGTTTAGGAGGGGCGGAGCTTAAATGTGGGTGTGTGCTGAAGTGGGCGGGGCTTATAGAGGGGTGTGGAGCATGGCAAGGGGCGGGGCTTAGAGGGGGCGGGGCTTGGAAAGGGTAGGGGCTTATAGGGGGTGGAGCTTGGGAAGGGGAGGAGCTTATCTGGGGCGGAGCTTGGAGGTGAGACGCCTTGAAAAGGGCGGGGCTTATAGAGGGTGGGACGTGGAAAGGGGCGGAGCTTAGAGGGGGCGGGGCTTGCAAAGGGCGGGGCTTATTGCAGGGAGGGCTTGGAAGAGGGCGGGGCTTACGGAGGGGTAGAAAGGAGGAGGGTTTGGGAGGGGGTGGAGCTTAGGAAGGGGAGGAGCTTATAGAGGGTGGGGCTTGGAAAGGGGCGTGGCTTAAAAGGGGGTGGAGCCTGGACAATGCTTAAAGAGGGTTTGGGTGTGGAAATGGGTGGAGCCAAAAGGGGCGGAGCTTGGAGGTGGGTGGGTCCGGAAGTGGGCGGGGCTTTAAAGGGGGCGGAGCTTGCTGTGCACGTGGTGTAGAATGGGCGGAGCTTATGGAGGGGAGGAGCACAGGAAGGGGAGGGGCTTATAGAGGGGGAAGCTTATAGAGAGGTGGGGCTTGGGAAGGGGAGGAGCTTATAGGAGGTGGGGCTTGGGAGGGGGCGGGGCTTATAAAGGGGTGGAGCCTAGGGGTAGGAGGGGCTTATAGGGGGTGCGTCTGTGATTGGGGTGGGGCCAGAAGTGGGCGGGGCTTGAAAAAATGTGCTGGGTCTGAAGTGGGCGGGGTTTATTGAGGGGTGGGGGCGGGGCCAGAAGTGGGCAGCACTTGGAGATTGGTGGGATGACAAGTGGGCGGTGCTTACAGCAGGGTGGGATTTGATTGGAGGCAGGGCCAGAAGGCAGCGGAGGAGGGGGATGGGAGGGATGAGAAGTGGGCGGAGCTTAGGAAGGGGTGGAGCTTGGAGATGGGAGGGGCATAGAGGGGTGGGGGCGGGGCTTGGATAGCAAACGAGTCAGAAGCAGATGGGGCTCAGGAAGGGGTGGAGCTTACGGAAGGGTGGGTTGCGATGTGGGCGGGGCCAGAAGCGGGCAGAGCTTCCGGATTGGTTGGAATAGAAGTGGGCGGAGCTTAGGAAGGGGTGGAGCTTGGGGGTGGGAGGGGCTTAGAGGGGTGGGGGCGGGGCTTGGGTCAGAAGCAGATGGGGCTCAGGAAGGGGTGGACCTTATGGAAGCGTGTGTTGCGATGTGGGCGGGGCCAGAAGCGGGCAGAGCTTGCAGATTGGTTGGAATAGAAGTGGGCGGAGCTTGGGAAGGGGTGGAGCTTGGGGGTGGGAGGGGCTTATAGGCTGGGGGCGGGGCTTGAGAAGCAGGCTGGTCAGAAGCAAGTGGGGCTCAGGAAGGGGCGGAGCTTACAGAAGCGTGAGTTGTGGTGTGGGCGGGGCCAGAAGCGGGCAGAGCTTGCAGATTGGTTGGAATAGAAGTGGGCGGAGCTTGGGAGGGGTGGAGCTTGGAGATGGGAGGGGCATAGAGGGGTGGGGGCGGGGCTTGGATAGCGAACGAGTCAGAAGCAGATGGGGCTCAGGAAGGGGCGGAGCTTACGGAAGGGTGGGTTGTGGTGGGGGGGCGGGGCCAGAAGTGGGCAGGGCTTGCGGATTGGATGGAATAGAAGTGGGCGGAGCTTGGGAGGGGTGAAGCTTGGAGGTGGGAGGGGCTTAGAGGGGTGGGGGCGGGGCTTGGAAAGCGAACGAGTCAGAAGCAGATGGGGCTCAGGAAGGGGCGGAGCTTATGGAAGGGTGGGTTGTCAAGTGGGCGGGACCAGAAGCAGGCGGAGCTTGCAGATTGGGTGGAATAGAAGTGGGCGGAGCTTAGGAAGGGGTGGAGCTTGGGGGTGGGAGGGGTTATAGGGGTGGGGGCGGGGCTTGAGAAGCAGGCAGGTCAGAAGCAGATGGGGCTCAGGAAGGGGCGGAGCTTACGGAAGGGTGGGTTGCGGTGGGGGGGCGGGGCCAGAAGCAGGCAGGGCTTGCGGATTGGTTGGAATATAAGTGGGCGGAGCTTAGGAAGGGGTGGAGCTTGGGGGTGGGAGGGGTTATAGGGGTGGGGGCGGGGCTTGGGTCAGAAGCAGGCGGGGCTCCAAAAGGGGCGGAGCTTACAGAAGGCTGGGCTGCGGTGTGGGTGTGGTGAGAAGCGGGCAGAGCTTGCAGATTGGATGGAATAGAAGTGGGCGGAGCTTAGGAAGGGGTGGAGCTTAGAGGTGGGAGGGGCTTAGAGGGGTGGGGGCGGGGCTTGGAAAACGAACGAGTCAGAAGCAGATGGGGCTCAGGAAGGGGCGGAGCTTACGGAAGGATGGGTTGCGATGTGGGCGGGGCCAGAAGCTGGCAGAGCTTGGAGATTGGTTGGAATAGAAGTGGGCGGAGGTTAAGGAGGGGTGGAGCTTGGGGGTGGGAGGGGCTTAGAGGATGGGGGCGGGGCTTGAGAAGTGGGCATGGCTCCGAAAGGGGCGGAGCTTACGGAAGAATGGGTTGTGTTGGAGGGGCGAGGCCAGAAGCGGGCAGGGCTTGCGGATTGGTGGGATGTGGAGTGGGCGGAGCTTAGGAAGGGGTGGAGCTTGGAGGTGGGCGGGGCTTATAGGGGTGGGGGCGGGGCTTGGGTCAGAAGCAGATGGGGCTCAGGAAGGGGTGGAGCTTATGGAAGTGTGTGTTGCGATGTGGGCGGGGCCAGAAGCGGGCAGAGCTTGGAGATTGGTTGGAATAGAAGTGGGCGGAGCTTAGGAAGGGGTGGAGCTTGGGGGTGGGAGGGGTTATAGGGGTGGGGGCGGGGCTTCGGTCAGAAGCAGGCAGGGCTCAAAAAGGGGCGGTTGGGTGTGGGCGGGGCCAGAAGCGGGCGGAGCTTGCAGATTGGTTGGAATAGAAGTGGGCGGAGGTTGAGGAGGAGTGGAGCTTGGAGGTGGGAGGGGCTTATAGGGATGGGGGCGGGGCTTGGAAAGCGAATGAGTCAGAAGCAGATGGGGCTTCGGAAGGGGCGGAGCTTATGGAAGGATGGGTTGCGATGTGGGCGGGGCCAGAAGTTGGCAGAGCTTCCAGATTGGTTGGAATAGAAGTGGGCGGAGGTTGAGGAGGGGTGGAGCTTGGGGATGGGAGGGGCTTATAGGGGTGGGGGCGGGGCTTGGAAAGCGAATGAGTCAGAAGCAGTTGGGGCTCAGGAAGGGGCGGAGCTTACGGAAGGGTGGGTTGCGGTGGGGGGGCGGGGCCAGAAGCGGGCAGGGCTTGCGGATTGGTGGGATGTGAAGTGGGCGGAGCTTGGGAGGGGTGGAGCTTGGGGTGGGAGGGGCTTATAGGGGTGGGGGCGGGGCTTGGAAAGCGAATGAGTCAGAAGCAGATGGGGCTCAGGAAGGGGCGGAGCTTACAGAAGAATGGGTTGTGTTGGAGGGGCGGGGCCAGAAGCGGGCAGAGCTTGCAGATTGGTTGGAATAGAAGTGGGCGGAGCTTGGGGAGGGGTGTGGCTGGGGGTCCCTGATCTGCCCCCCCCCCCCCAGGAGCGGTGAAGGTGACCCCGGCCCACGACGCCACCGACTTCGATGTGGGGCAGCGGCACCAGCTGCCATTGCTCAGCATCATTGGCGAGGACGGCAGGCTGCTCAACGTGCCCCCCCCCTTCCTGGTGAGATGGGGGGCCGCTGTGGGGCGCTATGGGGCGGCTATGGGGCACTATGGGGTGGCTATGGGGTGCCTATGGGGTGCCTATGGGGCGCTATGGGGTGGCTATGGGGCGCTATGGGGCTGTATGGGGCAGATATGGGGCGCTATGGGGTGGCTATGGGGTGCTGTGAGGCGCTATGGGGCAGATATGGGGCACTATGGGGTGGCTATGGGGCGCTGTGAGGCACTATGGGGCAGATATGGGGCACTATGGGGTGGCTATGGGTGCTGTGAAGCTCTATGGGGCAGATTTGGGGCACTATGGGGTAGCTATGGGGTGCTGTGAGGCACTATGGGGCAGATATGGGGCACTAATGGGTGGCTATGGGGTGCTGTGAGGCACTATGGGGCAGATATGGGGCACTATGGGGTGGCTATGGGGTGCTGTGAGGCACTATGAGGAGGATATGGGGCACTATGGGGCGCTGTGGGGCGCTATGGGGTGGTTATGGGGTGCTATGGGGCTGTATCAGGCAGATACGGGGCGCTATGGGGTGGCTATGGGGTGCTGTGAGGCACTATGGGGTATGGGGTGGCTATGGGGTGCTATGGAGTGCTGTGGGGTGGCTATGGGGTGCTGTGAGGCACTATCAGGCAGATACGGCGCACTATGAGGAGCTATGGGGTGTTGTGGGGCACTATGGGGCAGATTTGGGGCGCTATGGGGCGCTATGGGGCAGCGGCACCAGCTGCCATTGCTCAGCATCATTGGTGAGGACGGCAGGCTGCTCAACGTGCCCCCCCCCTTCCTGGTGAGACGGGGGGCCGCTGTGGGGCGCTATGGGGTGCCTATGGGGCGCTATGGGGTGCTATGGGGCACTATGGGGCTGTATGGGGCAGATATGGGGCGCTATGGGGTGGCTATGGGGTGCTGTGAGGCACTATGGGGTATGGGGTGGCTATGGGGTGCTATGGGGCGGCTATGGGGTGGCTATGGGGTGCTATGGGGCACTATGGGGTGGTTATGGGGCGCTATGGGGTGGCTAAGGGGCGCTATGGGGCTGTATCAGGCAGATATGGGGCGCTATGGGGTGGCTATGGGGTGCAGTGAGGCACTATGGGGCAGATATGGGGCACTATGGGGTGGCTATGGGGTGCTGTGAGGCACTATGAGGAGGATATGGGGCACTGTGGGGCGCTATGGGGTGGTTATGGGGTGCTATGGGGCTGTATCAGGCAGATACGGGGCACTATGGGGTGGCTATGGGGTGCTGTGAGGCACTATGGGGTATGGGGTGGCTATGGGGTGCTATGGGGCACTATGGAGTGGTTATGGGGCGCTATGGGGTGGCTATGGGGTGCTATGGGGCTGTATGGGGCAGATATGGGGCGCTATGGGGTGGCTATGGGGTGCTGTGAGGCGCTATGGGGCAGATATGGGGCACTATGGGGTGGCTATGGGGCACTATGGGGTGGCTATGGGGCACTATGGGGTGGCTATGGGGTGCTGTGGGGTACTATGGGGCAGATATGGGGCAGTATGGGGTGGCTATGGGGTGCTGTGAGGCACTATGGGGCAGATATGGGGCACTATGGGGTGGCTATGGGGTGCTATGGGGCACTATGGGGTGGTTATGGGGCGCTATGGGGTGGCTAAGGGGCGCTATGGGGCTGTATCAGGCAGATATGGGGCGCTATGGGGTGGCTATGGGGTGCTGTGAGGCACTATGGGGTATGGGGTGGCTATGGGGTGCTATGGGGCGGCTATGGGGTGGCTATGGGGTGCTATGGGGCACTATGGGGTGGTTATGGGGCGCTATGGGGTGGCTAAGGGGCGCTATGGGGCTGTATCAGGCAGATATGGGGCGCTATGGGGTGGCTATGGGGTGCTGTGAGGCACTATGGGGTATGGGGTGGCTATGGGGTGCTATGGGGCACTATGGGGTGGTTATGGGGCGCTATGGGGTGGCTATGGGGTGCTATGGGGCACTATGGGGCAGATATGGGGCACTATGGGGTGGCTATGGGGTGCTATGGGGCACTATGGGGTGCTATGGGGCACTATGGGATGGCTATGGGGTATTGTGAGGCGCTATGGGGCAGATATGGGGCACTATGGGGAGCTATGGGGCGCTGTGAGGCGCTATGGGGCAGATATGGGGCACTATGGGGTGGCTATGGGGTGCTGTGGGGCACTATGAGGCAGATTTGGGGCAGACATGGGGTGGCTATGGGGTGCTATGGGGCACTATGGGGTGGTTATGGGGCACTATGGGGTGGCTATGGGGTGCTGTGGGGCACTATGGGGCAGATATGGGGCGCTATGGGGTGGCTATGGGGTGCTGTCAGGCATTATGGGGTATGGGGTGGTTATGGGGCAGATAGGGTGGCTATGGGAGCTGTGGGGCGCTATGGGGCGGCTATGGGCTGGCTATGGGGCACTATGGGGTGCTGTGGGGTGGCTGTGGGGTGGTTATGGGGCAATATAGGGTGGCTATGGGGTGCTGTGGGCACTATGAGGAGGATATGGGGCACTATGGGGCGCTATGGGGTGCTGTGAGGCGCTATGGGGTGGCTATGGGGTGTTGTGGGGCACTATGGGGCAGATATGGGGCGCTATGGGGTGGCTATGGGGCGCTGTGGGGCACTATGGGGCAGATATGGGGCGCTATGGGGTGGCTATGGGGCGCTGTGGGGCACTATGGGGCAGATATGGGGCGCTATGGGGTGGCTATGGGGTGCTGTGGGGCACTATGGGGTGCTGTGGGGTGGCTGTGGGGTGGTTATGGGGCAATATAGGGTGGCTATGGGGCGCTGTGGGCACTATGAGGAGGATATGGGGCACTATGGGGTGATGTGAGGCACTATGGGGTGGTTATGGGGCAATATAGGGTGGCTATGGGGTGCTGTGAGGCACTATGGGGCAGCTATGGGGCGCTATGGGGCAGGGCGCTATGGGGCAGGGCTGTATGGGGCGCTATGGGGCAGGGCTCTATGGGGCGCTATGGGGCAGCAGTGACTCCGTGCCCCACAGGGGATTCGGCGCTTCGAGGCCCGTGGGGCAGGGCTGTATGGGGCGCTATGCAGCTCTATGGGGCGCTATGGGGCAGGGCGCTATGGGGCGCTATGGGGCAGCAGTGACTCCGTGCCCCACAGGGGATGCGGCGCTTCGAGGCCCGTGGGGCAGGGCTGTATGGGGCGCTATGCAGCTCTATGGGGCGCTGTGGGGCAGGGCACTATGGGGCGCTATGCAGCTCTATGGGGCGCTATGGGGCAGGGCTCTATGGGGCGCTATGGGGCAGCAGTGACTCCGTGCCCCACAGGGGATGCGGCGCTTTGAGGCCCGTGGGGCAGGGCTGTATGGGGCGCTATGCAGCTCTATGGGGCGCTATGGGGCAGGGCGCTATGGGGCAGAGCCCTATGGGGCAGGGCTCTATGGGGCGCTATGGGGCAGGGCTCTATGGGGCGCTATGGGGCAGCAGTGACTCCGTGCCCCACAGGGGATGCGGCGCTTCGAGGCCCGTGGGGCAGGGCTGTATGGGGCGCTATGGAGCTCTATGGGGCGCTATGGGGCAGGGCGCTATGGGGTGCTATGGGGCAGGGCTCTATGGGGCGCTATGGAGCAGCAGGGACTCCGTGCCCCACAGGGGATGCGGTGCTTCGAGGCCCGTGGGGCAGGGCTGTATGGGGCGCTATGCAGCTCTATGGGGCGCTATGGGGCAGGGCGCTATGGGGCAGAGCCCTATGGGGCAGGGCTCTATGGGGCGCTATGGGGCAGGGCTCTATGGGGCGCTATGGGGCGCTATGGGGCAGCAGTGACTCCGTGCCCCACAGGGGATGCGGCGCTTCGAGGCCCGTGGGGCAGGGCTGTATGGGGCGCTATGGGGCAGGGCTGTATGGGGCGCTATGGGGCACTATGGGGCAGCAGTGACTCCGTGCCCCACAGGGGATGCGGCGCTTTGAGGCCCGTGGGGCAGGGCTGTATGGGGCGCTATGCAGCTCTATGGGGCGCTATGGGGCAGGGCTCTATGGGGCGCTATGGGGCAGGGCTCTATGGGGCGCTATGGGGCAGCAGTGACTCCGTGCCCCACAGGGGATGCGGCGCTTCGAGGCCCGTGGGGCAGGGCTGTATGGGGCGCTATGGGCGCTATGGAGCGCTATGGGGCAGGGCGCTATGGGGTGCTATGGGGCAGGGCTCTATGGGGCGCTATGGAGCTCTATGGGGCACTGTGGAGCTCTATGGGGCAGGGCTCTATGGAGCTCTATGGGGCAGGGATCTATGGGGCACTATGGAGCTCCATAGGACAGAGTGCTATGGGGCAGGGTGCTATGGGGCTCTATGGGGCAGGGCTCTATAAGGCACTATGGAGCTCTATGGGGCAGGGTGCTATGGGGCAGGGCGCTATGGGGCAGGGCAATATGGGGTGCTATGGGGCAGGGCTCTATGGGGCACTATGGAGCTCTATGGGGCAGGGCACTATGGGGCGCTATGGGGCAGCAGTGACTCTGTGCCACACAGTGGATGCGGCGCTTCGAGGCCCGTGGGGCAGGGCTGTATGGGGCGCTATGCAGCTCTATGGGGCGCTATGGGGCAGGGCGCTATGGGGCGCTATGGGGCAGCAGTGACTCCGTGCCCCACAGGGGATGCGGCGCTTCGAGGCCCGTGGGGCAGGGCTGTATGGGGCGCTATGCAGCTCTATGGGGCGCTGTGGGGCAGGGCACTATGGGGCGCTATGCAGCTCTATGGGGCGCTATGGGGCAGGGCTCTATGGGGCGCTATGGGGCAGCAGTGACTCCGTGCCCCACAGGGGATGCGGCGCTTTGAGGCCCGTGGGGCAGGGCTGTATGGGGCGCTATGCAGCTCTATGGGGCGCTATGGGGCAGGGCGCTATGGGGCAGAGCCCTATGGGGCAGGGCTCTATGGGGCGCTATGGGGCAGGGCTCTATGGGGCGCTATGGGGCAGCAGTGACTCCGTGCCCCACAGGGGATGCGGCGCTTCGAGGCCCGTGGGGCAGGGCTGTATGGGGCGCTATGGAGCTCTATGGGGCGCTATGGGGCAGGGCGCTATGGGGTGCTATGGGGCAGGGCTCTATGGGGCGCTATGGAGCAGCAGGGACTCCGTGCCCCACAGGGGATGCGGTGCTTCGAGGCCCGTGGGGCAGGGCTGTATGGGGCGCTATGCAGCTCTATGGGGCGCTATGGGGCAGGGTGCTATGGGGCAGGGCTCTATGGGGCGCTATGGGGCAGCAGTGACTCCGTGCCCCACAGGGGATGCGGCGCTTCGAGGCCCGTGGGGCAGGGCTGTATGGGGCGCTATGCAGCTCTATGGGGCGCTATGGGGCAGGGCGCTATGGGGCAGAGCCCTATGGGGCAGGGCTCTATGGGGCGCTATGGGGCAGGGCTCTATGGGGCGCTATGGGGCAGCAGTGACTCCGTGCCCCACAGGGGATGCGGCGCTTCGAGGCCCGTGGGGCAGGGCTGTATGGGGCGCTATGGAGCTCTATGGGGCGCTATGGGGCAGGGCGCTATGGGGCAGGGCTCTATGGGGCGCTATGGGGCAGCAGTGACTCCGTGCCCCACAGGGGATGCGGCGCTTCGAGGCCCGTGGGGCAGGGCTGTATGGGGCGCTATGCAGCTCTATGGGGCGCTATGGGGCAGGGTGCTATGGGGCAGGGCTCTATGGGGCGCTATGGGGCAGCAGTGACTCCGTGCCCCACAGGGGATGCGGCGCTTCGAGGCCCGTGGGGCAGGGCTGTATGGGGCGCTATGCAGCTCTATGGGGCGCTATGGGGCAGGGCGCTATGGGGCAGAGCCCTATGGGGCAGGGCTCTATGGGGCGCTATGGGGCAGGGCTCTATGGGGCGCTATGGGGCAGCAGTGACTCCGTGCCCCACAGGGGATGCGGCGCTTCGAGGCCCGTGGGGCAGGGCTGTATGGGGCGCTATGGAGCTCTATGGGGCGCTATGGGGCAGGGCGCTATGGGGCAGGGCTCTATGGGGCGCTATGGGGCAGCAGTGACTCCGTGCCCCACAGGGGATGCGGCGCTTCGGGGCCCGTGGGGCAGGGCTGTATGGGGCGCTATGCAGCTCTATGGGGCGCTATGGGGCAGGGCGCTATGGGGCAGGGCTGTATGGGGCGCTATGGAACTCTATGGGGCAGGGCACTATGGGGCGCTATGCAGCTCTATGGGGCAGGGCTCTATGGGGCGCTATGGGGCAGCAGTGACTCCGTGCCCCACAGGGGATGCGGCGCTTCGAGGCCCGTGGGGCAGGGCTGTATGGGGCGCTGTGGAACTCTATGGGGCAGGGCACTATGGGGCGCTATGCAGCTCTATGGGGCAGGGCGCTCTGGGGCGCTATGGGGCAGGGCTCTATGGGGCGCTATGGAACTCTATGGGGCAGGGCTCTGTGGGGCAGGGTGCTATGGGGTGCTATGGAGCAGGGCTCTATGGGGCACTATGGGGCAGGGCGCTATGGGGCAGGGCTCTATGGGGTGCTATGGGGCAGGGCGCTATGGGGCAGGGCGCTATGGGGCAGGGCTCTATGGGGTGCTATGGGGCAGGGCTCTATGGGGCGCTATGGGGCAGGGTGCTATGGGGCAGGGCTCTATGGGGCACTATGGGGCAGGGCGCTATGGGGCAGCAGTGAGTTTGTGCCCCACAGGGGATGCGGCGCTTCGAGGCCCGCGGGGCAGGGCTGTATGGGGCGCTATGCAGCTCTATGGGGCGCTATGGGGCAGGGCTCTATGGGGCGCTATGCAGCTCTATGGGGCGCTATGGGGCAGGGCGCTATGGGGCGTTATGGGGCAGCAGTGACTCCGTGCCCCACAGGGGATGCGGCGCTTTGAGGCCCGTGGGGCAGGGCTGTATGGGGCGCTATGCAGCTCTATGGGGCGCTATGGGGCAGGGCTGTATGGGGCGCTGTGGGGCAGGGCGCTATGGGGCAGCAGTGACTCCGTGCCCCACAGAGGATGCGGCGCTTCGAGGCCCGTGGGGCAGGGCTGTATGGGGCGCTATGGGGCAGGGCGCTATGGGGCAGGGCGCTATGGGGCAGGGCGCTATGGGGCGCTATGGGGCGCTATGGGGCAGCAGTGACTCCGTGCCCCACAGGGGATGCGGCGCTTCGAGGCCCGTGGGGCGGTGGTGGCGGCCCTGCAGCGGCTGGGGCTGTTCAGGGGGGAGAGCGAAAACCCCATGGCTGTGCCCATATGCAGGTAAGGGGGCGGAGATGTGGGGCAGGATGTGGGTCAGGATGTGGGGCGGGATGTGGGGCAGAGATGTGGGGCGGAGATGTGGGGGGGGGTGTGGGGAGGAGATGTGGGGTGGAGATGTGGGGCGGGATGTGGGGCGGAGATGTGGGGCGGGATGTGGGGTGGAGATGTGGGGCGGGATGTGGGGCGGAGATGTGGGGCAGGATGTGAGGCAATGATGTGGGGCGGATGTGGGGCGGGATATGGGGCGGATGTGGGGCGGAGATGTGGGGCTGTGGAGGGGCACTGTGGGTCGCTGTGGGGATCTATGGGGTTCTGTGGGTCCCTATGGGTCCCTATGGGTCTGTATGGATCCTTATGGGTCCCTATGGATCTCTATGGATCTCTATGGGTCTTTATGGGTCCCTATAGATCCCTATGAGGTATCCCTATAGGGTCCCTGTGGGTTGTCCCTATGGTGTCCCTATGGTGTCCCAATGGGGTCCGTGTGAGGTCCCTATGGGGCGTCGCTATGGGGCATCGCTATGGGGCGTCCCTATGGTGTCCCTATGGGGTCCCTATGGTGTCCCTATGGGGTCCCTATGGGGTCCCTATGGGGTGTCACTATGGGGCATCGCTATGGGGCGTCCCTATGGAGTCCCTATGGGGTGTCCCTGTGGCTTCCTATGGGACCCTATGAGATCCCTATGGGGTGTCCCTTTGGGTTCCTATGTGTCCCTATGGGGCATCCCTATAGGGTCCCTATGGTGTCCCTATGGGTCCCTATGGGGTCGCTATGGGGCGTCCCTATGGGGCATCCCTATACGGCATCCCTATGTGTCCCTATGGGTCCCTATGGGGCATCCCTATGGTGTTCCTATGGGGCATCCCTATGGTGTCCCTATAGTGTCCCTATGGGGCATGCCTATGGGGTGTCCCTATGGGGTGTCGTTATGGGTTCCTATGGGACCCTATGAGATCCCTATGGGGTGTCCCTTTGGGTTCCTATGTGTCCCTATGGGGCATCCCTATGGGGCATCCCTATGTGTCCCTATGGGTCCCTATGGGGCTTTGCTATGGGGTCGCTATGGGGCTTCGCTATGGGGCATCCCTATGAGGCGTCCCTATGGTGTCCCTATGGTGTCCCTATGGGGTTCCTATGGGGCATCCCTATGTGTCCCTATGGGGCATCGCTATGGGGCGTCCCTCTGGTGTCCCTATTGGGTCCCTATGGTGTCCCTATGGTGTCCCTATGGGGCTTCCCTATGGGGTGTCCCTATGGGGTGTCCTTATGGGTTCCTATGGGACCCTATGAGATCCCTATGGGGTGTCCCTTTGGGTTCCTATGTGTCCCTATGGGGCATCCCTATAGGGTCCCTATGGTGTCCCTATGGGACATCCCTATGAGTTCCTATGCGTCCCTATGGGGTCCCTATGGGGCATCCCTATGAGGCATCCCTATGCGGTGTCCCTACGTGTCCCTATGGGGTCCCTATGGGGCATTGCTATGGGGCGTCCCTATGGTGTCCCTATGGGTCCCTATGGGGTCGCTATGGGGCGTCCCTATGGGGCATCCCTATACGGCATCCCTATGTGTCCCTATGGGGTCCCTATGGGGCTTTGCTATGGGGCGTCCCTATGGGGTGTCCCTATGGGGCATCCCTATAGGGTCCCTATGGGTCCCTATGGGTCCCTATGGGGCTTTGCTATGGGGTCACTACGGGGCGTCCCTATGGGGCATCCCTATGAGGCATCCCTATGTGTCTCTATTGGGTCCCTATGGGGCTTTGCTATGGGGTCCCTATGGGGCTTCCCTATGGGGTCCCTATGGGGTCCCTATGGGGTGTCCCTATAGGGCATTCCTATGTGGCATCCCTATATGGCGTCCCTATGGGGTCGCTACGGGGCGTCGCTATGGGGCATCTCTATGGGGCATCCCTGTGGGGCTTCCCTATGGTGTCCCTATGGTGTCCCTATGGAGCATCCCTATGGGGCATCCCTATGGGGCATCCCTGTGGTGTCCCTATGGGGTTGCTATGGGGCATCCCTATGAGGCATCCCTATGTGTCCCTATGGGTCCCTATGGGGCTTTGCTTTGGGGTCGCTATGGGGCTTCCCTATGGGGTTCCTATGGGGCATCCCTATGGGGTGTCCCTATGGTGTCCCTATGGAGCATCCCTATGGGGCATCCCTATGGTGTCTCTATGGGGTTGCTATGAGGCATCCCTATGAGGCATCCCTATGTGTCCCTATGGGTCCCTATGGGGCTTCGCTATGGGGTCCCTATGGGGCTTTGCTATGGGGCATCCCTATGGGGCGTCGCTATGGGGTTCCTATGGGGCATCTCTATGAGGCATCCCTATGAGGCATCCCTATGTGTCCTTATGGGGCATCCCTATGGGGCATCCCTATGTGTCCCTATGGGTCGCTATGGGGCTTCCCTATGGTGTCCCTATGGGGCGTCCCTATGGGGCGTCCCTATGCGGCATCCCTATGGTGTCCCTATGGGTCCCTATGGGGCTTTGCTATGGGGTCACTACGGGGCGTCCCTATGGGGCATCCCTATGGGGCATCCCTATGTGTCCCTATGGGGTCCCTATGGTGCTTTGCTATGGGGTCCCTATGGGGCTTCCCTATGGTGTCCCTATGGTGTCCCTATGAGGCATCCCTATGTGGCATCCCTATGTGTCCCTATGGGGTCCCTATGGGGCTTTGCTATGGGGCTTTGCTATGGGGCGTCCCTATGGGGCATCCCTAAGGGGCATCCCTATAGGGTCCCTGTGGGGCGTCCCTATGGGGCTTCGCTATGGGGCAGCCCTATGGGGCATCCCTATGGGGCATCCCTATGAGGCATCCCTATGTGTCTCTATTGGGTCCCTATGGGGCTTTGCTATGGGGTCCCTATGGGGCTTCCCTATGGGGTTCCTATGGGGCATCCCTATGCGGCATCCCTATGGGGTGTCCCTATGGTGTCCCTATGGGGCATCCCTGTGGTGTCCCTATGGGGTCCCTATGGGGTGTCCCTATAGGGCATTCCTATGTGGCATCCCTATATGGCGTCCCTATGGGGTCGCTACGGGGCGTCGCTATGGGGCATCCCTATGGGGCATCCCTGTGGGGCTTCCCTATGGCGTCCCTATGGGGTTGCTATGGGGCATCCCTATGGGGCATCCCTATGGTGTCCCTATGGGGTTGCTATGGGGCATCCCTATGAGGCATCCCTATGGGGCATCCCTGTCCATATGGGTCTCAGTGGGGCAGTTATGGGTCTCTATGGGTCCCTATGAGTCCCTATGGGTCTCTATGGGGCAGTTATGGGTCTCTGTGTGTCCCTGTGGGTCTCTATGGATCCTTATGGGTCCCTATGGGTCTCTGTGTGTTTCTATGGGTCCATATGGGTCCCTGTGGGTCCCTATGGGTCTCAGTGGGGCACTATGGGTCCCCATGAGTCTCTATGGGTCCCTATGGGTCTCTGTGGGTCCCTATGGGTCCCTATTGGTCTGTATGGATCCTTATGGGTCTCTATGGGTCCGTATGGGTTACTATAGGGCATCCCTATGTGGCGTCCCTATGGGGTCGTTACGGGGCGTCGCTATGGGGCATCCCTATGGGACCCTATGAGATCCATATGGGGTGTCCCTTTGGGTTCCTGTGTGTCCCTATGGGGCATCCCTATGGGGCATCCCTATGGCGCATCCCTATGTGTCCCTATGGGTCCCTATGGGGCTTCGCTATGGGGCATCCCTATGGGGCATCCCTATGGGGCATCCCTGTGGTGTCCCTATGGGGTTGCTATGAGGCATCCCTATGAGGCATCCCTATGTGTCCCTATGGGTCCCTATGGGGCTTCGCTATGGGGTCCCTATGGGGCGTCGCTATGGGGTTCCTATGGGGCATCCCTATGTGTCCCTATGGGTCGCTATGGGGCTTTGCTAGGGGGCTTTGCTATGGGGCGTCCCTATGGGGCATCCCTGTTGGGCATCTCTGTGGTGTCCCTATGGGGTTGCTATGGGGCATCCCTATGAGGCATCCCTATGGGGCATCCCTATGTGTCCCTATGTGTCCCTATGGGGCTTCGCTATGGGGTCGCTATGGGGCTTCGCTATGGGGTGCCTCCGTTGTTCCGGCAGCCGCACGCAGGACGTGGTGGAGCCGCTGCTGTGCCCGCAGTGGTTCCTGCGCTGCGCCGAGTTGGCGCGCGGGGCCAGCGCCGCCGTCAGGAAGGGCGAGCTGAGGCTGCGGCCCCCCCAGCACACCAGGACCTGGTTCGCGTGGATGGACAACATTCGGTGAGCGCCGCGCCGGGGGATCCCGCGGATCCCATCCTGAGCACATCCAGAACCCACAGATCCCATCCAGATCCCGTCCAGATCACATCCAGATCGCATCCGGGTCCCATCCAGATCCCATCCAGATCACACAGATCCCATCCAGATCCCATCCAGATCACATCCAGATCCCATCCAGATCCCATCCAGATCACATCCAGATCGCATCCAGATCACATCCGGGTCCCATCCAGATCCCATCCAGATCCCATCCAGATCACATCCAGATCACATCCGGGTCCCATCCAGATCACATCCAGATCACACAGATCCCATCCAGACCCTTGGAAACCCCAGGCAGATCCCACAGATCCCATCCAGATCCCGCAGATCCCATCCTGATCACATCCGGGTCCCATCCAGATCACATCCTGGTCCCATCCAGATCCCATCCAGATCACATCCAGATCACATCCGGGTCCCATCCAGATCACATCCAGATCACATCCGGGTCCCATCCAGATCCCATCCAGATCCCATCCAGATCACACAGATCCCGCGGATCCCATCCAGATCCCATCCAGATCACACAGATCCCAACCAGATCCCAACCAGATCACACAGATCCCATCCAGATCCCATCCAGATCACACAGATCCCATCCAGATCCCGCTGATCCCATCCAGATCCCATCCAGATCCCATCCAGATCACATCCAGATCCCATCCAGATCCCATCCAGATCCCATCCAGATCACACAGATCCCGCGGATCCCATCCAGATCCCATCCAGATCACACAGATCCCAACCAGATCACACAGATCCCATCCAGATCCCATCCAGGTCCCATCCAGATCCCATCCAGATCACACAGATCCCATCCAGATCCCGCTGATCCCATCCAGATCCCATCCAGATCACATCCAGATCACATCCAGATCCCATCCAGATCCCATCCAGATCACACAGATCCCGCGGATCCCATCCAGATCCCATCCAGATCACACAGATCCCAACCAGATCACACAGATCCCATCCAGATCCCATCCAGGTCCCATCCAGATCCCATCCAGATCACACAGATCCCATCCAGATCCCGCTGATCCCATCCAGATCCCATGCAGATCCCATGCAGATCCCATGCAGATCCCACGGATCCCATCCAGGTCCCATCCAGATCCCATCCAGGTCCCATCCAGATCCCATCCAGATCACACAGATCCCATCCAGATCCCGCTGATCCCATCCAGATCCCATCCAGATCACATCCAGATCACATCCAGATCCCATCCAGATCCCATCCAGATCACACAGATCCCGCGGATCCCATCCAGATCCCATCCAGATCACACAGATCCCAACCAGATCACACAGATCCCATCCAGATCCCATCCAGGTCCCATCCAGATCCCATCCAGATCACACAGATCCCATCCAGATCCCGCTGATCCCATCCAGATCCCATGCAGATCCCATGCAGATCCCATGCAGATCCCACGGATCCCATCCAGGTCCCATCCAGATCCCATCCAGGTCCCATCCAGATCCCATCCAGATCACACAGATCCCATCCAGATCCCGCTGATCCCATCCAGATCCCATCCAGATCACATCCAGATCACATCCAGATCCCATCCAGATCCCATCCAGATCACACAGATCCCGCGGATCCCATCCAGATCCCATCCAGATCACACAGATCCCAACCAGATCACACAGATCCCATCCAGATCCCATCCAGGTCCCATCCAGATCCCATCCAGATCACACAGATCCCATCCAGATCCCGCTGATCCCATCCAGATCCCATGCAGATCCCATGCAGATCCCATGCAGATCCCACGGATCCCATCCAGGTCCCATCCAGATCCCATCCAGGTCCCATCCAGATCCCATCCAGATCACACAGATCCCACAGATCCCATCCAGAATCCACAGATCCCATCCAGATCACACAGATCCCATCCAGATGACACAGATCCCATCCAGATCCCATCCAGATCCCATCTAGATCCCATCCAGATCACATCCAGATCACACAGATCCCATCCAGATCCCATCTGCATCCCATTCAGATCCCATCCAGATCCCATCCAGATGACACAGATCCCATCCAGATCCCATCTAGATCCCATCCAGAACCCACAGATCCCATCCAGGTCCCATCCAGATCCCATCCAGATCACACAGATCCCATCCAGATCCCGCTGATCCCATCCAGATCCCATCCAGGTCCCATCCAGATCCCATCCAGATCACACAGATCCCACAGATCCCATCCAGAACCCACAGATCCCATCCAGATCACACAGATCCCATCCAGATCCCATCCAGATGACACAGATCCCATCCAGATCCCATACAGATCCCACAGATCCCATCCAGATCCCACAGATCCCATCCTGACGATTAGAAACCCCAGGTAGATCCCAGAGATCCCACAGATCCCATCCAGACCATTAGAAACACCAGGGAGATCACACAGATCCCATCCAGATCCCACAGATCCCATCCTGACCATTGGAAACGCCAGGGAGATCTCACAGATCCCACAGATCCCATTCCAACCCTTAGAAACGCCAGGGAGATCCCACAGATCCCACCCAGATCCCACAGATCCCACAGATCCCGTACAGATCCCACAGATCCCATCCAGACCCTTAGAAACCCCAAAGAGATCCCACAGCTCTCAGATCCCATCGAGATCCCATCGATCCCATCCAGACCATTGGAAACCCCATAGAGATCCCACAGATCCCCTCGCTATAGGGCCACCTTACACCCTTATAGGGCCACCCCCACCCCTTATAGGGCCACCCTACACCCTTATAGGGACACCCTACACCCCTATAGGGCCACCCCCCCCCCCCCTTATAGGGCCACCCTACAGCCTTATAGGGCCGCCCCACAACCCTTTAAAGCCCATCTCTCCCCTTATAGGGCCACCCTACACCCTTATAGGGTCACTCCTCCCCTTATAGGGCCACCCCCACCCCTTATAGGGCCACCCTACACCCTTATAGGGTCACCCCTCCCCTTATAGGGCCACCCCCACCCCTTATAGGGCCACCCTACAGCCTTATAGGGCCGCCCCACAACCCTTTAAAGCCCATCCCACCCCTTATAGGGCCACCCTACACCCCTATAGGGCCACCCTACACCCTTATAGGGCCACTCCCTCCCTTATAGGGCCATCCTACATCCCTATAGGACCACCCTACAGCCTTATAGGGCCACCCTACAGCCTTATACGGACACCCCCACCCCTTATAGGCCCACCCCCCCCCATAGGGCCACCCTACAGCCTTATAGGGCCGCCCCACAGCTCCTATAGGGCCACCCTACACCCCTTTAGGGCCACCCTACACCCCTATAGGGCCACCCTCCCCGCCTTATAGGGCCACCCCACCCCTTATAGGGCCACCCCCCCACCCCCATAGGGCCACCCTACACCCTTATAGGGCCGCCCCCAGCACTTATAGGGCCGCCCTACACCCTTATAGGGCCACCCTACAGCCCTATAGGGCCGCCCCCAGTGCTTATAGGGCCGCCCCCTTCCCCCCCATTATCAGGCCACCCTACACCCTTATAGTGCCACCCTACACCCTTATAGGCCCAGCCCCCCCCTTTATAGGGCCACCCTACACCCTTATAGGGCCGCTCCCAGTGCTTATAGGGCCACCCTCGTTATAGGGCCACCCTACAGCCCTATAGGGCCGCCCCCAGTGCTTATAGGGCCGCCCCCTTCCCCCCCCATTATCAGGCCACCCTACACCCTTATAGGGCCACCCCCCCCCTTATAGGGCCACCCTACAGCCTTATAGGGCCGCCCCACAACCCTTTAAAGCCCATCTCTCCCCTTATAGGGCCACCCTACACCCTTATAGGGTCACTCCTCCCCTTATAGGGCCACCCCCACCCCTTATAGGGCCACCCTACACCCTTATAGGGTCACCCCTCCCCTTATAGGGCCACCCTACACCCCATAGGGCCACCCTACACCCTTATAGGGCCACCCCACCCCTTATAGGGCCAACCCCCCCACCCCCATAGGGCCACCCTACACCCTTATAGGGCTGCCCCACAACCCTTTAAAGCTCATCCCACCCCTTATAGGGCCACCCTACACCCCTATAGGGCCACCCTACACCCTTATAGGGCCACTCCCTCCCTTATAGGGCCATCCTACATCCCTATAGGACCGCCCTACAGCCTTATAGGGCCACCCTACAGCCTTATAGGGACACCCCCACCCCTTATACGGCCCACCCCCCCCCATAGGGCCACCCTACAGCCTTATAGGGCCGCCCCACAGCTCCTATAGGGCCACCCTACACCCCTATAGGGCCACCCTACACCCTTATAGGGCCACCCTCCCCGCCTTATAGGGCCACCCCACCCCTTATAGGGCCAACCCCCCCACCCCCATAGGGCCACCCTACACCCTTATAGGGCCGCCCCCAGCGCTTATAGGGCCACCCTCGTTATAGGGCCACCCTACAGCCCTATAGGGCCGCCCCCAGTGCTTATAGGGCCGCCCTCTTCCCCCCCCATTATCAGGCCACCCTACACCCTTATAGGGCCACCCCTGTTATAGGGACACCCTACACCCCTATAGGGCCACCCCCCCCCACCTTATAGGGCCACCCTACAGCCTTATAGGGCCGCCCCACAACCCTTTAAAGCCCATCTCTCCCCTTATAGGGCCACCCTACACCCTTATAGGGCCACCCCTGTTATAGGGCCACCCTACAGCCTTATAGGGCCACCCTACAGCCCTATGGGGCCGCCCCCAGTGCTTATAGGGCCGCCCCTTATAGGGCCACCCCCCCCCCCTTATAGGGCCACCCTACACCCTTATAGGGCCACCCCTGTTATAGGGCCACCCTACAGCCTTATAGGGCCACCCTACAGCCCTATGGGGCCGCCCCCAGCGCTTATAGGGCCGCCCCTTATAGGGCCACCCTACAGCCTTATAGGGCCGCCCTACAGCCCTATAGGGCCACCCTACAGCCTTATAGGGCCACCCTACACCCTTATAGGGCCACCCCTTATAGGGCCACCCTACCCCCCTTTATAGGGCCACGCCCCCCCCCCTTGTTATAGGGCCACCCTACAGCCTTATAGGGCCGCCCCCACCCCATAGGGCCACCCTACAGCCTTATAGGGCCACCCTACCCCCCTGTTATAGGGCCACCCTACACCCTTATAGGGCCACCCTTGTTATAGGGCCACCCTACACCCTTATAGGGCCGCCCTACAGCCTTATAGGGCCACCCTACAGCCTTATAGGGCCGCCCTACAGCCTTATAGGGCCACCCTACACCCTTATAGGGCCACCCCTGTTATAGGGCCACCCTACAGCCCTATAGGGCCGCCCGCAGCGCTTATAGGGCCGCCCGGTGTCCCCGCAGGGACTGGTGCATCTCGAGGCAGCTGTGGTGGGGGCACCGCATCCCGGCCTACCGCGTGCGCGGCCCCAATGCGGTGAGCGGGGATGGGGGGCCAGGGGTCCTTATGGGGTTAGGGGGTCTTTATGGGGTTGGGGGGTCCTTATGGGGTCCTTATGGGGTTGGGGGGTCCTTATGGGGTTGGGGGGGCCTTGGGGGGTTGGGGGGTTGGGGGGTCCATGGGGTGGCTGTGGGGTTTTGGGGTCCATATGGGGTTGTGGGGTTTTGGGGTCGATGGGGGGCTGTGGGGTTGTGGGGTCCTTATGGGGTTGGGGGGTCCTTATGGGGTCGGGGGGGCCTTATGGGGTTGTGGGGTCCTTATGGGGATGGGGGGTCCTTATGGGGTTGGGGGGTCCTTATGGGGTTGGGGGGTCCTTATGGGGTTGTGGGGTCCATGGGGGGCTGTGGGGTTGGGGGGTCCTTGTGGGGTTGGGGGGTCCTTATGGGGTTGTGGGGTCCTTATGGGGTTGGGGGGTCCTTGTGGGGTTATGGGGTCCTTATGGGGTTGTGGGGTCCTTATGGGGTTGTGGAGTGGCTGTGGGGTTGTGGGGTGGATGGGGGGTTGTGGGGTTTTGGGGTCCTTATGGGGTTGTGGGGTTGTGGGGTGGATGTGGGGTTGTGGGGTTGTGGGGTCCTTATGGGGTTGTGGGGTTGTGGGGTCAATGGCGGGTTGTGGGGTTGTGGGGCGGATGTGGGGTTGTGGGGTTTTGGGGTGGATGGGGGGTTGTGGGGTCCTTGTGGGGTTGTGGGGTTGTGGGGTCCTTATGGGGTTGGGGGGGCCTTGTGGGGTTGGGGGGGCCTTGTGGGGTTGGGGGGTTGGGGGGTCCATGGGGTGGCTTTAGGGTTTTGGGGTCCATATGGGGCTGTGGGGTTGTGGGGTTGTGGGGTCCTTATGGGGTTGTGGAGTGGCTGTGGGGTTGGGGGGTTGTGGGGTCCTTATGGGGTTGGGGCGTCCTTATGGGGTTGGGGGGTTGTGGGGTCCTTATGGGGTTGGGGGGTCCTTATGGGGTTGGGGGGTTGTGGGGTCCTTATGGGGTTGGGGGGTCCTTATGGGGTTTTGGGGTTGGGGGGTCCTTATGGGGTTGGGGGGTTGTGGGGTCCATATGGGGTTGTGGGGTCCTTATGGGGTTGTGGGGTTGGGGGGTCCTTATGGGGTTGTGGGATCCTTATGGGGTTTTGGGGTTGGGGGGTCCTTATGGGGTTGGGGGGTTGTGGGGTCCATATGGGGTTGGGGGGTCCTTGTGGGGTTGTGGGGTCCTTATGGGGATGGGGGGTCCTTGTGGGGTTGTGGGGTCCTTATGGGGTTGTGGGGTTGTGGGGTCCTTATGGGGTTGGGGAGTTGTGGGGTTGTGGGGTCCTTATGGGGTTGTGGGGTCCATATGGGGTTGAGGGGTTCTGGGGATGTGGGGTGGATGTGGGGTTGTGGGGTTTTGGGGTCCTTATGGGGTTGGGGGGTCCTTGTGGGGTTGGGGGGTCATTATGGGGTTGGGGGGTCTTTATGGGGTCAGGGGGTCCTTATGGGGTTGTGGGGTCCTTATGGGGTTGGGGGGTCCTTATGGGATCCATGGGGGGTTGTGGGGTCCATGGGGGGCTGGGGGGTTGGGGGGTTGTGGGGTCCTTATGGGGTTTTGGGGTCCTTATGGGGTTGGGGGGTCCTTATGGGGTTGGGGGGTTGTGGGGTCCTTATGGGGTTGGGGGGTCCTTATGGGGTTGGGGGGTTGTGGGGTCCTTATGGGGTTGTGGGGTCCTTATGGGGTTGGGGGGTCTTTATGGGGTTGTGGGGTCCTTATGGGGTTGTGGGGTTGTGGGGTCCTTATGGGGTTGGGGGGTTGTGGGGTCCTTGTGGGGTTGGGGGGTCCTTATGGGGTCGGGGGGGCCTTATGGGGTTGGGGGGTCCTTATGGGGTCAGGGGGGCCTTATGGGGTTGGGGGGTCCTTATGGGGATGGGGGGTCCTTATGGGGTTGGGGGGTTGTGGGGTCCTTATGGGGTTGGGGGGGCCTTATGGGGTTGGGGGGTCCTTATGGGGTCGGGGGGGCCTTATGGGGATGCGGGGTCCTTATGGGGTTGGGGGGTCCTTATGGGGTTGGGGGGTTTTGGGGTCGATGGGGGGTTGTGGGGTCCTTATGGGATTGTGGGGTTGTGGAGTGGCTGTGGGGTTGTGGGGTCCTTATGGGGTTGGGGGGTCCTTATGGGGTTGTGGGGTCCTTAAGGGGTTGTGGGGTCAATGGGGGGCTGTGGGGTTGTGTTGTCCATATGGGGTTGTGGGTTGGGGGGTCCTTATGGGGTTGGAGGGTCCTTGTGGGGTTGTGGGATCCTTATGGGGTTATGGGGTTGTGGGGTCCTTATGGGGTTGTGGGGTTGTGGGGTCCATATGGGGTTGTGGGGTCCATATGGGGTTGTGGGGTCCTTATGGGGTTGTGGGGTTGGGGGGTCCTTATGGGGATGGGGGGTCCTTATGGGGTTGGGGGGTCCTTATGGGGTTGGGGGGTTGTGGGGTGGCTGTGGGGTTGTGGGGTCCTTATGGGGTCAGGGGGTCCTTATGGGGTTGGGGGGGCCTTGTGGGGTTGGGGGGCCTTATGGGGTTGGGGGGTTGTGGGGTCAATGGGGGGTTGTGGGGTTGTGGAGTGGCTGTGGGGTTGTGGGGTCCTTGTGGGGTTGGGGGGTCCTTATGGGGTTGGGGGGCCTTATGGGGTTGGGGGGTTGTGGGGTCAATGGGGGGCTGTGGGGTTGTGGGGTCCATATGGGGTTGTGGGTTGGGGGGTCCTTATGGGGTTGTGGGGTCCTTGTGGGGTTGTGGGATCCTTATGGGGTTTTGGGGTTGCGGGGTCCATATGGGGTTGTGGGGTTGGGGGGTCCTTATGGGGATGGGGGGTCCTTATGGGCTTGTGGGGTCCTTATGGGGTTGGGGGGTCCTTATGGGGTTGTGGGGTCCTTATGGGGTTGGGGGGTTGTGGGGTGGCTGTGGGGTTGTGGGGTCCTTATGGGGTCGGGGGGTCCTTGTGGGGTTGTGGGGTCCTTATGGGGTTGGGGGGTCCTTATGGGGTTGTGGGGGCCTTGGGGGTTTGGGGGGTTGGGGGGTCCATGGGGTGGCTGTGGGGTTTTGGGGTCCATATGGGGTTGGGGGGTTTTGGGGTCGATGGGGGGTTGTGGGGTCCATGGGGGGTTGTGGGGTTGTGGGGTCCTTATGAGGTTGGGGGGTCCTTATGGGGTTGGGGGTTCCTTATGAGGTTGGGGGGTCCTTATGGGGTTGTGGGGTCCTTATGGGGTTGTGGGGTTGTGGGGTCAATGGCGGGTTGTGGGGTTGTGGGGCGGATGTGGGGTTGTGGGGCTTTGGGGTCGATGGGGGGTTGTGGGGTCCTTGTGGGGTTGTGGGGCTGTGGGGTCCTTATGGGGTTGTGGGGTTGTGGAGTCGATGGGGGGTTGTGGGGTTGTGGGGTCAATGGGGGGTTGTGGGGTTGTGGGGTCCTTGTGGGGTTGTGGGGTTTTGGGGTCAATGGGGGGTTGTGGGGTGGATGGGGGGTTGTGGGGTTGTGGGGTCCTTGTGGGGTTGTGGGGTTTTGGGGTCAATGGGGGGTTGTGGGGTTGTGGGGTGGATGGGGGGTTGTGGGGTTGTGGGGTCCTTATGGGGTTGTGGGGTTGTGGGGTCAATGGCGGGTTGTGGGGTTGTGGGGCGGATGTGGGGTTGTGGGGTTTTGGGGTCCTTATGGGGTTGTGGGGTTGTGGGGTCAATGGGGGGCTGTGGGGTTGTGGGGTCTTTGTGGGGTTGTGGGGTTTTGGGGTCCTTGTGGGGTTGTGGGGTTGTGGGGTGGATGGGGGGTTGTGGGGTTGTGGGGTCCTTGTGGGGTTGGGGGGTTGTGGGATCCTTGTGGGATTGTGGGGTTTTGGGGTCAATGGGGGGCTGTGGGGTTGTGGGGTCCTTATGGGGTTGTGGGGTCCTTATGGGGTTGGGGGGTCCTTATGGGGTTGTGGGGTCCTTATGGGGTTGGGGGGTCCTTATGGGGTTGTGGGGTCCATATGGGGTTGTGGGGTCCTTATGGGGTTGTGGGGTTGGGGGGTCCTTATGGGGATGGGGGGTTGTGGGGTCCATGGGGGGCTGGGGGGTTGGGGGGTTGTGGGGTCCTTATGGGGTTGGGGGGTCCTTATGGGGTTGGGGGGTCCTTGTGGGGTTAGGGGGTCCTTATGGGGTCGGGGGTCCTTATGGGGTTGTGGGGTCCTTATGGGGTTGGGGGGTCCTTATGGGGTTGGGAGGTTGTGGGGTCGATGGGGGGCTGTGGGGTTGTGGGGTACTTGTGGGGTTGGGGGGTTGGGGGGTCTATGGGGTGGCTTTAGGGTTTTGGGGTCCATATGGGGCTCTGGGGTTGTGGGGTTGTGGGGTCCTTATGGGGTTGTGGAGTGGCTGTGGGGTTGGGGGGTTGTGGGGTCCTTATGGGGTTGGGGGGTCCTTATGGGGTTGTGGGGTCCTTATGGGGTTGGGGGGTTGTGGGGTCCTTATGGGGTTGTGGGGTCCTTGTGGGGTTGGGGGGTCCTTGTGGGGTTGGGGGTCCTTATGGGGTTGTGGGGTTGTGGGGTCCTTATGGGGTTGGGGGGTCCTTATGGGGTTGTGGGGTCCTTATGAGGTTGGGGGGTCCTTATGGGGTTGTGGGGTTGTGGGGTCCTTATGGGGTTGTGGGATCCTTGTGGGGTTGTGGGGTTGTGGAGTCGATGGGGGGTTGTGGGGTTGTGGGGTCCTTATGGGGTTGGGGGGTTGGGGGGTCCTTGTGGGGTTGTGGGGTTGTGGGGTCAATGGGGGGTTGTGGGGTTGTGGGGTCCTTGTGGGGTTGGGGGGTTTTGGGGTCAATGGGGGGTTGTGGGGTGGATGGGGGGTTGTGGGGTTGTGGGGTCCTTATGGGGTTGTGGAGTGGCTGTGGGGTTGTGGAGTGGATGGGGGGTTGTGGGGTTGTGGGGTCCTTATGGGGTTGTGGGGTCAATGGCGGGTTGTGGGGTTGTGGGGCGGATGTGGGGTTGTGGGGCTTTGGGGTCGATGGGGGGTTGTGGGGTCCTTATGGGGTTGTGGGGTCAATGGCGGGTTGTGGGGTTGTGGGGCTTTGGGGTCGATGGGGGGTTGTGGGGTCCTTATGGGGTTGTGGGGTCGATGTGGGGTTGTGGGCTTGTGGGGTCCATATGTTGTTGTGGGGTTGTGGGGTGCATGTGGGGTTTTGGGGTGGATGTGGGGTTTTGGGGTTTGGGGATCCATATGGGGTTGTGGGGTTGTGGGGCTGATGTGGGGTTGTGGGGTTGTGGGGTTGTGGGGTCGATGGGGGATTGTAGGGCGGCTGTGGGGCAGATGGGGGGCTGTGGGGTGGCTGTGGGGGCTGTGGGGTTGTGAGGCCTTAGGGTGGCTTATGGGGCAGCTGTGGGGTTGTGGGGTCAATGGGGGGTTGTGGGGTTTTGGGGCAGTTGTGGGGCTGTGGGGCTGTGGGGTTGTGAGGCCTTAGGGTGGCTTATGGGGCAGATGTTGACTTATGGGGCTTTGTGTCCCTATGGCTCTCTGTGGGTCCCTATGGGTCCTTATGGGTCCTTATGGGTCGCTGTGGGTCCCTATGGGTCCCAATGGGTCTCTATGGGTCGGTGTGGGTCTCTATGGGTCCCTATGGGTCCTTATGGGTCGGTGTGGGTCCCTATGTGTCCCTATGGGTGCCTATGGGTCTCTATGGGGCCCTATGGGTCCCTATGGGTCCTTATGGGTCGCTGTGGGTCCCTATGGGTCCCAATGGGTCTCTATGGGTCGGTGTGGGTCTCTATGGGTCCCTATGGGTCCTTATGGGTCCCTATGGGTCCCTATGGGTCCCTGTGTGTCTCTATTGGTCCCTATGTGTCCCTATGGGTCCCTATGTGTCCCTATGGGTCCCCATGGGTCCTTATGGGTCGCTGTGGGTCTCTATGGGTCCTTATGGGTCGGTGTGGGTCCCTATGGGGCCCTATGGGTCCTTATGGGTCGGTGTGGGTCCCTATGGGTCCCCTATGGGTCCTTATGGGTCGCTGTGGGTCCCTATGGGTCCCTATGGGTCCTTATGGGTCGGTGTGGGTCCCTATGTGTCCCTATGGGTGCCTATGGGTCTCTATGGGTCCCTATGGGTCTCTGTGGGTCCGTATGGGTCCCTATGGGTCCTTATGGGTCCTTATGGGTCGCTGTGGGTCCCTATGGCTCCCAGTGGGTCTCTATGGGTCGGTGTGGGTCTCTATGGGTCCTTATGGGTCGGTGTGGGTCCCTATGGGTCCCTATGGGTCCTTGTGTGTCCTTATGGGTCCCTATGGGGCTCTATGGGTCCCTGTGTGTCCCTATGGGTCCCCATGGGTCCTTATGGGTCGGTGTGGGTCCCTATGGGTCCCTCTGGGTCGGTGTGGGTCCCTATGGGTCGGTGTGGGTCCTTATGGGTCACTGTGGGTCTCTATGTGTCCTTATGGGTCGGTGTGGGTCCCTATGGGTCGGTGTGGGTCCCTATGGGTCCCTATGGGTCCTTATGGGTCGCTGTGGGTCTCTATGGGTCCCTATGGGTCCTTATGGGTCGCTGTGGGTCTCTATGGGTTCCCATGGGTCCTTATGGGTCGGTGTGGGTCTCTATGGGTCCCCATGGGTCCTTATGGGTCGGTGTGGGTCCCTATGGGTCCTTATGGGTCGGTGTGGGTCTCTATGGGTCCCTATGGGTCCCTATGGGTCTTTATGGTTCTTTGTGTCTCTATGGGTCCCTATGGGTCCCCATGGGTCCTTATGGGTCGGTGTGGGTCCCTATGGGTCCCTATGGGTCCTTATGGGTCGGTGTGGGTCTCTATGGGTCCCTATGGATCCCTATGGGTCTTTATGGTTCTTTGTGTCTCTATGGGTCCCTATGGGTCCCCATGGGTCCTTATGGGTCGGTGTGGGTCCCTATGGGTCCCTATGGGTCCTTATGGGTCGGTGTGGGTCCCTATGGGTCCCTGTGTGTCCCTATGGGTCCCCATGGGTCCTTATGGGTCGGTGTGGGTCCCTATGGGTCCCTATGGGTCCTTATGGGTCGGTGTGGGTCCCTATGGGTCCCTATGGGTCCTTATGGGTCGCTGTGGGTCTCTATGGGGCAGGGCAGCCCCGATGGCGACGGCCCGTGGTTCTGCGGTCGGACGGAGGAGGAGGCGAGGAACAAAGCGGCCAAAGAGCTGGGAGTGCGGCCTGAGAGCCTCAGCCTGGAGCAAGGTGGGGGGGGGAGGGGGTGTGGGGCAGGGCGGGGGGATGTGGGGCCATGTGGGGCAGGGTGGGGCGCCGTGGGGTGGGGTGGGATGATGTGGGGTGGTATGGGATGCTATAGGGTGGTGTGGGGAGATGTGGGGCACTATGGGCGCTATGGGGTGCTGAGGGGTGGAGAGATGTGGGGCACTATGGGCGCTATGGGGTGCTGTGGGGTGGGGTGGGATGATGTGGGGTGGTATGGGGTGCTATAGGGTGTTGTGGGGAGATGTGGGGCACTATGGGCGCTATGGGGTGCTGTGGGGTGGGGCGGTGTGGGGTGCTGTGGGGTGGGGAGATGTGGGGCACTATGGGGTGCTGTGGGTGGGGAGATGTGGGGCACTATGGGCGCTATGGGGTGCTGTGGGGTGGGGAGATGTGGGGCACGTTGGGGTGCTATGGGGTGCTGTGGGGTGGGGAGATGTGGGGCACTATGGGCGCTATGGGTGCTGTGGGGTGGGGATGATGTGGGGCACTATGGGTGCTAAGGGGTGCTGTGGGGTGGCGAGATGTGGGGCACTATGGGTGCTATGGGGTGCTGTGGGGTGGGGTGGGATGATGTGGGGTGTTATGGGATGCTATAGGGTGGTGTGGGGAGATGTGGGGCGCTATAGGCACTATGGGGTGCTGTGGGGCGGGGAGATGTGGGGCACTATGGGCGCTATGGGGTGCTGTGGGGTGGGGAGATGTGGGGCGCTATGGGGTGCTGTAGGGTGGGGAGATGTGGGGCACTATGGGCGCTATGGGGTGCTGTGGGGTGGGGTGGGATGATGTGGGTTGGTATGGGATGCTATGGGGTGGTGTGGGGAGATGTGGGGCACTATGGGCGCTATGGGGTGCCGTGGGGTGGGGCATTGTGGGGTGCTGTGGGGTGGAGAGATGTGGGGCACTATGGGGTGCTATGGCGTTCTATGGGGTCGGGAGATGTGGGGCGCTATGGGCGCTATGGGGTGCTGTAGGGTGGGGAGATGTGGGGCACTATGGGTGCTATGGGGTGCTGTGGGGTGGGGTGGGATGATGTGGGGTGTTATGGGATGCTATAGGGTGGTGTGGGGAGATGTGGGGCGCTATAGGCGCTATGGGGTGCTGTGGGGCGGGGAGATGTGGGGCACTATGGGCGCTATGGGGTGCTGTGGGGTGGGGAGATGTGGGGCGCTATGGGGTGCTGTGGGGTGGGGAGATGTGGGGCACTATGGGCGCTATGGGGTGCTGTGGGGTGGGGTGGGATGATGTGGGTTGGTATGGGATGCTATGGGGTGGTGTGGGGAGATGTGGGGCACTATGGGCGCTATGGGGTGCTGTGGGGTGGGGAGATGTGGGGCACTATGGGTGCTATGGGGTGCTGTGGGGTGGGGTGGGATGATGTGGGGTGTTATGGGATGCTATAGGGTGGTGTGGGGAGATGTGGGGCACTATGGGCGCTATGGGGTGCCGTGGGGTGGGGAGATGTGGGGCACTATGGGCGCTATGGGGTGCTGTAGGTGGGGAGATGTGGGGCACTATGGGGCGCTATGGGGTGGGCTGCAGTGTAGTGATGTGGGGCCCATTGGGGTGCCCATTGGGGTGCTGTTGGGTGGGGAGATGTGGGGCACTATGGGGTGCTATGGGGTTCTATGGGGTCGGGAGATGTGGGGCGCTATGGGCGCTATGGGGTGCTGTGGGGTGGAGATGTGGGTGCACTATGGGGTGCTGTGGGGTTCTATGGGGTCAGGAGATGTGGGGCACTATGGGTGCTATGGGGTGCTGTGGGGTGGGGTGGGATGATGTGGGGTGTTATGGGATGCTATAGGGGTTCTATGGTGTGGGAGATGTGGGGCACTATGGGTGCTATGGGGTGCTGTGGTGTGGGGAGATGTGGGGCACTATGGGCGCTATGGGGTGCTGTGGGGCGGGGAGATGTGGGGCACTATGGGCGCTATGGGGTGCTGTGGTGTGGGGAGATGTGGGGCACTATGGGCGCTATGGGGTGCTGTGGGGTGGGGAGATTTGTGGTGATGTGGGGCACGTTGGGGTGCTGTGGTGTGGGGAGATGTGGGGCAGGATGGGTGCTATGGGGTGGGGTGGGATGATGTGGGGCACTATGGTCGCTATGGGGTGGGGTTGGGCACTATGGGGTGCTATGGGGCGGGGTGGAGAGATGTGGGGCACCATGGGCGCTATGGGGTGCTGTGGGGTGGGGTGGGATGATGTGGGGTGGTATGGGATGCTGTGGGGTGGTGTGGGGAGATGTGGGGCACTATGGGCGCTATGGGGTGCTGTGTGGTGGGGAGATGTGGGGCACTATGGGCGCTATGGGGTGCTATGGGGTGGAGTTGGGTGCTAAGGGGTGCTGTGGGGTGGCGAGATGTGGGGCACTATGGGTGCTATGGGGTGCTGTGGTGTGGGGTGGGATGATGTGGGGTGGTATGGGATGCTATAGGGTGCTGTGGGGAGATGTGGGAAGATGTGGGCGCTATGGGGTGCTGTGGGGTGGGGAGATGTGGGGCACTATGGGCGCTATGGGGTGCTGTGGGGTGGGGAGATGTGGGGCGCTATGGGGTGCTGTGGGGTGGGGAGATGTGGGGCACTATGGGCGCTATGGGGTGCTGTGGGGTGGGGTGGGATGATGTGGGTTGGTATGGGATGCTATGGGGTGGTGTGGGGAGATGTGGGGCACTATGGGCGCTATGGGGTGCCGTGGGGTGGGGCATTGTGGGGTGCTGTGGGGTGGAGAGATGTGGGGCACTATGGGGTGCTATGGGGTTCTATGGGGTCGGGAGATGTGGGGCACTATGGGCGCTATGGGGTGCTGTAGGGTGGGGAGATGTGGGGCACTATGGGTGCTATGGGGTGCTGTGGGGTGGGGTGGGATGATGTGGGGTGTTATGGGATGCTATAGGGTGGTGTGGGGAGATGTGGGGCACTATGGGCGCTATGGGGTGCTGTGGGGTGGGGAGATGTGGGGCACTATGGGCGCTATGGGGTGCTGTGGGGTGGGGAGATGTGTGGTGATGTTGGGCACGTTGGGGTGCTGTGGTGTGGGGAGATGTGGGGCAGGATGGGTTCTATGGGGTGGGGTGGGATGATGTGGGGCACTATGGTCGCTATGGGGTGGGGTTGGGCACTATGGGGTGCTATGGGGCGGGGTGGAGAGATGTGGGGCACCATGGGCGCTATGGGGTGCTGTGGGGTGGGGTGGGATGATGTGGGGTGGTATGGGATGCTGTGGGGTGGTGTGGGGAGATGTGGGGCACTATGGGGTGCTGTGGGTGGGGAGATGTGGGGCACTATGGGCGCTATGGGGTGCTGTGGGGTGGGGATGATGTGGGGCACTATGGGATGCTATGGGGTGGTGTGGGGAGATGTGGGGCACTATGGGCCCATTGGGGTGCTGTAGGGTGGCGAGATGTGGGGCACTATGGGGTGCTATGGGGTGCTGTGGGTGGGGAGATGTGGGGCACTATGGGTGCTATGGGGTGCTGTGGGGTGGGGAGATGTGGGGCACTATGGGTGCTATGGGGTGCTGTGGGGTGGGGTGGGATGATGTGGGGCACTATGGGCGCTATGGGGTGCTGTGGGGAGATGTGGGGCACTATGGGCGCTATGGGGTGCTGTGGGTGGGGAGATGTGGGGCACTATGGGCGCTATGGGTGCTGTGGGGTGGGGAGATGTGGGGCGCTATGGGGTGCTATGGGGTTCTGTGGGGTGGGGAGATGTGGGGCACTACGGGCGCTATGGGGTGCTATGGGGTGGGATGGGATGATGTGGGGTGGTATGGGATGCTGTGGGGTGGTGTGGGGAGATGTGGGGCACTATGGGGTGCTATGGGGTTCTATGGGGTCGGGAGATGTGGGGCACTATGGGCGCTATGGGGTGCTGTAGGGTGGGGAGATGTGGGGCGCTATGGGGTGCTATGGGGTGGGGTGGGAGATGTGGGGCGCTATGGGCGCTATGAGGTGCTGTGGTGTGGGGAGATGTGGGGCGCTATGGGGGCGCTATGGGGTTCTATGGGGTCTGGAGATGTGAGGCACTATGGGCGCTATGGGGTGCTGTGAGGCGGGGTGGGGAGATGTGGGGCACTATGGGCGCTATGGGGTGCCATGGGATGGGGAGATGTGGGGCACTATGGGCGCTATGGGGTGCTGTGGGGTGGGGAGATGTGGGGCACTATGGGCGCTATGGGGTGCTGTGGGGTGAGGTGGGATGATGTGGGGCACTATGGGTGCTATGGGGTGCTGTGGGGTGGGGAGATGTGGGGCACTATGGGCGCTATGGGGTGCCGTGGGGTGGGGAGATGTGGGGTGCTATGGGCGCTATGGGGTGCTGTGGGGTGGGGAGATGTGGGGCACTATGGGGTGCTATGGGGTGCTGTGGGGTGGGGTGGGATGATGTGGGGCACTATGGGGTGCTATGGGGTTCTATGGGGTCGGGAGATGTGGGGCACTATGGGCGCTATGGGGTGCTGTGGGTGGGGAGATGTGGGGCGCTATGGGCGCTATGGGGTGCTGTGGGGTGGGGAGATGTGGGTCGCTATGGGGTGCTATCGGGTTCTATGGGGTCGGGAGATGTGGGGCACTATGGGCGCTATGGGGTGCTGTGGGGTGGGGAGATGTGGGGCACTATGGGCGCTATGGGGTGCTGTGGGGTGGGGAGATGTGGGGCACTATGGGCGCTATGGGGTGCTGTGGGGTGGGGAGATGTGGGGCACTATGGGGCGCTATGGGGTGCTGTGGGGTGGGGAGATGTGGGGCACTATGGGCGCTATGGGGTGCTGTGGGGTGGGGAGATGTGGGGCACTATGGGCGCTATGGGGTGCTGTGGGGTGGGGAGATGTGGGGCACGTTGGGGTGCTATGGGGTGCTGTGGTGTGGGGAGATGTGGGGCACTACGGGCGCTATGGGGTGGTGTGGGGTGGGATGGGATGATGTGGGGTGGTATGGGATGCTGTGGGGTGGTGTGGGGAGATGTGGGGCACTATGGGGTGCTATGGGGTTCTATGGGGTCGGGAGATGTGGGGCGCTATGGGCGCTATGGGGTGCTGTAGGGTGGGGAGATGTGGGGCGCTATGGGGTGCTATGGGGTTCTATGGGGTCGGGAGATGTGGGGCGCTATGGGCGCTATGAGGTGCTGTGGTGTGGGGAGATGTGGGGCGCTATGGGGTGCTATGGGGTTCTATGGGGTCTGGAGATGTGAGGCACTATGGGCGCTATGGGGTGCTGTGGGTGGGGAGATGTGGGGCACTATGGGCGCTATGGGGTGCTGTGGGGTGGGGTGGGATGATGTGGGGTGGTATGGGATGCTGTGGGGTGGTGTGGGGAGATGTGGGGCACTATGGGCGCTATGGGGTGCCGTGGGGTGGGGAGATGTGGGGCACTATGGGCGCTATGGGGTGCTGTGGGGTGGGGAGATGTGGGGCACTATGGGGTGCTATGGGGTGCTGTGGGGTGGGGAGATGTGGGGCACTATGGGGTGCTATGGGGTGCTATGGGGTGGGAGATGTGGGGCACTATGGGCGCTATGGGGTGCTGTGGGTGGGGAGATGTGGGGCACTATGGGCGCTATGGGGTGCTGTGGGGTGGGGTGGGATGATGTGGGGTGTTATGGGATGCTATAGGGTGGTGTGGGGAGATGTGGGGCACTATGGGCGCTATGGGTGCTGTGGGGTGGGGAGATGTGGGGCACTATGGGCGCTATGGGGTGCTGTGGGGTGGGGTGGGATGATGTGGGGTGGTATGGGATGCTATAGGGTGGTGTGGGGAGATGTGGGGCGCTATGGGCGCTATGGGCGCTATGGGGTGCTGTGGGGTGGGGAGATGTGGGGCACTATGGGGTGCTATGGGGTGCTGTGGGGTTGGGCACTGTGGGTCACTTATGGGATGCTGTGGGGCACTGTGGGTCAATTCTTGGGCACTGTGGGTCACTTATGGGGCGCTATGAGGTGCTGACGGGTTACTTATGGGGCACTGTGGGTCACTTATGGGGCGCTATGGGATGCTGACGGGTCACTTATGGGGCACTGTGGGTCACTTATGGGGCGCTATGGGGTGCTGACGGGTCACTTGTGGGACACTTATGGGGCGCTATGGGGCGCTGTGGGTCACTTGTGGGGCACTTATGGGGCGCTGTGGGGCGCTGACGGGTGACTTGTGGGTCGCAGACGAGGACGTCCTGGACACGTGGTTCTCCTCTGGGCTTTTCCCATTCTCCATCTTCGGGTGGCCGGAGCAGGTGGGTCGGGGGGGGGGGGGGCTGCCCCACTGATCCCATTGATCCCATTGATCCCATTGATCCTGTGATCCCATTGATGATGCTGTGCCCCATTGATCCCATTGATCCCACTGATCCCATTGATCCCAATGATGACGCTGTGCCCCATTGATCCCACTGATCCCATTGATCCTGTTGATCCCATTGATCCCACTGATCCCATTGATCCCATTGATCCCATTGATGACGCTGTGCCCCATTGATCCCATTGATCCCATTGATCCTGTTGATCCCATTGATCCCGTTGATCCCATTGATCCCATTGATCCCATTGATCCCATTGATCCTGTGATCCCATTGATGATGCTGTGCCCCATTGATCCCATTGATCCCACTGATCCCATTGATCCCATTGATGACGCTGTGCCCCATTGATCCCATTGATGACGCTGTGCCCCATTGATCCCATTGATCCCGTTGATCCCATTGATCCCACTGATCCCATTGATCCCATTGATCCCATTGATGACGCTGTGCCCCATTGATCCCATTGATCCCATTGATCCCATTGATCCCATTGATCTTATTGATGACGCTGTACCCCATTGATCCCATTGATCCCATTGATCCCATTGATCCCATTGATCCCACTGATCCCATTGATCCCATTGATGACGCTGTACCCCACTGATCCCATTGATCCCATTGATCCCATTGATCCCATTGATCTTATTGATGACGCTGTACCCCATTGATCCCATTGATCCCATTGATCCCATTGATGACGCTGTACCCCATTGATCCCATTGATCCCATTGATGACGCTGTTCCCCATTGATCCCATTGATCCCACTGATCCCATTGATGACGCTGTACCCCATTGATCCCATTGATCCCATTGATGACGCTGTTCCCCATTGATCCCATTGATCCCATTGATCCCATTGATCCCACTGATTCCACTGATCCCATTGATCCCATTGATCCCATTGATCCCATTGATGACGCTGTTCCCCATTCATCCCATTGATCCCATTGATCCCATTGATCCCACTGATCCCATTGATCCCACTGATCCCATTGATCCCATTGATCCCATTGATGACACTGTACCCCATTGATCCCATTGATCCCATTGATGACGCTGTACCCCACTGATCCCATTGATCCCACTGATCCCATTGATCCCACTGATCCCATTGATCTTATTGATGATGCTGTACCCCATTGATCCCATTGATCCCATTGATCCCATTGATGACGCTGTGCCCCATTGATCCCATTGATCCTGTTGATCCCATTGATGATGCTGTGCCCCATTGATCCCATTGATCCATTGATCCCATTGATGCCACTGATCCCATTGGTCCCATTGATGACTCTGTGCCCCACTGATCCCATTGATCCCATTGATCCCACTGATCCCACTGATCCCATTGATCCCATTGATGACTCTGTGCCCCATTGATCCCATTGATCCCGTTGATCCTGTTGATCCCATTGATGACGCTGTGCCCCACTGATCCCATTGATCCCATTGATCCCATTGATCCTATTGATCCCATTGATGACGCTGTACCCCATTGATCCCATTGATCCCATTGATCCCATTGATCCCATTGATGACGCTGTACCCCATTGATCCCATTGATCCCATTGATCCCATTGATGACGCTGTGCCCCATTGATCCCATTGATCCCATTGATCCCATTGATGACGCTGTTCCCCATTGATCCCATTGATCCCATTGATCCCATTGATGACGCTGTGCCCCATTGATCCCATTGATCCCATTGATCCCATTGATGACGCTGTGCCCCATTGATCCCATTGATCCCATTGATCCCATTGATGACGCTGTTCCCCATTGATCCCATTGATCCCATTGATCCCATTGATCCCATTGATGACACTGTACCCCATTGATCCCATTGATCCTATTGATCCCACTGATCCCATTGATCCCATTGATCCCACTGATCCCAGTGATCCCATTGATCCCACTGATCCATTGATCCCATTGATCCCATTGATGACACTGTACCCCATTGATTTCATTGATCCCATTGATGACTCTGTTCCCCATTGATCCCATTGATCCCATTGATCCCATTGATTTCATTGATCCCATTGATGACGCTGTTCCCCATTGATCCCATTGATCCCATTGATCCCATTGATCCCATTGATGACGCTGTTCCCCGTTGATCCCACTGATCCCATTGATCCCATTGATCCCACTCATCCCATTGATGACGCTGTTCCCCATTGATCCCATTGATCCCATTGATCCCATTGGTGACGCTGTGCCCCACAGATGACATTGGGGTCAGAGGTGACATTTAAGGGGGGGGGGGGGGGGGAATTCAGGTGACCCCTGGGGGTGACCCTTGACCCCGACCCCCCCCCCTATCCTCCCCCCCCCCCCCCCCCCCCCCAAGAGCGAGGAGCTGTCGGTGTTCTCCTGGGGGGGGGGGGGGGGGTGGCAGATGACCTCAGATGACCTTGGGGTCAGAGCCGACACTTAAGGGGGGGGGGGGGGAGATGAAATGACCCCGGAGCGGGGGCAATGAGGTGACCTTTGACCCCGACCCCCCCTCCCCAATTCCCCCCCCCTCCCCCTCCCCAGAGCGAGGAGCTGCCTGTGTTCCACCGGGGTGGGGGGGGGAGGGGGTGGCAGATGACCTCAGATGACCTCAGATGACCTTGGCTTCAGAGCCGACACTTAAGAGGGGGGGGGGGGGGGGAGATGAAATGACCCCGGGGGGGGGGGGCAATGAGGTGACCTCTGACCCCGACCCCCCCCCCCCCAATTTGCCCCCCCCCCCCTCAGAGCAAGGAGCTGCCTGTGTTCCACTGGGGGGGGGGGGGGGGGGTGTTGCAGATGACCTCAGATGACCTCAGATGACCTCAGATGACCTCAGATGACCTTGGGGTCAGAGGCAACCTTTAAAGGGGGGGGGGAGATGAAATGACCCCGGAGGGGGGGCATTGAGGTGACCTTTGACCCCGACCCCCCCCCCCCCAATTTCCCCCCCCTCCCCAGAGCGAGGAGCTGCCTGTGTTCCACTGGGGGGGGGGTGGCAGATGACCTCAGATGACCTCAGATGACCTCAGATGACCTTGGCTTCAGAGCCGACACTTAAGGGGGGGGGGGGGAGATGAAATGACCCCGGGGGGGGGGCATTGAGGTGACCTTTGACCCCGACCCCCCCCCCCCAATTGTGTCCCCCCCCCCAGAGCGAGGAGCTGTCGGTGTTCTACCCTGGGACGCTGCTGGAGACGGGTCACGACATCCTGTTCTTCTGGGTGGCCCGCATGGTGATGCTGGCGCTGGCGCTGACCGGGAAGCTGCCATTCCGAGAGGTGGGGGGATTTGGGGGGGGGGCTTTATTTTGGGGGGGGGGGGGCTTTAGGGAGGGGGGATTGGAGGGGTGGTTTGGGGTGGGGGTCTTTGGGGGGGGGGGGCTTTGGGGAGGGGGGTTTGGGAGGTGGTTTGGGGTGGGGGTGATGCTGGCGCTGACCGGGAAGCTGCCATTCCGAGAGGTGGGGGGATTTGGGGGGGGGGCTTCTTTGGGGGGGGGGAGGGGGCTTTGGGGAGGGGGGATTGGAGGGGTGGTTTGGGGTGGGGGTCTTTGGGGGGGGGGGCTTTGGGGAGGGGGGATTGGAGGGGTGGTTTGGGGTGGGGGTCTTTGGGGGGGGGGTCTTTAGAGAGGGGGGGTTGGGGGGGTGGTTTGGGGTGGGGGTCTTTGGGGGGGGGGGGGCTTTGGGGAGGGGGAGGGTTGGGGGGTGGTTTGGGGCGCTGACCGGGAAGCTGCCATTCCGAGAGGTGGGGGGATTTGGGGGGGGGGCTTCTTTGGGGGGGGGGGGGGGAGCTTTTGGGGGGGGGGGGGGGCTTTTTAAGGTGGGGGAGGCCTTTTTGGGGGGGGGGGCTTTTGGGGAGGGGGGTCTTTGGGGGGGGATTTGGGGAGGCTGGGGAGGGGGGTTTAGGGAGGGGGGGGCTGGGGGGGGGTGTTGGGGGTTTGGGGGGGGGCTTTTTGGGGAGGGGGGTCTTTTGGGGAGGGGAGGGGGTCTTTGGGGAGGGGGGGTCTTTGGGGAGGCTGGGGGAGAAGGTGTTTAGGGAGGGGGGGTTGGGGGGTGTTGGGGGTTTGGGGGGAGGGGTTTTTCGGGGGGGGTCTTTGGGGGGAGGAGTTTTGGGGGGGAGTCTTTGGGGGGGGGCTTTTGGGGAGGGCTGGGGGCTTTGGGGAGGGGGGTCTTTGGGGAGGCTGGGGAGGGGGGGGTTTAGGAGGGGGGTGTTTGGGGTTTGGGGGGGTTTGGGGGGAGGGGTTTTGGGGGGGGCTTTTTGGGGAGGGGGGTCTTTGGGGGGAGGAGTTTTGGGGGGGGTCTTTGGGGAGGGGCTTTTGGGGAGGGGGGGTCTTTGGGGAGGTGGGGTTTGGGAGGTGGTTTGGGGTGGGGGTGATGCTGGCGCTGACCGGGAAGCTGCCATTCCGAGAGGTGGGGGGATTTGGGGGGGGGGGGCTTTATTTTGGGGGGGGGGGGGGGGGCTTTGGGAGGGGGGGGGAAAGCTTTGGGGTGGGGGGATTGGAGGGGTGGTTTGGGGTGGGGGTCTTTGGGGGGGGGGGGCTTTGGGGAGGGGGGATTGGAGGGGTGGTTTGGGGTGGGGGTCTTTGGGGGGGGGGGGTCTTTAGAGAGGGGGGGTTGGGGGGGTGGTTTGTGGGGGGGGCTTTTTGGAAAGGGGGGCTTTGGGGAGGGGGGGTTTGGGGGGAGGGGTTTTGGGGGGGGCTTTTTGGGGAGGGGGGTCTTTAGGGAGGGGGGGTTGGGGTGGTTGGGGAGGGGGGTTGGGGGGGGCTTTGGGGGGGCTTTTTGGGGAGGGGGGGCCTTTGGGGGGAGGGGTTTGGGGGGGGGTGGTTTGGGGGGTGGTTTTGGGGGGGGGCTGGGGATGGGGGTGTTTGGGGAGGGGGGGGCTTTGAGGGGGGTGGTTTGGGGGGGGGCTTTGAGGGGGGGGCTATTTGGGGAGGGGGGGGCTTTGGGGGGGGTCTTTGAGGGAGTTGGTTTGGGTGGGGGGCTTTATGGGGGGGTGGTTGGGGGGGGGGGGTTTTGGGGTGTAGCTTTGATGGGGGGGCTTTGATGGGGGTGGTTTGGGGGGGGGCTTTGGGGGGGCTATTTGGGGAGGGGGGGTCTTTAGGGAGGGGGGGTTGGGGGGGGGTGGTTTGGGGTGGGGGGCTTTGGGGGGGGGGGGCTTTGGGGAGGGGGGGTTTGGGAGGTGGTTTGGGGCGCTGACCGGGAAGCTGCCATTCCGAGAGGTGGGGGATTTGGGGGGGGGGCTTCTTTGGGGGGGGGGGGGAGCTTTTGGGGGGGGGGGGGCTTTTTAAGGTGGGGAGGCCTTTTTGGGGGGGGGGGCTTTGGGGAGGGGGGGTTTGGAGGTGGTTTGGGATGGGGGTGATGCTGGCGCTGACCGGGAAGCTGCCATTCCAAGAGGTGGGGGGATTTGGGGGGGGGGCTTCTTTGGGGGGGGGGGGAGCTTTTGGGGTGGGGGGGCTTTTTAAGGTGGGGGAGGCCTTTTTGGGGGGGGGGGCTTTTGGGGACGGGGGTCTTTGGGGGGGGATTTGGGGAGGCTGGGGAGGGGGGTTTAGGGAGGGGGGGCTGGGGGGGGGTGTTGGGGGTTTGGGGGGGGGCTTTTTGGGGAGGGGGGTCTTTTGGGGAGGGGAGGGGGTCTTTGGGGAGGGGGGTCTTTGGGGAGGCTGGGGAGGGGGGGTTTAGGGAGGGGGGGTTGGAGGGTGTTGGGGGTTTGGGGGGAGGGGTTTTTGGGGGGGGGTCTTTGGGGGGAGGAGTTTTGGGGGGAGTCTTTGGGGGGGGGCTTTTGGGGAGGGGTGGGGACTTTGGGGAGGGGGGTCTTTGGGGAGGCTGGGGAGGGGGGGTTTAGGGAGGGGGGGTTTGGGGGGGGTGTTTGGGGTTTGGGGGGTTTGGGGGGAGGGGTTTTGGGGGGGTCTTTGGGGAGGGGTCTTTGGGGGGAGGAGTTTTGGGGGGGGTCTTTGGGGAGGGGCTTTTGGGGAGGGGGGGTCTTTGGGGGGAGGAGTTTTGGGGGGGGCTTTTGGGGAGGGGAGGGGGTCTTTGGGGAGGGGGGTCTTTGAGGAGGCTGGGGAGGGGGTTTGGGTGGGGGGTTTTATGGGGGGGGTGGTTTGGGGGGGGGGGTTTGGGGTGTAGATTTGATGGGGGGGCTTTGATGGGGCTGGTTTGGCGGGGAGGTTTGGGGGGGGGGGCTTTGGGGTGGGGGTCTTTGTGGGGGGGGGGCTTTGGGGAGGGGGGTGGGGGGGGTGGTTTGGGGCGCTGACCAGGAAGCTGCCATTCCGAGAGGTGGGGGGATTTGGGGGGGGGGCTTCTTTGGGGGGGGGGCTTTTTTGGGGGGGGGGGGTGGGGGGGCTTTGGGGGGTCTCTGTGGGGATCTTTGGGGGGGGATCGGGGGATTTTGGGGGGGGTCCTGAGGTGACATGGTGCCCCCCCCCCCCCAGGTGTATCTGCACGCCATCGTGAGGGACGCCCATGGGAGGAAGATGAGCAAATCCTTGGGGAACGTCATCGACCCCCTGGATGTCATCGAGGGCATCAGTCTGCAGGTCTGGGGGGGGGGAATTGGGGGGGGGGACATGGGGGGCAAAGGGGGGGGATGGGGGGGGAATTGGGGGGCAAAGGGGGGGGGATGGGGGGGAAATGGGGGGCAAAGGGGGGGGATGGGGGGGGAATTGGGGGGCAAAGGGGGGGGGATGGGGGGAAATGGGGGGCAAAGGGGGGGGAAATGGGGGGCAAAGGGGGGGGATGGGGGGGAATTGGGGGGCAAAGGGGGGCGGATTGGGGGGCAAAAGGGGGGGAATTGGGGGGGGAAATGGGGGGCAAAGGGGGGGGGATTGGGGGGAATGGGGGGGGAATGGGGGCAAAGGGGGGGGCATGGGGGCTAAATGGGGGGGAAAATGGGGGCGGATTGGGGGGCAAAAGGGGGGGATGGGGGGGAATTGGGGGGGGAATGGGGGGCAGATTGGGGGGAAAAGGGGGGGGGGATGGGGGGGAATTGGGGGGGGATTGGGGGGCAAAGGGGGAGGATGGGGGGGGAATTGGGGGGGGAATGGGGGGCAGATTGGGGGCCAAAGGGGGGGAAATTGGGGAGGGGATGGGGGGGGATTGGGGGGGGAATGGGGGGCAAAGGGGGGCGGATTGGGGGGCAAAAGGGGGGGAATTGGGGGGGATGGGGGCAAAGGGGGGGACATGGGGGGGGAATTGGGGGGGAATGGGGGGCAAAGGGGAGGGGATGGGGGGAATTGGGGGGCAAAGGGGGGGGGATGGGGGGGAATTGAGGGGGGAATGGGGGGCAAAGGGGGGGGCATGGGGGGGATGGGGGGGGAATTGGGGGCGGATTGGGGGGCAAAAGAGGAGGGAAGGGGGGGAATTGGGGGGGGATTGGGGGGGCAAAGGGGGGGGATGGGGGGGGAATTGGGGGGGCAAAGGGGGGGCAGATTGGGGGGCAAAAGGGGGGGAAATTGGGGGGGAGGAATGAGGGGCAAAGGGGGGAATTGGGGGCAAAAGGCGGGGGGGTGGGGGGGGGGAATAGAGGGGAAATGGGGGGCTAAAGGGAGAGGGGGGAAGTGGGGGGGGAATTGGGGGGCAAAGGGTGGGGGATGGGGGGGAATTGGGGGGCAAAGGGGGGGCGGATTGGGGGGCAAAAGGGGGGGAATGGGGGGGAATTGGGGGGGGATTGGGGGCAAAGGGGGGGGATGGGGGGGGAATTGGGGGGCAAAGGGGGGCAGATTGGGGGGCAAAAGGGGGGGAAATTGGGGGGGGGGACATGGGGGGCAAAGGGGGGGGGATGGGGGGGGAATTGAGGGGGGAATTGGGGTGCAAAGGGGGGGGATGGGGGGGAATTGGGGGGCAAAGGGGAGCGGATTGGGGGGCAAAAGGGGGGGAAATTGGGGGGGGATTGGGGGGGGAATGGGGGGCAAAGGGGGGGGAATTGGGGGGGGAAATGGGGGGCAAAGGGGGGGGGATGGGGGGGGAATTGGGGGGGGAATGGGGGGCTAAAGGGAGAGGGGGGAAGTGGGGGGGGAATTGGGGGGCAAAGGGTGGGGGATGGGGGGGAATGGGGGGCAAAAGGGGGGGGGGATGGGGGGGGAATTGGGGGGCAAAGGGGGGGGATGGGGGGGAATTGGGGGGCAAAGGGGGGCGGATTGGGGGGCAAAAGGGGGGGAAATTGGGGGGGGGAATGGGGGGCAAAGGGGGGGGATGGGGGGGAATTGGGGGGCAAAAGGGGGGGGGATGGGGGGGGGAATGGGGGGCTAAAGGGAGAGGGGGGAAGTGGGGGGGGAATTGGGGGGCAAAGGGGGGCGGATTGGGGGGGGAATTGGGGGGAGATTGGGGGGCAAAGGGGGGGGATGGGGGAATTGGGGGGCAAAGGGGGGGAGGAGGGGAAATGGGGGGGAATTGGGGGGAGGAGGAGGGGAAATGGGGGGCAGGAGGAGGGAGGAATTGGGGGGCAAAGGGGGTGGAATTGGGGGGCAAAGGGGGGGGGAAGGGAGGAAGGGGGAGGGGGGGAAGTGGGGGGAAATGGGGGGCAAAGGGGGGAGTAAAAAGGGGGGGCAAAGGGGGGGAATTGGGGGGCAAAGGGGGGGGAATTGGGGGAAGGAGGAGGGGAAAAGGGGGGGAATTGGGGAGGAATTGGGGGGCAAAGGGGGGGGGGAGGAGGGGAAATGGGGGGCGGGAGGAGGGAGGAATTGGGGGGCAAAGGGGGTGGAATTGGGGGGCAAAGGGGGGGGAAGGGAGGAAGGGGGAGGGGGGGAAGTGGGGGGAAATGGGGGGCAAAGGGGGGGGGTAAAAAGGGGGGGCAAAGGGGGGGGAATTGGGGGGCAAAAGGGGGGGGAATTGGGGGGAGGAGGAGGGGAAATGGAGGGGAAAAGGGGGGGAATTGGGGGGCAAAGGGGGGGGAAGGGAGGAAGGGGGAGGGGGGGGAAAAGGGGGGAGATGGGGGGCAAAGGGGGGGGAATTGGGGGGCAAAGGGGGGGGAAGGGAGGAAGGGGGAGGGGGGGAAAAGGGGGGGGAATTGGGGGGCAAAAAGGGGGGGCAAAAAGGGGGGGGATGGGGAGGAGTTGGGGGGCAAAAGGGGGGAATTGGGGGGGATGGGGAGGAATTGGGGGCAAGGGGGGGGAATGGGGGGGCAAAAGGGGATGGGGGGGAATTGGGGGGCAAAGGGGGCGGATTGGGGGCAAAAAGGGGGGATGAGGGGGAATTTGGGGGCAAAGGGGGGGGGATGGGGGGGGAATTGGGGGGGGATTGGAGGGCAAAGGGGGGCGGATTGGGGGGCAAAGGGGGAGGGATGGGGAGGCAAAAAGGGGGGGATGGGGGGAATTGGGAGGAAAAGGGGGGGTGGAATTGGGGGGGAGGGGAAATGGGGGGGAATTGGGGGGCAAAGGAGGGGGATGGGGGGGCGAAAAGGAGGGGGATGGGGGAATTGGGGGCAAAGGGGGGGTGAAATTGGGGGGCAAAAGTGGGGAAATGGGGGGGCAAAGGGGGGGGGATTGGAGGGAAAAAAGGGGGGGAATTGGGGGCAAAGGTGGGGTGAAATTGGGGGGCAAAGGGGGGGGGATGGGGGGGCGAAGGGGGGGGGAGGAGGGGAAATGGGAAAAAGGGGGGCAATTGGGGGGCAAAGGGGGGGAGGAGGGGAAAGGGGGGGGAAGGGAGGAAGGGGGAGGGGGGAAATGGGGGGCAAAGGGGGGGGTAAAAAGGGGGGATGGGGGGAATTGGGGGGCAAAGGGGGGCGGATTGGGGGGCAAAAGGGGGGGCAATTGGGGGGCAAAGGTAGGGGAGGAGAGGAAATGGGGGGGAATTGGGGGGCAAAGGGGGGGGATGGGGGGCAAAGGGGGGGGAGGAGGGGGAAGGGAGGAAGGAGGAGGGGGGAAATGGGGGGGGAATTGGGGGGTAAAAAGGGGGGGGCAAAAAGGGGGGGGATGGGGGGGAGTTGGGGGGCAAAGGGGGGGGAAGGGAGGAAGGGGGAGGGGGGGAAGTGGGGGAGAATGGGGGGGAATTGGGGGAGAATGAGGGGGAATTGGGGGGCAAAGGGGGGGGATGGGGGGGAATTGGGGGGGGATTGGGGGGCAAAGGGGGGGGGAGGAGGGGAAATGGGGGGGGAATTGGGGGGCAAAGGGGGGGTAAAAAAGGGGGGGCAAAGGAGGGGAATTGGGGGGCAAAAGGGGGGGAAATTGGGGGGGGACATGGGGGGCAAAGGGGGGGAATTGGGGGGGGAATTGGTGGGAGAATGGGGGGCAAAGGGGGGGGGATTGGGGGGCAAAAGGGGGGGAATTGGGGGCGGATTGGGGGGCAAAAGGGGGGGGGAGGAGGGGAAATGGGGGGGGAATTGGGGGGCAAAGGGGGGGTAAAAAAGGGGGGGCAAAGGGGGGGAATTGGGGGCAAAGGGGGGGGGAGGAGGGGAAATGGGGGGGAATTGGGGGGCAAAGGGGAGGGAAATGGGGGGCAAAGGGGGGGGGAGGAGGGGAAAGGGGGGGAAGGGAGGAAGGGAGAGGGGGGGAAATGGGGGGGGGAATTGGGGGGCAAAAAGGGGGGGGCAAAAAGGGAGGGGATGGGGGGGAGTTGGGGGGCAAAGGGGGGGGAAGGGAGGAAGGGGGAGGGGGGGAAGTGGGGGAGAATGGGGGGGAATTGGGGGAGAATGAGGGGGAATTGGGGGGCAAAGGTGGGGCAGGGGAGGGCAAAACGGGGGGGGATGGGGAGGAATTGGGGGGCAAAGGGGGGGGAATGGGGGGGCAAAGGGGGGGGAATTGGGGGGCAAAGGGGGGGGGAGGAGGGGAAAGGGGGGGAAGGGAGGAAGGGGGAGGGGGGGAATTGGGGGGGGAATTGGGGGGCAAAAAGGGGGGGGATGGGGGGGGAATTGAGGGGGGAAGGGGGGGAGGAGGGGAGATGGGGGGTGAAATTGGGGGGGGAAGGGGGGGAGATGGGGGGTGAAATTGGGGGGGGAAGGGGGGGGGGGATCAGCCTGGAGGTGGGGGGGTAAAATGGGGGGGGGGCTGTTGGTTGTGGGGCGCTGTGACCCCCCCCCCCCCCCCCCCTTGCAGGGTCTCCATCAGCAGCTGCTCAACAGCAACCTGGACCCCGCTGAGCTGGAGCGAGCGAGGGAGGGGCAGGTGTGGGGCTGGGACCCACAAGTGGGGGGCGGGATCCCCATATGTGGGGTGGGATCCCTATGTGTGGGGCTGGGACCCACAAGTGTGGGGTGGGATCCCTATATGTGGGGCTGGGACCCACAAGTGGGGGGCGGGATCCCTATATGTGGGGCTGGGACCCACAAGTGTGGGGTGGGATCCCTATATGTGGGGCTGGCACCCACAAGTGTGGGGTGGAGTCCCCATATGTGGGGTGGGATCCCCATATGTGGGGTGGGATCCCTATATGTGGGGCTGGGACCCACAAGTGTGTGGTGGGATCCCTATATGTGGGGTGGGATCCCTATGTGTGGGGTGGGATCCCTATATGTGGGGCTGGGACCCACAAGTGGGGGGCGGGATCCCTATATGTGGGGCTGGGACCCACAAGTGTGGGGCGGGATCTGTTATATGTGGGGTGGGATTCCCTATGTGTGGCGTGGGATCCCTATATGTGGGGCTGGGACACTCTATATAGGGCTGGGACCCACAAGTGTGGGGTGGGATCCCTATATGTGGGGCTGGGACCCACAAGTGTGTGATGGGATCCCCATATGTGGGGTGGGATCCCTATATGTGGGGCTGGGACCCACAAGTGTGTGATGGGATCTGTTATATGTGGGGTGGGATCCCTATATGTGGGGCTGGGACCCACAAGTGTGGGGCTGGGACCCCCATATGTGGGGCTGAGCCCCCCAAGTATGAAGCTGAGCCCCCCAAGTGTGGGGCTGAGACCCCCATATGTGGGGCTGGGGACCCCCCAAGTGTGGGGCTGGGACCCACAAGTGTGGGTCTGAGCCCCCCAAGTGTGGGGCTGAGACCCCTAAGTGTGGGGCTGGGACCCCCAAGTGTGGGGCTGAGACCCTCATATGTGGGGCTGAGACCCCCAAGTGTGCGGCTGGGACCCACAAGTGTGGGTCTGAGCCCCCCAAGTATGAAGCTGAGCCCCCCAAGTGTGGGGCTGAGATCCCCAAGTGTGGGGCTGAGACCCCTAAGTGTGGGGCTGGGAACCCCATGTGTGGGGCTGAGACCCCCAAGTGTGGGGTCGGATCCCTATATGTGGCACTGGGACCCACAAGTGTGAGGCTGGGACCCCCATATGTGGGGCTGGGACCCACAAGTGTGGGTCTGAGCCCCCAAGTATGAAGCTGAGACCCCCAAGTGTGGGGCTGAGTCCGCCAAGTGTGGGGCTGGGACCCCCAAGTGTGGGGCTGGGACTTCTAAGTGTGGGTCTGAGCCCCCCAAGTATAAAGCTGAGCCCCCCAAGTGTGGGGCCAAGACCACCATATGTGGGACTGGAAACCCTATGTGTGGGGCTGGGACCCCCATATGTGGGGCTGAGACCCCCAAGTGTGGGGCTGGGACCCCCAAGTGTGGGGCTGACCCCCAACCCCCCCCCCTTTCTGCCCCACAGAAACGCGATTTCCCCAATGGGATTCCGGAGTGCGGCACCGACGCGCTGCGCTTCGCTCTGTGCGCCTACACGGCTCAGGGTGAGGCCCCACCGCTGCCCCATAGCTGCCCCATAAGTGCCCCACGGCTGCCCCATAAGTGCCCCATAGCTGCCCCACTGCTGCCCCATAACTGCCCCATAAGTGCCCCATAGCTGCCCCATAAGTGCCCATAGCTGACCCTTAAGTGCCCCATAGCTGACCCTTAAGTGCCCCACGGCTGCCCCATGAGTGCCCCATAGCTGCCCCATAAGTGCCCCATGGCTGCCCCATAACTGCCCCATAGCTGCCCCATAACTGCCCCATGGCTGCTTCATAAGTGCCCCATAGTTGCCCCATGGCTGCCCCATAGCTGCCCCATAGCTGCCCCATAAGTGCCCCACTGCTGCCCCATGGCTGCCCCATAAGTGCCCCATAGCTGCCCCTTAAGTGCCCCATGGCTGCCCCATAAGTGCCCCATGGCTGCTTCATAAGTGCCCCATTGCTGCTTCATGGCTGCCCCACTAGTGCCCCATGGCTGCTTCATAAGTGCCCCATGGCTGCCCCATAAGTGCCTCATGGCTGCCCCATAAGTGCCTCATGGCTGCTTCATAAGTGCCCCATGGCTGCCCCATGGCTGCCCCATAGCTGCCCCATAAGTGCTCCATGGCTGCCCCATAAGTGCCCATGGCTGCCCCATAACTGCCCCATGGCTGCTTCATAAGTGCCCCATAGCTGCCCCATAAGTGCCCCATGGCTGCCCCATAAGTGCCTCATGGCTGCTTCATAAGTGCCCCATGGCTGCCCATGGCTGCCCCATAGCTGCCCCATAAGTGCCGCATGGCTGCTTCATAAGTGCCCCACAGCTGCCCCATAAGTGCCCCACAGCTGCCCCATAAGTGCCCCATGGCTGCCCCATAAGTACCCCATAACTGCCCCATGGCTGCCCCATAAGTGCCCCATTGGCTGCTTCATAAGTGCCCCATGGCTGCCCCATAAGTGCCTCATGGCTGCCCCATAAGTGCCTCATGGCTGCTTCATAAGTGCCCCATGGCTGCCCCATGGCTGCCCCATAGCTGCCCCATAAGTGCTCCATGGCTGCCCCATAAGTGCCCATGGCTGCCCCATAACTGCCCCATGGCTGCTTCATAAGTGCCCCATAGCTGCCCCATAAGTGCCCCATGGCTGCCCCATAAGTGCCTCATGGCTGCTTCATAAGTGCCCCATGGCTGCCCCATGGCTGCCCCATAGCTGCCCCATAAGTGCCGCATGGCTGCTTCATAAGTGCCCCACAGCTGCCCCATAAGTGCCCCACAGCTGCCCCATAAGTGCCCCATGGCTGCCCCATAAGTACCCCATAACTGCCCCATGGCTGCCCCATAAGTGCCCCATGGCTGCTTCATAAGTGCCCCATGGCTGCCCCATGGCTGCTCCATAGCTGCCCCATAAGTGCCCCATGGCTGCCCCATAACTGCCCCATAGCTGCCCCATAACTGCCCCATGGCTGCTTCATAAGTGCCCCATAACTGCCCCATAAGTGCCCCATGGCTGCTTCATAAGTGCCCCATAGCTGCCCCATAAGTGCCCCATAGCTGCCCCATAAGTGCCCCATAACTGCCCCATAAGTGCCCCATGGCTGCTTCATAAGTGCCCCATAGCAGCCCCACTGCTGCCCCATAACTGCCCCATAAGTGCCCCATGGCTGCCCCATAACTGCCCCATGGCTGCCCCATAAGTGCCCCATAGCAGCCCCATAAGTGCCCCATAGCTGCCCCATAAGTGCCCCATAGCTGCCCCATAACTGCCCCATAGCTGCCCCATAAGTGCCTCATGGCTGCTTCATAAGTGCCCCATAGCTGCCCCATAAGTGCCCCCATGGCTGCCCCATAAGTGCCCCATAGCTGACCCTTAAGTGCCCCACGGCTGCCCCATGGTTGCCCCATAGCTGACCCATAAGTGCCCCACAGCTGCCCCATATCAGCCCCAAATCCACCCCAAACCCCTCATTTCTGCCCCATATCTGCCCCACATCACCCCATAGTGCCCCACATCTGCCCCATATCTGCCCCATATCCGCCCACATCGCCCCACATCCACCCCCAACCCCCCCTCACCCCCCCATCTCCCCCCGCAGGCCGTGACATCAACCTGGACGTGGGGCGCGTTTTGGGCTACCGCCATTTCTGCAACAAAGTGTGGAACGGCGCCAGGTTCACCTTGAGGGCGCTGGGACCCCAATACCGACCCCCCCCCGCCATGGAGGTGTGGGGCCATCTGTGGGGCTGGGGGGCATCTGTGGGGCTGGGGGGCATCTGTGGGGCTGGGGGCATCTGTGGGGCTGGGAGCATCTGTGGGGCTGGGGGGGCATCTGTGGGGCTGGGGCATCTGTGGGGCTGGGGGGGCATCTGTGGGGCTGGGGGGGATCGATGGGGCTGAGGGTGTTGTATGGGGCTGGGGGGATCTATGGGTCTGGGGGGCATCTGTGGGGCTGGGGGGATCTATGGGGCTGGGGGGCATCTGTGGGGCTGGGGGGATCTGTGGGGCTGGGGGGATCTATGGGGCTGGGGGTGATCTGTGGGGCTGGGGGCATCTGTGGGGCTGGGGGCATCTGTGGGGCTGGGGGGGATCGATGGGGCTGAGGGTGTTGTATGGGGCTGGGGGGATCTATGGGTCTGGGGGGCATCTGTGGGGCTGGGGGGATCTGTGGGGCTGGGGGGATCTATGGGGCTTGGGGTGATCTGTGGGGCTGGGGGCATCTATGGGGCTGGGGGTGATCTGTGGGGCTGGGGGGATCTGTGGGGCTGGGGGCATCTATGGGGCTGGGGGATCTATGGGGCTGGGGGTGATCTGTGGGGCTGGGGGCATCTATGGGGCTGGGGGTGATCTATGGGGCTGGGGGGCATCTGTGGGGCTGGGGGGGATCGATGGGGCTGAGGGTGTTGTATGGGGCTGGGGGGGGATCTATGGGGCTGGTGGGATCTATGGGGCTGGGAGTGATCTATGGGGCTGGGGGGATCTATGGGGCTGGGGGGCATCTGTGGGGCTGGGGCGATCTATGGGGCTGGGGGGATCTATGGGGCCGGGGGGCATCTATGGGGCTGGGGGCATCTATGGGGCTGGGGTGTTCTGTGGGGCTGGGGGTGATCTATGAGGCTGGGTGGCATCTATGGGGCTGGGGGTGATCTATGGGGCTGAGGGATCTATGGGGCTGGGGGGCATCTATGGGGCTGAGGGATCTATGGGGCTGGGGGCATCTATGGGGCTGGAGGCATCTATGGGGCTGGGGCGATCTATGGGGCTAGAGGGATCTATGGGGCTCGGGGTGTTCTATGGGGCCGGGGGGCATCTATGGGGCTGGGGGCATCTATGGGGCTGGGGTGTTCTGTGGGGCTGGGGGTGATCTATGAGGCTGGGTGGCATCTATGGGGCTGGGGGTGATCTATGGGGCTGAGGGATCTATGGGGCTGGGGGGCATCTATGGGGCTGGGGGGCATCTATGGGGCTGGGGTGATCTATGGGGCTGGGGGGCATCTATGGGGCTGGGGGTGATCTATGGGGCTAGAGGGATCTATGGGGCTGGGGGTGTTCTCTGGGGCTGGGGTGATATGTGGGGCTGGGGAGTTCTATGGGGCTGGGGGTGATCTGTGGGGCTGGGGGGCATCTATGGGGCTGGGGGGCATCTATGGGGCTGGGACGATCTATGGGGCTGGGGGTGTTCTATGGGGCTGGGGGGGATCTATGGGGCTGGGGTGATCTATGGGCTGGAGGGCTTCTATGGGGCTGGGGGGCATCTATGGGGCTGGGACGATCTATGGGGCTGGGGTGATCTATGGGGCTGGAGGGCTTCTATGGGGCTGGGGGGATCTATGGGGCTGGGCTGTTCTATGGGGACGGGCTTTTCTATAGGGCCGGGGGGTTCCTATGGGGTCAGGCTGTTTTATAGGGCCAGGGTTTTCCTATGGGGCCGGGGGTTTTTCCTATGGGGCCGATCCTTCCCTATGGGGCCGCTCCTTCCCTATGGGGCCGATCCTTTCCTATGGGGCCGATCCTTTCCTATGGGGCCGATCCTTTCCTATGGGGCCGATCCTTCCCTATGGGGCCGCTCCTTCCCTATGGGGCCGATCCTTTCCTATGGGGCCGATCCTTCCCTATGGGGCCGCTCCTTTCCTATGGGGCTGCTCCTTCCCTATGGGGCCGATCCTTTCCTATGGGGCCGATCCTTCCCTATGGGGCCGATCCTTCCCTATGGGGCCGCTCCTTTCCTATGGGGCCGCTCCTTCCCTATGGGGCCGCTCCTTCCCTATGGGGCCGATCCTTCCTATGGGGCTGCTCCTTCCCTATGGGGCCGATCCTTCCCTATGGGGCCCATCCTTCCCTATGGGGCCGATCCTTCCCTATGGGGCCGATCCTTTCCTATGGGGCCGGGGGTTTTCCTATGGGGCCGCTCCTTCCCTATGGGGCCGATCCTTTCCTATGGGGCCGCTCCTTTCCTATGGGGCCGATCCTTCCCTATGGGGCCGCTCCTTCCCTATGGGGCCCATCCTTCCCTATGGGGCCGATCCTTCCCTATGGGGCCGCTCCTTCCCTATGGGGCCGATCCTTTCCCTATGGGGCCCATCCTTCCCTATGGGGCCGCTCCTTCCCTATAGGGCCGATCCTTTCCCTATGGGGCCGATCCTTTCCTATGGGTCCGATCCTTCCCTATGGGGCCGATCCTTCCCTATGGGGCCGATCCTTCCCTATGGGGCCGATCCTTCCCTATGGGGCCGATCCTTTCCTATGGGGCTGCTCCTTCCCTATGGGGCCGATCCTTTCCTATGGGGCCGCTCCTTCCCTATGGGGCCGCTCCTTCCCTATGGGGCCGATCCTTTCCTATGGGGCCGCTCATTCCCTATGGGGCCGGGGGTTTTCCTATGGGGCCGCTCCTTCCCTATGGGGCCGCTCCTTTCCTATGGGGCCCATCCTTCCCTATGGGGCCGCTCCTTCCCTATGGGCCGATCCTTCCCTATGGGGCCGATCCTTTCCTATGGGGCCGGGGGTTTTCCTATGGGGCCGATCCTTTCCTATGGGGCCGCTCCTTCCCTATGGTGCCGCTCCTTTCCTATGGGGCCGCTCCTTTCCTATAGGGCCGCTCCTTTCCTATGGGGCCGCTCCTTCCCTATGGTGCCGCTCCTTCCCTATGGGGCCGATCCTTCCCTATGGGGCCGCTCCTTTCCTATGGGGCCGATCCTTTCCCTATGGGGCCGATCCTTCCCTATGGGGCCGCTCCTTCCCTATGGGGCCGATCCTTTCCTATGGGGCCGCTCCTTCCCTATGGGGCCGATTCTTTCCTATGGGGCCGCTCCTTCCCTATGGGGCCGCTCCTTCCCTATGGGGCCGGGGGTTTTCCTATGGGGCCGATCCTTCCCTATGGGGCCCATCCTTTCCTATGGGGCCCATCCTTCCCTATGGGGCCGCTCCTTCCCTATGGGGCCGCTCCTTCCCTATGGGGCCGCTCCTTCCCTATGGGGCCGATCCTTCCCTATGGGGCCCATCCTTTCCTATGGGGCCCATCCTTCCCTATGGGGCCGCTCCTTCCCTATGGGGCCGCTCCTTCCCTATGGGGCCCATCCTTCCCTATGGGGCCGATCCTTCCCTATGGGGCCGATCCTTTCCTATGGGGCCGCTCCTTCCCTATGGGGCCGATCCTTCCCTATGGGGCCGCTCCTTTCCTATGGGGCCGCTCCCTTCCTATGGGGCCCATCCTTCCCTATGGGCCGATCCGTCTCTATGGGGCCGCTCCTTCCCTATGGGGCCGATCCTTCCCTATGGGGCCGCTCCTTCCCTATGGGGCCGATCCTTCCCTATGGGGCCGCTCCTTCCCTATGGGGCCGATCCTTCCCTATGGGGCCGCTCCTTCCCTATGGGGCCGATCCTTCCCTATGGGGCCGATCCGTCTCTATGGTGCCGCTCCTTCCCTATGGGGCCGGTCCGTTCCTATTGGCCCGATCCGTCTCTATGGGGCCGCTCCTTCCCTATGGGGCCGATCCTTTCCCTATGGGGCCCATCCTTCCCTATGGGGCCGATCCTTTCCTATGGGGCCGCTCCTTCCCTATGGGGCCGATCCTTTCCCTATGGGGCCGCTCCTTCCCTATGGGGCCGCTCCTTCCCTATGGGGCCGATCCTTTCCTATGGGGCCGCTCCTTCCCTATGGGGCCGCTCCTTTCCTATGGGGCCGATCCGTCTCTATGGTGCCGATCCGTTTCTATGGGGCCGTTCCTTCCCTATGGGGCCGGGGGTTTTCCTATGGAGCCGATCCTTCCCTATGGGGCCGATCCTTTCCCTATGGGGCCGCTCCTTCCCTATGGGGCCGATCCTTTCCCTATGGGGCCGATCCTTTCCTATGGGGCCGATCCGTCTCTATGGGGCCGATCCTTCCCTATGGGGCCGATCCTTCCCTATGGGGCCGCTCCTTCCCTATGGGGCCGATCCTTTCCTATGGGGCCGATCCGTTCCTATGGGGCCGCTCCTTCCCTATGGGGCCGATCCTTCCCTATGGGGCCGATCCTTTCCTATGGGGCCGGGGGTTTTCCTATGGGGCCGCTCCTTCCCTATGGGGCCGATCCGTTTCTATGGAGCCGATCCTTCCCTATGGGGCCGCTCCTTCCCTATGGGGCCGATCCTTCCCTATGGGGCCGATCCTTCCCTATGGGGCCGATCCTTTCCCTATGGGGCCGATCCTTTCCTATGGGGCCGATCCTTCCCTATGGGGCCGCTCCTTCCCTATGGGGCCGATCCTTTCCTATGGGGCCGATCCTTCCCTATGGGGCCGCTCCTTCCCTATGGGGCCGATCCTTCCCTATGGGGCCGATCCTTTCCTATGGGGCCGCTCCTTCCCTATGGGGCCGATCCTTTCCCTATGGGGCCGCTCCTTCCCTATGGGGCCGTTCCTTCCCTATGGGGCCGTTCCTTCCCTATGGGGCCGATCCTATCCTATGGGGCCGATCCTTCCCTATGGGGCCCATCCTTTCCTATGGGGCCGCTCCTTCCCTATGGGGCCGATCCTTCCCTATGGGGCCGATCCTTTCCCTATGGGGCCGATCCTTCCCTATGGGGCCGCTCCTTCCCTATGGGGCCGGGGGTTTTCCTATGGGGCCGATCCTTTCCTATGGGGCCGATCCTTTCCTATGGGGCCGCTCCTTCCCTATGGGGCCGATCCGTCTCTATGGGGCCGATCCTTCCCTATGGGGCCGATCCTTCCCTATGGGGCCGATCCGTTCCTATGGGGCCGATCCTTCCCTATGGGGCCGATCCGTTCCTATGGGGCCGATCCTTCCCTATGGGGCCGATCCTTCCCTATGGGGCCGATCCTTCCCTATGGGGCCGATCCTTTCCTATGGGGCCGCTCCTTCCCTATGGGGCCGATCCGTTCCTATGGGGCCGATCCTTCCCTATGGGGCCGATCCTTCCCTATGGGGCCGCTCATTCCCTATGGGGCCGGGGGTTTTCCTATGGGGCCGATCCTTCCCTATGGGGCCGATCCGTTTCTATGGGGCCGATCCTTCCCTATGGGGCCGGAGGTTTTCCTATGGGGCCGATCCGTCTCTATGGTGCCGATCCGTTTCTATGGGGCCGTTCCTTCCCTATGGGGCCGGGGGTTTTCCTATGGAGCCGATCCTTCCCTATGGGGCCGATCCTTTCCTATGGGGCCGATCCTTCCCTATGGGGCCGCTCCTTCCCTATGGGGCCGATCCGTCTCTATGGTGCCGCTCCTTCCCTATGGGGCCGCTCCTTCCCTTTGGGGCCGCTCCTTCCCTATGGGGCCGCTCCTTCCCTATGGGGCCGCTCCTTCCCTATGGGGCCGATCCGTCTCTATGGTGCCGCTCCTTCCCTATGGGGCCGCTCTTTCCCTATGGGGCTCCGTCTCTATGGTGCCGCCCCTCCCGGCCCGGTGCCGCTGCAGCCCCGCCTCCCTCCTCCCCCCGCAGCTCCGCGGGCGGCCCGGGGTCGCCGAGCGCTGGATCCGCAGCCGCCTGAGCCGCGCCGTGGCCGCGTGCGGAGCCGCTTTGGGCCGCTTCGATTTCCCGGCAGCCACTTCGGCCGTGCACGGCTTCTGGCTTTACGACCTGTGCGACGTCTACCTGGTACGCGGGGTCACGTGGGGTCACGCGGGGGGGGTCACGTGGGGTCACGTGGGGTCACTTGGGGTGGTTTGGTTATGGGGTCATATGGGGTTATGGGGTGGTTATGGGGTCATATGGGGTTATGGGGTCGTTATGGGGTCATATGGGGTTATGGGGTGGTTATGGGGTCATATGGGGTTATGGGGTCGTTATGGGGTCATATGGGGTCATATGGGGTTATGGGGTGGTTATGGGGTCATATGGGGCTGTATGGGGTTATGGGGTGGTTGTGGGGTCATATGGGGTTATGGGGTGGTTATGGGGTTATGGGGTGGTTGTGGGGTCATATGGGGTTATGGGGTGGTTATGGGGTTATGGGGTGGTTGTGGGGTCATATGGGGTTATGGGGGGGTTGTGGGGTCCATATGGGGTTTGGTTATGGGGTCATATGGGGTTATGGGGTGGTTATGGGGTCATATGGGGCTGTATGGGGTTATGGGGTCATATGGGGTCATATGGGGCTGTATGGGGTTATGGGGTGGTTGTGGGGTCATATGGGGTTATGGGGTGGTTGTGGGGTCATATGGGGTTATGGGGTGGTTATGGGGTTATGGGGTGGTTATGGGGTTATGGGGTGGTTATGGGGTGGTTATGGGGTGGTTATGGGGGGGTTGTGGGGTCTGTGGGGTGGTTTTGGGGTCATTATGGGGTGGTTATGGGGTGATGTGGGGTGGTTATGGGGTGGTTATGGAGTCATATGGGGCTGTATGGGGTTATGGGGTGGTTATGGGGTGATTATGGGGTCTGTGGGGTCGTTATGGGGTCTGTGGGGTGGTTATGGGATCATATGGGGTCATATGGGGTTAAGGGGTCATATGGGGTTATGGGGTCGTTATGGGGTGGTTATGGGGTCATATGGGGCTCTATGGGGTTATGGGGTCATATGGGGTTATGGGGTCGTTATGGGGTGGTTATGGGGTCATATGGGGCTGTATGGGGTTATGGGGTGGTTATGGGGTGATTATGGGGTCTGTGGGGTCGTTATGGGGTCTGTGGGGTGGTTATGGGGTCATATGGGGTCATATGGGGTTAAGGGTCATATGGGGTTATGGGGTCGTTATGGGGTGGTTGTGGGGTTATGGGGTGGTTATGGGGTGATATGGGGTGGTTATGGGATCATATGGGGCTGTATGGGGTTATGAGGTGGTTATGGGGTCATGTGGGGTCATATGGGGTCATATAAGGCTCTATGGGGTTATGGGGTGGCTATGGGGTCATATGGGGGGGTTATGGGGTGGTTATAGGGTTATGGGGTGGTTAGGGGGTGATGTGGGGTGGTTATGGGGTGGTTATGGGGTCATATGGGGCTCTGTGGGGTTATGGGGTGGTTATGGGGTTATGGGGTGGTTATGGGGTGGTTATGGGGTGGTTATGGGGTGATTATGGGGTCTGTGGGGTCGTTATGGGGTCTGTGGGGTGGTTATGGGGTCATATGGGGTCATATGGGGTTAAGGGGTCATATGGGGTTATGGGGTCGTTATGGGGTGGTTATGGGGTCATATGGGGCTCTATGGGGTTATGGGGTCATATGGGGTTATGGGGTGGTTATGGGGTGGTTATGGGGTCATATGGGGTCATATGGGGTTAAGGGGTCATATGGGGTTATGGGGTCGTTATGGGGTGGTTATGGGGTCATATGGGGCTCTATGGGGTTATGGGGTCATATGGGGTTATGGGGTCGTTATGGGGTGGTTATGGGGTCATATGGGGCTCTATGGGGTTATGGGGTGGTTGTGGGGTCATATGGGGTGGTTATGGGGTTATGGGGTGGTTATGGGATCATATGGGGCTGTATGGGGTTATGAGGTGGTTATGGGGTCATGTGGGGTCATATGGGATCATATAAGGCTCTATGGGGTTATGGGGTGGTTATAGGGTGGTTATGGGGTTATGGGGTGGTTATGGGGTGCACGGCTTCTGGCTTTACGACCTGTGCGACGTCTACCTGGTACGCGGGGTCACGTGGGGTCACGCGGGGTCACGTGCGGGGGTCACGTGGGGTCACGCGGGGTCACGGGGGGTGGTTTGGTTATGGGGTCATATGGGGTTATGGGGCGGTTATGGGGTGGTTATGGGGTGGTTATGGAGTCTGTGGGGTTATGGGGTCATATGGGGCTCTATGGGGCGGTTATGGGGTTATGGGGTGGTTGTGGGGTTATGGGGTGGTTATGGGGTGCTATGGGGTGATGTGGGGTGATATGGGGTGGTTATGGGGTGATGTGGGGTCATATGGGGCTGTATGGGGTTATGGGGTGGTTATGGGGTCATATGGGGTTATGGGGTGCTTATGGGGTGCTTATGGGGTGATGTGGGGTCATATGGGGCTGTATGGGGTTATGGGGTGGTTGTGGGGTTATGGGGTGGTTATGGGGTGGTTATGGGGTCATATGGGGCTCTATGGGGTTATGGGGTGGTTATGGGGTGGTTATGGGGTGATATGGGGTGGTTATGGGGTCATATGGGGTGGTTATGGGGTCATATGGGGTCATATGGGGTCATATGGGGCTGTATGGGGTTATGGGGTGGTTATGGGGTCTGTGGGGTGGTTATGGGGTCTGTGGGGTCGTTATGGGGTCTGTGGGGTGGTTATAGGGTCATATGGGGTCATATGGGGCTCTATGGGGTTATGGGGTGGTTATGGGGTGCTGTGGGTCCCTATGGGGTCCCTGTGGGGTCCCTGTGGGTCCCTGTGGGTCCCTATGGGGTCTCTGTGTGTCCCTATGGGTCCCTATGGGGTGCTGTGGGTCCCTATAGGTCCCTATGGGATCCCTATGCGTCCCTATGGGTCCCTATGGGGTGCTGTGGGTCTCTATAGGGCTCTATGGGTCCCTATGGGTCCCTATGGGTCCCTATGGGTCTCTGTGGGTTTACGGCTCACTGTGGGATACTGTGGGTCTCTATGGGTCCCTATGGGTCCCTATGGGGTGCTGTGGGTCCCTATAGGGCTCTATGGGTCCCTATGGGTCCCTGTGGGATCCCTATGGGTCCCTGTGGGGTCCCTATGGGTCCCAATGGGTCTCTATGGGTCTCTATGGGATTACGGTCCTCTGTGGGATACTGAGGGTCCCTATGGGGTGCTGTGGGTCCCTATGGGTCCCTGTGGTTCCCTGTGGTTCCCTATGGGTTCCTATGCGTCTCTATGGGTCTCTATGGGTCTCTGTGGGTCATTATGGGGTGCTGTGGTTCCCTGTGGTTCCCTATGGGTCCATATGGGGTGCTGTGGGTCCCTATAGGGCTCTATGGGTCCCTATGGGTCCCTGTGGGATCCCTATGGGTTCCTTTGGGTCCCTATGGGTCTCTATAGGTCTCTATGGGGTTACGGCTCACTATGGGATACTGGGGCCCTATGGGTCCCTATGGGTCCCTATGGGTCCCAATGGGTCTCTATGGGTCTCTATGGGTCTCTATGGGATTACGGTCCTCTGTGGGATACTGAGGGTCCCTATGGGGTGCTGTGGTTCCCTATGGGTCCCTATGGGCCCCTATGGGTCCCTATGGGTCTCTATGGGTCTCTATGGGGTTATGGCTCACTGTGGGATACTGTGGGTCCCTATGGGGTGCTGTGGGTCCCTATGGGTCCCTATGGGTCCCTATGGGTCTCTATGGGTCTCTATTAGTCTGTATGGGTCTCTGTGGGGTTATGGCTCACTGTGGGGCCCTGTGGGGTGCTCTGGGTCCCTATGGGTCCCTATGGGGTGCTGTGGGTCCCTATGGGTCCCTATGGGGTGCTGTGGGTCCCTATGGGGCTCTATGGGATCCCTATGGGTCCCTGTGGGTCCCTATAGGTCCCTATGGGTCCCTATGGGGTCTGTGTGGGTTTACAGCTCACTGTCGGATACTGTGCGTCTCTATGGGTCCCTATGGGTCCCTATGGGGCGCTGTGGGTCCCTATGGGTCCCTATGGGTCCCTGTGGGATCCCTATGGGTCCCTATGGGTCTCTATGGGTCCCTATGGGTCTCTATGGTTCTCTATGGGGTTATGGCTCACTGTGGGATACTGTGGGTCCCTATGGGGTGCTGTGGGTCCCTATGGGTTCCTATGGGTCTCTATGGGTCTCTATTAGTCTGTATGGGTCTCTATGGGGTTATGGCTCACTGTGGGGCTCTATGGGGTGCTGTGGGTCCCTATGGGTCCCTATGGGTCCCTATGGGGTGCTGTGGGTCTCTATAGGGCTCTATGGATCCCTATGGGTCCCTATGGGTCTCTGTGGGTTTACGGCTCACTGTGGGATACTGTGGGTCTCTATGGGTCCCTATGGGTCCCTGTGGGATCCCTATGGGTCCCTGTGGGGTCCCTATGGGTCCCTCTGGGTCTCCATGGGTCTCTATTAGTCTGTATGGGTCTCTATGGGGTTATGGCTCACTGTGGGGCCCTATGGGGTGCTGTGGGTCCCTATGGGTCCCTATGGGTCCCTACGGGGTGCTGTGGGTCTCTATAGGACTCTATGGGTCCCTCTGGGTCCCTATGGGTCCCTATGGGTCCCTATGGGTCCCTATGGGTCTCTATTGGTCTCTATGGGGTTGTGGCTCACTATGGGATATTGTGGGTCCCTATGGGGTGCTGTGGGTCCCTATGGGTCCCTAATGGGTCTCTATGGGTCTCTATTAGTCTGTATGGGTCTCTATGGGTTTACGGCTCACTGTGGGATACTGTGGGTCTCTATGGGTCCCTATGGGGTGCTGTGGGTCCCTATAGGGCTCTATGGGTCCCTACGGGTCCCTGTGGGATCCCTATGGTCCCTATGGGTCCCTGTGTTATCCCTGTGAGTCCCTATGGGTTCCTATAGGTCCCTATGGGTCCCTGCGGGATCCCTATAGGTTCCTATGGGTCTCTATGGGTCCCTATGGGGTGCTGTGGGTCTCTATAGGGCTCTATGGGTCCCTATGGGTCCCTGTGTTACCCCTGTGAGTGCCTATGGGTCCCTATAGGTCCCTATGGGTCCCTATGGGTCCCTATGGGTCTCTGTGGGTTTATGGCTCACTGTGGGATACTGTGGGTCTCTATGGGTCCCTATGGGTCCCTATGGGGTGCTGTGGGTCCCTATAGGGCTCTATGGGTCCCTATGGGTCCCTGTGGGATCCCTATGGTCCCTATGGGTCCCTGTGTTATCCCTGTGAGTCCCTATGGGTTCCTATAGGTCCCTATGGGTCCCTATGGGTCCCTGTGGGATCCCTATAGGTTCCTATGGGTCCCTATGGGTCCCTATGGGGTGCTGTGGGTCTCTATAGGGCTCTATGGGTCCCTATGGGTCCCTGTGTTACCCCTGTGAGTCCCTATAGGTCCCTATGGGCCCCTATGGGTCCCTATGGGGTGCTGTGGGTCCCTATAGGGCCCTATGGGTCCCTATGGGTCCCTGTGGGATCCCTATGGGTCCCTATGGGTCCCTATAGGTTTCTATAGGTCCCTATAGGCCCCTATGGGTCCCTATGGGGTGCTGTGGGTCCCTATAGGGCCCTATGGGTCCCTATGGGTCCCTGTGGGATCCCTATGGGTCCCTATGGGTCTCTATGGGTCTCTATGGGGTTGTGGCTCACTGTGGGATGTGGGATACTGTGGGTCCCTATGGGTCCCTGTGGGATCCCTATGGGTCTCTATGGGTCCCTATGGGTCCCTATGGGTCCGTATAGATCCCTGTGGGTCCCTGTGGGATCCCTATGGGTCCCTATGGGTCCCTATGGGTCCCTATAGATCCCTATAGGTCCCTATGGGTCCCTATGGGTCCCTATGGGTCCCTATGGGGTGCTGTGGGTCCCTATAGGGCTCTATGGGTCCCTTTGGGTCCCTATGGGTCCCTATGGGTCCCTATGGGTCCCTATAACCTCACCCCACTCTTCTCTCCCCCCCCCCCCCCCCCCACCCCCCCAATCTGCCCCATAGGAATGCGTGAAGCCCATCCTGGCCCGCGTCAGCAAGGCTGGGGGGGGAGGCGCAGACCCCCCCCCCTTCCCCCACCCCCCAAAACCCCGCCGCCCCCCGCAGCCCCACGGATGAACCGGCGGGGGGGGAACCTGCGGAGGAAGAGGAAGAGGAAGAGGAAGGGGAAGAGGAAGAGGAAGAGGAAGAGGAGGAAGAAGGGGGGGGGGACGCGGAGGGGCGAGCGGCGGCGGTGCGGGATGCGCTGCACTGCTGTATGGAGGGGGGGCTGCGGCTCCTGGCCCCCTTCATGCCCTTCGTCAGCGAGGAGCTGTGGCAGCGGCTGCCCCACGCCCCCCCCGCGCCCCCCAGCCTCTGCGTGTGCCCCTATCCGCAGCCTGAGACGGTGAGTTGGGGGGGGGGGGGGA